ATGTCCGACTCATTCTACTATCTTTCCCACTCCCTCTCCCTCTCCACTCTCTCTCTCTCTCTCTCCCCCCTCTCTCACTCTCTCTTTAAAAAAAAAAAATCGTTCTTATCAGTTCTACATGACAGTAGGATGTGTTTGATATATTATACATATAAGGAGTATGACTTCCCATTCTGTGGTTGAATATGATGTGGAGTTGCACTGGTTGTGTATTCACGTTGCACATAGGGAAGTGATGTCCGACTCATTCTACTATCTTTCCCACTCCCATCCCCCCTCCACTGCCTTTATTTTCCTTTGTCTAATCCAAAGTACATCTCATCTTTCCTACCACCCCCTTTTTGTGATGAAGCATCTGCAGATCACAGAGAACATTCGGCCTTTGGTTCTTTGGGACTGGTTAATTTCACTTAGCATGATAGTCTCCCKTTCCATCCATTTACTGGCAAATGCCATAATTTCATTCTTCTTTATGGCCGAGTAAAATTCCATTGTGTATACATAGCATATTTTCTTTATCCATTTATCTGTTGAAGGGCACCTAGGTTGGTTCCAAAGCTTAGCTGTTGTGAATTGAGCTGCTATAAACATTGATGTGGCCATCACTGTAGTATGCTGATTTTAAGTCCTTTGTGTATAAACTGAGGAGTGGGATAACTGAGTTATATGGTGGTTCCATTTCAAGTATTCTGAGGAATCTGCATACTGCTTTCCAGAGTGGTGGCACCAATTTGCAGTGTGTGAGTGTACCTTCCCCCACAACCTCGCCAGCATTTATTGGTCCTTGAATACATTTGTTATATCCTTGATGATTGCCATTCTGACTGGAGTGAGATGGAATCTTAGTGCAGTTTTAATTTGCATTTCTCTAAGAAGTGTTTTTGACAGGGTGGAAAGAATACTGACCCTGAGACTGTTCTGGACTCTGGSGTCAAATTCTAGTGCAGCTGCTCATGGGATGTGAATTCCTTGGGATCAGTTTTCCCTCCCATAAAATAGAGGCAGCCACATTCAGAATCCCTAATGAGACTTGCCTGGCAGGGCTTCAGGGAGATTGTACAGAGGTCGGGAGGATTTCCTTGACGAGATTGTTTTGTAAGTCCGAACTTGAGGACAGACACTGCCCAGTGTTCCCTCCCCCCCCCCTCACTAGGTATTGAACCCAGAGGTATTCTACCTACCACTGAGCTCCGTCCCCAGAACTTTTTTCCTTCATTCTTGTTTTCTTTTGAGACAGGGTCTGGTTAGTTGTCCAGTCTGGCCCTGAACTTGCAATTACAGGCATGCATCACTAACACCCAGGCTCATTTGTTTTGTGAAACAAGAAAACTGGGGTTTGGTTTTATTTCTGAAAGCCCAGGCCGGGAGGACAGCCAGCTGGCTTCCTGGTGGGGATGTAAAGCCCAGAGAGGGAGATCTACCTAAAGCCACACAGGAGTTCAGCACACACGGAGGAGTCCACACCAGGACTCTTCCCTGCCCTCTGCTGATCCTTCCTACCAAATCCCAGACCCTGGGCCTTTAGATCCCAGAGGCCGCTGGGGGGACAGCTCAGAGCTCAGTGCCCGCTCCGCCCCTTGCTGGCCATGTGACCTTGGGAAGGTGCCATGACTCCTCTGAGTTTTGGTGTCTTTAACCCAAATAGGATAATAATGAAGCCTCTTCCAAGGGCAGCTGTGAGGATGAACTGAGGTAGGCGAAATGCAGCTGCCCTGTGGCTTCTCACAGCCAAACTGTCTCGCGGAGGTGTTCTCTCTTCTGTGCCTTCCAAACCGTGCCGCAAACCTCGAGCGCCTTGCTTTGAGCGGCGACGTGCTGTAGAAACCCAGAGAGACACGAAGTGCCGCGGGCGCTATGCGAGGCCGGCCTCGGTGGAGGGCCTCCGCCGAGGGCAGACGGGCAGCTGACTGTCTCCTGGTTGTGCCCTGCAGGTGCTCATTGCCAACAACGGGATCGCCGCGGTCAAGTGCATGCGCTCCATCCGCAGGTGGGCCTATGAGATGTTCCGCAACGAGCGAGCCATCCGGTTTGTGGTCATGGTGACCCCCGAGGACCTCAAGGCCAATGCAGGTGCCTGACCCTCACCTCTCGTCCATCATTCTCTGCGCATGCCTCCTCTCATGAGTCTGAATTTGTTTGCCCCTCCTCCTTCCCTCCCTCCCTCCCTTCCTTCTTTCTTTTTTAGTACCAGGGATGGAACTCAGGGGCACTCAATCACTGAGCCCCATCCCCAGCCCTATTTTGCATTTTATTTAGAGACAGGGCCTCCCTGAGTTGCTTAGGGCCTTGCTTTTGCTGAGGCTGGCTCTGAACTTGCAATCCTCCTGCCTCAGCCTCCCCAGCCGTTGGGATGACAGGCGTGGGCCACTGTGCCCAGCGGCTCCCTCTTTCTTTAACTAAGCATCTGCTCTTAAATGAGTGAGTTGTGGCACTGACACTGAGTGTCCTCCTCTCTTCTCTGCAGCAGTCTGGTGCGTTTCCTTCCTGGCACTGACTCCTGACTGCTTGTGAAGCCCGAGTGAGGCACTGGGTTCCATCCTCAGCACCCCATAAAAATAAATAAATCAGCTGGGTGCAGTGGCACCCACCTGTAAGCCTGGTGGCTCAGGAGGCTGAGGCAGGAGGATCTTGAAACACGCTCCCACCCACCCGGCAATAAACCTATCCCTTTCCAGACCCTTTTCACGGAGCAGCCAAAGTGCTGTTTTGAAAACCCGCCCAGGTCTTGTCCTGCCCCTTCTCGGTGCTGTTCCCAGGCCACAAAGCTCAGCGTTGTCCCCTGAGTCCTCCTGGGGCACAGGCCCAGGGCTCCACCCTGCAGGGACACGGCTTTGTCTGTTTCTCACAGCTCATTTTACAGATGAGTCAGTTGGGGCTCTGGGACATAAATTTGTCACTTGCCCAGTGTCCCATGACCAGCATGTGACACAGGTGGGACTGGAAGCTCCGTGTGTCAGAGTTCAGAGCCCCCTGTCCCCCGGGGGCCTCCATCATGCTAGACCATCATTCCAGACCCTCACCCTGGCAAGGAAGGCCACTCAGGCCCTGCTGGGCACCTGCCTTACCACCTGGTGCCCTCCCTCTCTGGGTCGCTGTCACACAGGTCTCTGGTGGCTCCTGGGCCACCCTGCACTTCCCTCCTGCCGAGTGCTGTCAAGGCTGGCCTCCGGCACCACCCCCCTTTGCCTGGCAGGCCCCTCCTTCAGAGCTCCGTGTCCTCCTCTCTCCTCTGGAACAGTCTGGTGCGTTTCCTTCTGGCACTGACTCCTGACTGCAGTTATTATCTTCATTTTCTTGTTTATCTTCTCGAACATTAAAGAAAGACTGGCTGCCGACAAGGACCTGGTGACAGAGCCTAGGAGACCCCTGGGACCTCCCCAGTGGCCGACATCGGAAGCAGGCGGGCTGGAAGATGGGGTGGCACTGGACTTTGAATGGAATCTAGCTTTCACAGTCCCAAACACTGCCCAGCCACTGTCCTCTCACCTCATTCTTTGCCCTCCTCCCTGAGTGACTTTTTAGGACATGTTCCTAGAGTGGAACTTCTAGCTTAAAGAGCATGAGTTTTAAATTTAATTATTTGGGACCAGATTGGACCCAGGGATGCTTCACCCCTGAGCCGCATCCCTGTCCCTTTTTATTTATTCATTTATTTTTGAGACAGGGTCTCACCAAGTTGCTTAGGGCCTCACTACGTTGCTGAGGCTGGCCTCAAACTTGCCTCAGCCTCCCAAGTTCCTGGGATCACAGGTGCGTGCCACCATACCTGGCATTTTTAATTTAATCTTATTTTCAGTGTGCTGCGGATCCAGGGCTCATGCACACTAGGCAGGTGCCCAACCACCGAGCTCCTTCCCAGCCCTGAGCAGGAGTGTTTTAGCATCAAAACATCGTGTTGCATTCAGCCCTCAAAAAGAAGGAAATCTTGTCATATGTGGCAACGTGAATGGACCTTGAGGACATTATGCCAAGTGGAATAAACCAGTCCCCAAAAGACAGATACCGTATGAGTCCCCTCGTCAGAGGGGACTAGAATAGTCAGATTCCTAGGGACAGCGTGCAGAACAGGGAGCGCCAGGGTCTTCAGGGAGGGGAAGGGTGTTTATGAGTGCACAGTTTAGATCTGTAAGATGAGAAGGTTCTGAAGATCTGATTCACAGTGATGTGGAACACTAGTGAACTGCACACCAGATGGATATGATGCTGAAGTTTACGTTTCACACACACACACACACACACACACACACACACATTTTGTACTGGGGACTGAACCTAGGGGCACTTAACCATTGAGCCACATCCCCAGTCCTCTTTGGTATTATTCTTTTAAGAGAGAGAGAGAGAGAGAGAGAGAATTTTTTTAATATTTATTTTTCAGTTTTCAGTGGACACAACATCTTTATTTTATTTTTATATGGTGCTGAGGATTGAACCCAGCGCCCCGCGCATGCCAGGCGAGCGTGTTACCGCTTGAGCCACATCCCCAGCCCCCCCTCTTTTTGTATTTTAAGACAGTCTCGCTGAGTTGCTTTAGGGCCTTGCTGAGTTGCTGAGGCTGGCTGTGAACTTGCCATCCTCCTGCCTCAGCCTCCTGAGCCGTTGGGATCACAGGTGTGTGCCACTGCGCCTGGCAGTGTTATGTATTTCTTTACAATTAAAAGAAACCCATTGATTGTTTAATGGTAAAACAATATCAAGATAAACTTTATTTTTTTTTTAATCCCCCTAATCCCCCTACCTGGAGACGGTGTCCTGTGTCTTTGTCCTCGTCTGGCCTTGTCCAGTGGCACCTGTGCTCACATACTCACATCCCGCTCTTCGAGTTCCCTGTTGGGCCGTGGCTGACATGAGGCCTTCACGGCTTGTTCTCAGGGAGCAGGTCGTAGCTGCCCCTTCTGGTTTCTGCAGTTGACTTGCGGACACTGACCTCCCTGCTGTTCAATTCCAGAGTACATCAAGATGGCGGACCAGTACGTCCCCGTCCCCGGGGGGACCAACAACAACAACTACGCCAACGTGGAGCTGATCGTGGACATTGCCAAGAGAATCCCTGTGCAGGTAACTGGGCAGGTGCCTGGTGTGCCCAGGGCGGGTGATGCCCCTGAGCCCTGGGACAGGTGGGTGCTGCCGTTCAGAAGGGGCAGAGGCACTGGGTCCCCCAGGATGAAGGGCAGGGAAGAGGCTGATAGTGTGAGGGGCGGCGAGAGCTTTTTTTCTTTTCTGTACTGGGGTTTGAACTCAGGGCACTCAACCACTGAGCCTCCGCCCCAGCCCCAACCCTATTCTGTATTTTATTTAGAGACAGGGTYGCACTGAGTTGCTCAGTGCCTCACTTTTGCTGAGGCTGGCTTTGAACTGGCGATCCTCCTGCCTCAGCCTCCCGAGCCACTGGGATGACAGGTGTGCACCACTGTGCCCAGCCGAGAGGTGAGATTTTGAAGGAGGCTCTTTCACCCCTTTCCGTGTTTGCAGGCTGTGTGGGCTGGCTGGGGCCACGCCTCCGAGAACCCCAAGCTTCCAGAGCTGCTGTGCAAGCACGGGATCGCCTTCCTAGGTAGAGTGTTTCCTCCAGCAGACGGCGGGGAATCGGGGCTCAGGCCCGTGCTCACCTGGGTCACAGCCTCTCTCTGGGGCTGCTCTGTGGGGCGAGGGTCACTGTGCCTCCCCATGTCACCTTTTCATTGTGAGGAGCAAAGGAGTCCAGGGTGGGAGGGCACACTGGGTGAATCCATTCGGTCACAGGACCTGGAGCTGTAGCCATGGTTACCACAGTGGGAAGCTGCTGGGGCCAGCGGAACCCCCTGCCAGGTTTCAGCCAAGTTCAGGTATCTGATCGATTGGGAGGTCCTGTTTCTGAGAACGCCACATCTTTGTGCCGTTTCTCAGGTCTTTACAGTGCCCTTGAGACCAGAGTCCCCCATCTGTCTCATTAAGTCAAACGATCCTTGTTGCCTTATGGCATTTGTTGGCTTCTGGATTTTTTCTTGTGTGCATCTCTGTTAGCTGTACATGTACATGTGTCCTTCTGTGCCTCTGGGGATTGGCTCCACAACCCCTGCAGATGCCCAGATCTGCACATGCTCAATGCCCTTCAATAAAATGCCATAGTATTTTCATACAACCTCCTGTATACTTTAAGTCATCTCTAGATTACCCAATACAACATCAATGCTATGTTATTCTGTATTATTTAAGGAATAATGACAGGAAAAAAGTCTGTACATGTACATTCCCAGTGATTTGGGGGGGTAGGGGGAGGGAGGGCACCAGGGATTGAACTCAGGGGCACTCGACCACTGAGCCCCATCCCCAGCCCTATTCTGTATTTTATTTAGAGACAGGGTCGCACTGAGTTGCTCAGTGCCTCACTTTTGCTGAGGCTGGCTTTGATCTCACAATCCTCCTGCCTCAGCCTCCTCTTTTATTTTGAGACAGGGTCTCACTAAGTTGCCTACAGCTTTGCTGAGTTTTGAAGGGTGGCCTCAAACTTGTGATCCTCCTGCCTCGGTCTCCCCAGTCACTGGGATTACAGGCGTGACCCACCACACCCARCCAGATGCCAGACACAACTGCTAAAATGTATTTTCCATTCTTGGTTTGTTGAGTCCTTGGATGCTGAAGGCCAGAGGGATGGAGATGGACTCGCAGAGCTGAGTCATTGTGACAGAGCCTAGCAGACCCACAAAACTGAAAATATTTCCTGTCCAGCTCTTTATAGAAAACACTTGCTGCCCCACCCAGCTCTCCGAGGTGCTGGCTTGCTCCCTTGGTCTGGCTTTTGGCCGCCCCTCCACGTGAATCTCGTGTGAGCCACGTGGCTTGGTTGCCGCTCAGGTGTGTTCACAGTGTGCAGGTGTTGAAGGCCGGCCCAGGCAACAGCAGACAGATGCTCTTCCTCCCTGGCAGGAGGTCAGGCTCCTCCAGGGCTGGAAGCTGAGTGCTTCTCCCTGTCACCTTACTCCCTACCTGGCCCTGCCCCCAGCACTTGCTTCGGGGTCCCCTGACTGATGGGATTCTGCTGTCCTTCTTGCCCAGGTCCCCCCAGCGAGGCCATGTGGGCCTTGGGAGATAAGATCGCCTCCACCATCGTGGCCCAGACCCTCCAGATCCCAACCCTGCCCTGGAGCGGAAGCGGTAAGGGACCCGTGGGGGGAGCTTCCTGGCTCAGTCTTGCTGCTGTGAGCAGTCCCCCTGAGAGGAGTGTGCTTTTAAAAATTCTTTTGTTTTAAAAAAGTATTAAACCTTACGCAGGTGGTTTGACTTCATTGTAGCCAACTTCGAAAATGTGAGACGTCCACAAAAGAAACAGAAATCCTCCATAATCCTATGATCTGTGTTGGACATTTATCGCATTGAAGATGTCTCCTTTTTCAGGCTTTTTAAATGGACTTAGCCTTTAAAAAAACCAATCTTATATTTCTTAGTTTGTGACTTATTTTTTTCTCCTGATGAGTATCTGTTAGCAAATACACTTTACACCATTTAAAATGTCTGCATGGGATTATCCTATGGATATGCTATAATTTCCTTAATAATACTTTGTAGTTATACAATCTGGGTTATTTCCTAATTAGTTTTCTGGTTTAAAAAATTAGTCAAAGGAATGGAGCTTTGATAATCGCTAAGCTTACAGGTGCTTTCTAATCATCTTCCTAGGATAAATTCCTAAGGTGGATTTCTAGAACAAGTTAAAAAATAAACAGGAAAAAGTCTCAGGAGTTTCCTGTTCAAGTTGATATTTTCCTCCAAGACTTGAAAAATTTCCATGGGTGAGCCCCATGGTTTCCGGGTCATGTGATTCTCCCATCCTGGGAGCCTTCAGCCCTGTCTGTGACTCTCCAGGCCTGAAGGTGGAGTGGACAGAGGACGATTGGCAGCAGGGGAGGCCAGTCAGCGTCCCCGAGGACGTGTACAACCAGGGCTGCGTGAGGGACGTCGAGGAGGGCCTGGAGGTGAGCTGGGGGGCGCCCTTCCTCCTCCCCCTCCTCCCCCTCCTCCCCCTCCCCCTCCCCCCTCCCCCTGCTCCCCACCAGCTGCCTCCACTCTATGGAGGTCTGTTTGGTCTGTTTGTCCTTTGCCCCCAGGCAGCAGAAAAAATTGGTTTCCCAGTGATGATCAAAGCTTCTGAAGGCGGTGGAGGGAAAGGGATCCGGAAGGCGGAGAGCGCGGAAGACTTCCCCATGCTCTTCAGACAAGTGAGCAGCGGGTGTCTTTGGGGTCTTTCCCTCCAGCTTACTCCTGTTGGCATTAGTCCATCACCACCGGGAAGCCACGTGCAGGAGTCGTGTCCTGGGTGTGTTGTACGTGCCCTCTCTCAGTAATCCTGCAGTGCTCGGGCTTGACGGGGACCTTGCATGTGGTGGGCAGGGGCTCTAACCACTGAGCCACATCCCCATCCAGGTTGTGTTGTGAAGCAGGTGCATACCTCGGTCTGTGTGGACCTTCACACCTTCTCCTTAGAGGGTGGGAGTCTATGAATTCAAGAATTTCAGAGATGCTGGGTCAAAATATCTGTTAGTAACTATTTGCCTCTTGAGAGGCAGAATGTTATGTAAATTTAGGAATATTGGAGTTTTTAACATTTCTATATGATCAATTTCAATTGTGAGAACTGTCTGTTTTTTTTTACTTGAAGCTAATTTTCTTCTTTAAAACAGTATGCATGTTACTAGCAATGTCTTAAAAACAATTATACTGGGGTCTAATGCTCCCGTGCCTAGGCATGTAATACATTTTGTGTGTTCTATTMCTTATAAAAAGAAAAATTATACTGGCCATTCTCCCATTCTTAAAACTATTTAAACATTTCTAGGTTTTCTTCTAGACTTGTTCACGTGTACATTTGATAAAGTTATATTGGCCCATACAAAATTTTCTTCTCCATAAAAATGTTTCTAAATGATAGATCTTGAACATTTTCATCATGTTGTTCCAATCCTCAGTTACTTTTATGATGATACATACTCCACATGCCATTGTAAAAAAAAAACTTATGAAAGTATTTCTTCTCTGCTAAATGTTTAGCTTATTTCCAATTACCTTGTTATGAATAATCTATTGTGTTCTGTAGAATTGTCTTAATCTGTTTTCTGTTGCTATAACTGGGTGTTGCTAACTGGTATTGCTCTAAAGAAAAGAGGTATCTATTTCAGGTCACAATGGTCTGACGCTGAGGGGCTGCATCATATGATGGCTTTCTTACTGGCACAGTCTCAAGGTGCCTCAGGGTATCACATGGGTATAGACAAGGGAGTGAGTGTGTGTGTGTGTGTGTGTGTGTGTGTGTGTGTATGTGTATGTATATGTACATGCGCACATGTCTCCTTGGGTCTCTTTCTTCTTATAAGGCCACCAGCGTTTGATCATGGGGCCCTCACTCTGATGATCTTACGTAATTGTAACCACCTCCCAAAGGCCTCCCCTCCAGACACCATAGTCYGGTTACTCCTCTTAAGCTCACAATGGGAGTTAGACTCCTGTCTGAATTTCAGAAGGGACAAGCCATATTCAAAACATAGCAAGTATATGAGCATCACTCGGGCTGAGGATGTAGCTCAGTGGGAGCGTGCTAGCATGTGTGAGGCCCTGGATTCAATCCTCAGCACTGCATATAAATAAATAAAATAAAGGTATTGTGTCCATCTATATAACTAAAAGCATATACTTAAAAAAACAACAACTCCATATTATTTAATACTATAAATAATGCTTAGCTATTTTCCTCTTCTGAGTTCTTTTCTTAGAGAAAGTCCTAGGGAGACAGACTGAGCTAAGTTGCGTGCCCTTGGTTCATATCAAGAAATTGCTTACTTGGCAGGTTTCACCTGTGCCATTGCTCATGGCAAATTGTGTCACATAAAGAATGTAGTGGCTTTGCTACCTGGTTATCTTGTGAGGTATACAGCATTTTTAGTGGGACTCGGAGGCAAAGGATTTAGATTTGTAGGAAAGTTTCAGCAGCAGGACAGAGATCCCTGCTCCCTGTCCCCCACTGCCCCATCTGTCAAAGCTAAGAGATGAACCTAGAGGACTGTTTCTGTTAATCCATTATGTCCCATCGTCCCCTATGTAGGATGCTTATAAAACCTTAAATGGGCCAAGTTTGGTGGCACACGCCTGTCATCCCAGGAGGCTGAGGCAGGAGGATCTCAAGTTCAAAGCCAGCCTCAGCAACTTAGCAGGACCCAGTCTCTAAATAAAATATAAAAAAGGGCTGGGGATGTGGCTCAGTGTCCCTGGGTTCAGTCCCTGGTACCAAAACAAAAACCGTCAACGGAGCTCAACTTATATCATATATGGTACATAATGGGTTTTAAGTTGGTTGCAGACTTGATTTGCATTTCAGGAATTTCCCCATGAATGTCCTTTTCCTGCTACAGGATCCGGTCTTGGATACCATGTTGCTTTAGGTATCATAGAGATTTTAAAATCTCTTTTTCTTTTTAGTTTTTAAAACATAGACAGTCTTTTAGAGTCACCATAAAATAGGTCAGCAAGTAGAGAGTGCGTGTGCCCCCACCATCACACACCCAAGCCTCCCCCAGACTGTTGAGGGCATTAGGGAAGGTCCTTAGTGTAAGAAGTCACACAAGTGAGGGACGTGGCAAGAATGGAAAAGTCCCTTTCAGGATCACCTCCCAGCCCCGTCTCCTTGCTCAGATGACTGCTGGCTGCAGCTGGTCTCTTTCCAGCACCGGCTCTGTCTGGACTGTGACCTCGACGTTCGCACAGTTTAGTGTATCATTTTAAGTACAGGTGGGACCATCCCATAGATGACTGCAACTTGCTTCCCCCTCCCCTTTTTTTCACATCATCTTCTTTTCTCTCCTTCTACTTGTTTTCTTGGTGCCTTAGAGTCGACATACTGATGGGATTTGCTGTCACACCTGTAGGTGACATGCCTACAGGGGACCATCTTTCAGCCATGAAAAGCATGGAGTAAGTCTGTCTAGAGTTCTGCAGGGACAGCCAGCTGAGGAGCACATGGAATCTGGGGGAAAGGCAGATGGGAGTGTTTTGTCCTGTTTTTTGTTAAAAGAAATATTCTGTTTATGTGTTACTGCAGGTGTAGAAGAAAATCAGTTTGTACACCAAACTTTCCCCCCACATTTCTTTTTTTAGGGGGGTACTGGGGATCGAACTCAAGGGCACTCAACCACTGAGCCRCATCCCCAGCCCCATTTTGTATTTCGCTTAAAGACAAGGCCTCGCTGAGGTACTTAGCTCCTCGTTTTTGCTGAGTCTGGCTCTGAACTTGCAATCCTCCTGCCTCAACCTCCCACGCTGCTGGGATGACTGGCGTGTGCCACCGTACCTGGCTTTTCCTCCCATTGTGAGATATAGTTGTCAAGTAAAAATGGATATATTTAAGGCATGCAACTTGATGTTCTTAATTTTATGTGTGTGTGGTGGAATGATTTATTGTTTCATGTGGTGACCATTTTTGTCTGTGTTTAGTGAGAATACTTGCAATTTCTCTTTGTAGATTTCAAGCGTACAACATATTATTATTAATTATCATCACTATGGTRTAGATCCCCAGGAACCGGAATCAGTGTATTATATTTAGAGATGAGATTGGGGGCGGGGATTTCAACATTTTCACAATGTGAGAGAGAAAACAATATTTAAAAATCAGCAGATCCTTTGGGAAGTCCCTAAACTGCATCATTGCTGTCGTCAGATGAGCTCTTCTGGGAACTTCTAGAAGCTTCCAGAGCTGCTTTCCCCATGACGAGTGGCTGGCTCTGCTTCCCCGCAGGTGCAGAGTGAGCTCCCGGGCTCACCCATCTTTCTCATGAAGCTGGCCCAGCACGCCCGGCACCTGGAGGTCCAGGTCCTCGCTGACCAGTACGGGAACGCCGTGTCGCTGTTTGGGCGCGACTGCTCCATCCAGCGGCGGCATCAGAAGATCATCGAGGAGGCTCCGGCCACCATTGCCACGCCGGCCCTGTTGGAGTTCATGGAGCAGGTGTGTTTGACACAGCGGGGCTTCTGTGTGCGCATGCGCGTGTGCGCTGCCCGGAGCTCCATCCCAGCTCAGAGTGGCCCAGGACCTTCTGGAGCCACGTGGCTGGAGAGTGGGGCATGCGCCCGAGAAGAGGAGGAGGGGGCCCGTTTCAGGGCCGATTGCATCTCCTGGGTGTTTTGGATCAGGTCATCTCTGAGGTCCCCAAATCTTCCCAGGTCACAGGTCCTCGGCCTGCCCTGGGTGAGGGAGCTGTTGCCGTTTACAGCTATCCGAGAGGACCCCCGGGTCCTGCTCTGTGTCTTTGCAGTGCGCCGTCCGCCTGGCCAAGACCGTGGGCTACGTGAGCGCAGGGACAGTTGAGTACCTCTACAGCCAGGACGGCAGCTTCCACTTCCTGGAGCTGAACCCTCGCCTGCAGGTGGAGCATCCCTGCACCGAGATGATCGCCGACGTCAACCTGCCCGCCGCCCAGCTGCAGGTGAGCCCGGCCTTCCCCCCTGGGGGGCCCTGTCCCTCCCACGAGTCCTTCCCGCCCTCTCAACTGCCTGTCCCCTGCGGAATGGCCGTTTTGATGTGTGAGTAGCATTTGGAGCTATGACAACTAAGAACCTTCTGGAAAGTGATTTGTCCCTTTTGTCCAGCCAAGAGCCCTTGAAGACACGGGTGAAGGCTGTGGACTTGGTCCCGGGAGAAGGCATTTCATGCATTTTCAGAGCCGAATACCCTTTTCTCCACCCAGAKAGGTGTTCTCAACACTTGGCCCCCCATTATCACCCTCTCTGAAGAGATTTACAGATTTTCCTAATCCCTTTCCTTTTGTCACCCCAGATACACTTTCTATCTCTTTGGGGACTCTAGATAGATCTGTGCTTTACATATAAAAAGAGTATTTTCCACTCCCTTGGGGACAGTGTGACACCTGTTGACAACACGTGACCCACAGTGAAGGACTCTGCATTAACTGAAATTCCCCATTTTTTTTTAAATGAATGTCACCTTCCCTCTCTCTCTYCTTTCAATCACCAGATTTTTTTTWAAAAAAATTATTTTGTTTACATTTTTTTTAGTTTAAACAATTGCAGGAGAGTCAGGAGATTGATACAATGAGCTCCCAAACGCCCTGCATCTGCAGCCACCGATTGTCACGCGTGCTTCCCCCTCTCCACTTGTCTGCCTGTGGGATCATCTTGGGGGAGTCCACCTTTTGAGACAAGGTTGTACTGAACCTTTGTGGCAGGCGGCCTCTATAAACCATCAGTATAAAGTCCCCCAAACAAGGGTATTCTAGCTCAGGGCCATAATAGAGTGACCACCCTTGGGAAGTAGGGCCGTCAAGCAACACATTTATTTAATCAATTGTCTACATTGAAAATACCTCCCCGGTCCCACTGATGTCTCTTTAGGGCTGTTTTGTTTGATTCATTTATTTTGGCGTGAGGGATTGAGCCCAGGGGTGCTCTACCCGTGAGCTGCATCCCCATCCCCCTTTATTTAGAGACAGGGTCTCACTGAGTTGCTTAGGGCCTCGCTAAGTTGCTTAGGCTGGCCTTGAACTCGCTATCATCCTGCCTCAGCCCCTGAGAGGCTGGGATCACAGGCGAGCATCACCTCAGCCCGCAGCGCTGACCTTTTGAAGCCATCAGACAGAAGGTCTGGGTCACCCGATTGTGTCAGGTTCACACTGAACGTGTTGGCAGAATATCACGGAGGTGATTTTGTGATCTGACGCATCCCACCAAGAGTCCCCGTGTTGGATGTGATTGTGTGGTCAAGCTGGGGTCTCTGTTTTGCATATTTTTCCTGCCAAAGATCCCGGTGCCCTTCACCAAACCTCCGTTTACCTTTTTGGCCAACAGGGTCCCCTCTGTCCTTCCACCCTGTACTTCTCCCGGGTCTCTGGATGTGGCTTCTCTCCATAACGGTACCTTTGYCCCCGGGAGCCAAGTCTGGCCTCCTGGCCCTCTTCTTTGTTTGCCACCCTGTAGCAGTGTCATGGGGCTAGTCTGGCTCAGCCTGTGACAGTTCTCCATTGCACCCCCCTGCGCTCACCGCGGTGGGGCCAGCATCGCAGAGGGACTGACCCCGTGGGATGGGTTTTCCGTTTTAGATCGCCATGGGTGTGCCGCTGCACCGGCTGAAGGACATCCGGCTTCTGTATGGAGAGTCGCCGTGGGGTGTGACACCCATATCTTTTGACACCCCTTCAAACCCTCCCCTGCCTCGAGGCCACGTCATTGCAGCCAGAATCACCAGCGAAAACCCGGATGAGGCAAGTGCTGGGGACCCTGTGTCTCCTCCATCTCAAATGCCCCAGCCTGGAGCTGACCCTGGAAGTCGGCCTCCTCCAGGTCCCTGTGGTCCAGCTCCTCAGCTTATAGAAAAGGAAATGTCTGGAAGGGACGTTCCATGGTTTATCAGCTCATGGGACACACAGTGTGTATGGCGCTGGTCTAGCCACTCATGTGACATTATTGCAACCTCTGGGTGTTACCTGTGCAACAGCTGGACAGGTTGGGGTGACCTAYCCTTGCTACTCCTGGACCTCTGAAGGCCAGGCTGAGCCCCGACTTGCAAGGTAGTATCCATCTCTGGGATAAACAGTTGGTTTTAGAGCCAGGGCCTTTGATTTCTGGCCCCAGGCACTTTTTGCTGTAATATAGCATTTGTCTCCTGTGGGRGTCCCTTATTGTCCTTACCTGGGTCTTGGAAAAGGAACCGACTGGCTTCTATCACAGTACACATGCTTACTGATTATCAAAGGATTCGTGAACCTACTATGTTTTAAACTTGTGTATTTGTTTTATCATTTATTTATTTATTTGTTGGTACTGGGAATTGAACCCAGCGTGCTTAATCCCTGAGCCACCTCCTCAGCCCTTTTTATTTTTTAAAATTTAGAGACAGGGTCTCGCTAAGTTGCTTAGGGCCTTGCTAAGTTGCTGAGGTTGGCTTTGAACTCTCGATCCTCCTGCCTCAGCCTCCCAGGTCCCTGTGATCACAGGCGTGCACCATCATGCCTGGATGTTTTACTTTATTTTTTGAACTAAATATACTTTTTAACTGATAAATGAAGACATAAACATTGTACATGTGAATGAGGTAATGTGACGTTTTGAGTCAGGTACGAATTGGGTAGTGATTAAATTTTTATATTCAAGAAATTTGGGTTAAGAGGGAGTCCCCAACCCCTTGACTTAGGTTTTTTTGTGTATGTGTGGTACTGGGGATTGAATCCAGGAGTGCTCTTCCACTGAGCTAATCCTGAGCTCCTCCTTTAGTCTTATTTTGAGGCAGGTTCTTGCTAAGTCACCGAGGCTGGCTTTGAACTTGGAGTCCTCCTGCCTCTGCCTGCCAAGTGCTGGGTTCCAGGTGTGCACCACACGCCCAGCTTGGTTGAAGAATGTTAGGCTCTGGTAGCTGATTTGTTTGGGATTTTTGGCTGCAAACCAAACACCAGCTCTGGCAGATAAGCAAACAGGAATTTTTCAGAGGGACAGTGGCTTGCTCACAGGACCCTGGAAGGACAGAGAATCAGGTTGAAAATAACCCACCCGGGAGCTCTCTACTCCCACCCACATCTGCGCACTCCGCCAAACGCCCGCATTGTCACTTAATTCATGAGTCCTWACCCTAGCTGGAGGGCTCCATGTCCACCCACCCTTACCACCTTCAGACAGGAAATCAGCCATGTGTCATGGGCCCACGGCGCCCATGGGACCTAGGGCCTTAAATATGCTGGGCAAGTCTCTGCCACTGAGCTGTACCCTTAGCCCACACTCTACAATTGTATTTWAAATTTTTTTTTGTTGTTTTGATACTGTGGATTGAATCTAGGGGGCACTTTACTGTTGAGCTGTATCCCCAGCCTTATTTTTTTGTTGTTAATTTTCTAAAAGTTTGAGACAGGGTCTTACTAAGTTGCTGAAGACCTCACTGAATTGCTGAGGCTGGCCTCAAACTTTTAATTCTCCCCTCTCAGCCTCTCAAGTTGCTGGGATTACAGGCGTGCACCACCACGCCTGGCTTATTTAAAATTGATATTATAGAAAACTTCCAGTGTGTAAAACCAGAGTGCACCTCCACCCAGTCCAGCCATGATCCATGTTCACCCATGGGACGCTGGCATCTCCCCTGTCCCAACTTGGTGGTGGTGGTTTCAGAGACTTTTTTAAAGGAAGAATCACATCGAGGTGCTCACACAGATACACCCGTGGATCCATCTACCCACACTGTGGCAGGAGCTATGAGTATTTGCTGATCCCCGTAAGCTTTTGCCTGTGGTCGGGGCTCTTGGATCTTTCTAGAACTGAATTCTGATGAGCACATACCTGGAGTAATGCCTTCTCATATCTTGCTCTTTCCTGTCTGGGCTCCAGGGGTTTAAGCCGAGCTCTGGGACCGTCCAGGAACTGAATTTCCGCAGCAGCAAGAACGTGTGGGGTTACTTCAGCGTGGCTGCCACGGGAGGCCTGCACGAGTTTGCTGATTCCCAGTTTGGCCACTGCTTCTCCTGGGGCGAGAACCGGGAAGAGGCCATTTCGTCAGTATTGCCTCCCTCCATCCCTCCTTCCTCTCCTCCTCTGGTCCCTCCTTCCCTGTGCCCTCCCCTCCCTCCTTCCCCTCCTCCCTCCCTCCCTCTCTCCTTCCCCTCCCTCCCTCCCTCCCTCCCTCCCTCCTTTAAGAACCAGAGGTTCCCCTGCATTCCATCAGGTCTTTTTTTTTTTTTTTTAATTTTGTTCTTTGAGTTGGACATGACGGTAGAATGTGTTTTGACCTATTATTACTTACACAGAGTCTAACTTCCCATTCCTGTGGCTGTGCATGATGTGGAGTTTCACTGGTCATGAATTCATTATGAACATAGGAAAGTTCTGTCCGGTTCACTCTACTGTCTTTCCTATTCCATCCCCCTCCCTTCATTCCCCTTTGACTAATCCAGGGAAATTCTGTCCCCCCACCTCCCACCATCTGACCCAGGACCCTCTCCAACTCCTGTTCACATCCGCACATCAGCGAGAACATTTGGCCTTTGGTGTATGGGGATTAAGCCATTAGATCTTGGGCTTGTAAGGGGTCTCACTTGAGGGAGACCCAAAGGATGCTTCAAGGTGATGCCAAGAATTTAAAAGGGGCCGAGTGGGGCAGCTGAATCAAAGGACAGAGGCCCTTGAAACCTAGCTCGTAAAGAGTTCCCTCATTGGCTGTATTCATGGCTCGGACTCAATTTGGGGGGCGGGGGGGGGCGGATCTGCTGGGTGCCGGTCACCACTCTGAGGCCTGTGACTGCAGGCCTGGGTTCCAGGCGGAGCCAAGTCCAAGTTCTCCTGGTTTCTGCAGAGCTGAGAAATCTGACATTGACACGGGACACTCAGGTTCTGAAACGGCACACCTGACCTGGGCACCAGAAGAGACGCACCGGCTCTTGTTGTAATTAAGCCTCGTGTGGGTGGCTGACTGCCCTTCACAGTGACACGGCGCACGGGCGTTGTGGGCATTTCATTTACAGACCCTTAGCCTCTGACCTGGCACTTGGCTGCTGATGAACTGAGTGGAGTTGGTGGTTTCCGTGATCAGGCCTCCTTGGCAGCTTAGAGTATTCATTTTCATTATGCCCAATGGACATGGCAGTCTTGAGGTTCACCAAGGACTGTTTGCAGCAAATAAGGCTCACGGGAGGAGGTGGGAGGCSCTGAGTGGCCGGCCCCCGGGATGGAATGACTTGACCCAGCATGGCCGTCAGTGCCCCCGACTCCCACAGCTTTCCTCATGGCTGACAGAGGCCGCCTGGGGGCTCAGTAGTCTTGGTTTTCCTGGAGCTGGTTTCTCTGGACGTGGGCCCTCTGAAGTGGGGTAGGCCCCAGCTAGCTGGGGCGAGTCAGTGGCCTTGGGGGCTGGTGGCTTCGTCTTCAGTTCCGACCACACCTGACATCCTGTTTGAGCCCTCTGTCTCCATTCTCCCCTCCTCTTCCCTTGCCTGCTGACGGCTGGGGACACTGCCTGCGGGAAGCTCCCTCTCCTGGAAGAGACGAGTTCAGTCCCTGGACTTCCCCTTCTGTCCTCCAGACAGGCTGGGGTCCCCCAGGGAGTGGGGGTCTCCACCCTGTGACCTGTGCCCTTTGCAGTTGGAGGCTGGGTTTGGGGGAGGGAGCCACAGAGCCTGCTGGGCCCTGAGTGCRGTAACTGCCATCACGGGCAGGTGGTCCTCAGGCACAGCTGGGGGGGTCACAGTGGCCCTCCAGAGGGCGGCTCCAGCTCTGGGACCAGGAGGAGACTTGACTAGGTCAAGGGGGAGACGGCTCGGTGATGAGCAGAGAGGCTGGCCCTTCCTCTCTCAATCATTAATTATTTTCGTAGTTGATTATAATCACAATGATATCGAATCATRTTCACAGATTAACAACTGTGCACTCTGCACGGGGTGTGTCATTTTAATCCTCAAACACCCGCATGATGTCAGGGTTATTCCCCCATCTTACAGATGAGGAACTGAGGGCCAGAGAGGTTAGGTCATCTGCCCGAGGTCACTCAGGCCATGAGGATACTGAGGCTGACACCCTGGCCATCTGACCCAGGACCCCCTCCAACTCCTGGTGGCTCTGGCACTCTGGGAACCCATCATGAGGCGTCCCGAGGACTCTGTCTGAATTCGTCAACCACTCGTGCATTTCCCCTCCAGGAACATGGTGGTGGCTTTGAAGGAACTGTCCATCCGGGGGGACTTCAGGACCACCGTGGAATACCTCATTAACCTCTTGGAGACCGAGAGCTTCCAGAACAACGACATAGACACTGGGTGGTTGGACCACCTTATTGCTGAGAAAGTGCAGGTAGAGGTCTGCCCACGCCTGCCCTCCAGGTGCCCAGGACTGCAGCGCCCGGCAGACACTGAGACAGGGAGTCTTTCCTAGGCGGAGAAGCCGGACGTCATGCTCGGGGTGGTGTGCGGGGCCTTGAACGTGGCCGATGCGATGTTCAGAACCTGCATGACGGATTTCCTGCACTCCCTGGAAAGGTAGGGTGAGCGATCCGTCCCTTTCCTCTTGTGAGGTGTGTTGGTGGCCCGAAAGGCGAGACGGGCTTTATTGGGGTGGCCAACCAGTCACCAGGTAGTGGTGAGCCCTTTCTACCTGTTTACCTTCATGAAATTCCTCAGATAAACCTGGACTGCCTCTGGGTTTGATGTCACAGGCCTGTCATCCCAGTGCCTTGGGAGGCTGAGGCTGAGTCAGGAGGATCTGGAGTTCACAGCCAGCCTCAGCAACTAAGTGAGGCCCTAATCAACTCAGTGAGACCCTGTCTCTCAATGAAAAAACGGCTGGGATGTGGCTTGGTAGTTAAGTGCCCCTGGGTTCAATCCTCAGTCCAAAACAAACAAACAAACAAACAAACAAACAAAACCCCCCCAAAACAAGACTGGGCTTCTGAGCCTGGGCGGGGGAGGGTCTTGTGGAGTGGGCAGGGGTGGGGTGGGACTCTTGAGGCCAGGCGACAGTGACCTTGCAGTCAGTCATGTGCACGTCCCTGTGGAGTTGTGTAAGGGGCATTGTAAGACTTGGGTGGAGGTGGATTGAAAAGCAGAGTGGGTCAAAGGCCATCTTTCCCAGACCCTCCCCAGCTCCACAGGRGACCTGCGACCTGGACTAGAATGGAGAGTGGCCACATGCTGTCTGGACAGCCAGGTTCCCACCTCAGCACCAGCGACGTTTTGAGCTGGGTCATGGTGGGTGGGGACTGTCCTGTGCCTTTCAGGGTGATGGCAGCATCCATGGGACAGTAACTTGTGTCCCCAGATATTGCCAAATGTCCCAGGGTAGGAGCAGCGTCTCCTCCCATTGAGGACCACCGTGACAGGCCAAGGACACTAAAAAGGATGAACAGGTGGAAAGCTTGTTACTGCTCAGCCGTCGTGCTTTGAGCAGGAATAGAATCACCGTCTCCTCTCTGGTTTCTTCCGTAGCAGGTGACACGTCCCCACACGGGGAGTTTTTCTGAGAAGAAGCCGTTGTGGATTTTGCTCCTGAGAAGCTTTTGTAAATTTTTACATTCTTGAACAGATGCTGATTTTTTTTAAAGTTTTTTTAAATTTTTTAATATTTGAGGGGATGGAGAGAGAGCTGGGAATTGAACCCAAGGGCGCTTTACCTCTGAGCCACATCCCCAGCCCCTTTTTATTTTTATTTTGAGACAGGGTCTCTCTAAGTTGCTGAGGGTCTCACTGAGTAGCTGAGGCTGACCTTGAACTTGCATCCTCCTGCCTCAGCCTCCTGAGTCACTGGGATGACAGGTGTGCAGGATCTAAGTCTTAATCAGACTTAGCCTTTTAGCACAGTCAGCTCTCGGTGCTTGGGAAGGTCAAAGAGGTGGGTGATGTTTTTCTTTCCTTTTTGCAGCGGGTCACTGGGGCTTGAACCCCCGGCCTTGTGCATGCCCAGCACTGAGCGGCACCTCCTGCCCCTGGGGATATTTTTAGACCCCGGGGTGGCTGGGGCGTGCTCGGCCCCTCCCCAGTCTGTCATGGGTCTGCCTTGTCTTCCAGGGGCCAGGTCCTCCCAGCGGCTTCTCTGCTGAACCTCGTGGACGTGGAGCTAATCTACGGGGGTATCAAGTACATTCTCAAGGTACAGCCCTTGGGCTTCCAGGTGCAGCGCTCTGGGGCCGCAGGGGGTTTGTTCCGCGTGGTGGGTGAACCTCCTGGAGCGGATTTTCTCCTGCTCGGGTCTGAGCCGCTGTGTTCCTTGGGAATCCCTGAGTAGTTCCTTCGTGACCCTGAAACCTAAACACTGGTTTTCTTTTTTTTTTTTTTTATTGGTTGTTCAAAACATTACAAAGCTCTTGACATATCATATTTCATACATTAGCTTCAAGTGGGTTATGAACTCCCAATTTTTACCCCAATTACAGATTGCTAAACACTRGTTTTCTAAAAGCACAGGGCCGGGTGGTGTGCAGAGGTCACAGTGGCACCATCTGGTGATCTCCTGTGGCTGCTGGAGCAACTTGCTACCCAGTGGAGACTTGAAGCAACAGCAGTTTATTTTCCCACGGTCTGGAGGCCATAGTCCAAAGTCCAGGTGCCAGCTGGGCYGTGGTCTCTCTGATGGTGCTAGGGAGGGGCCTCTGGCCTCTCGGRCTTCCGGTGGCTGGCTGTCGTTGGCGTTTCCTTGGGACTACACCACTGCTGACTGACTGTGCTTTCACACGGCCTCTGAGTGTGTGTGTGTATGTGAGAGAGAGAGCGAGCTGCCTCTTCACATTGCTTCTGGGTCTGCACCTGTGTCTCCATCTCTTCCCCTTTTATAGGAGCACCCGTGAGATTGAATTTAGGGCCCATGCTGACCCAACGTGATTTCATCTTAACTGTTTAATCTGCAAAGATCCAGTTTCCAAACAAGGTCACATTCTGAGGTTGCAGGAAAGTCAGGAGTTTGGGGAGGTCGTTTGTCCCCCCAAATGAGCAGAGCCTTCTCTGAGCTGGCCTGGCCCAYGGTCATTCCCAAGGCCTGGGAGGCTGGTTTAGTTCTGCATTCTGCACCAGGAATCCATGTGCACATTCCGGGGTTCACCATCAGCATTCCTGGGGCTTCCTCTGGTGGCTGTCCTCTYTGGGAGGTGTCTAGTTAGCCATGCATGTGTGCCAGGGTCTCTGGTGCAGCTGCAGGTACTGAATGTCCCCCTGGAAGCAGTGGCCTGCCTGGCACTTCCAGCCTCATGTTTTGGGGGGTGGGAAGAGGACCGAATCTGAGTCTGTTTCTGAGGCACAATTTTATTTTCTTTGACTTTACTTTTCTTATTTCTGAGYACACAGAGACTTTGAGTCTAGGCAAACAAATGTGTTGTCCTTGGGAGGTACTCTCCGTCTACATTTTTTGCCCCCCCCCAAGGTTTTTTAAAAGGTGTCCTTTGGGCCCCTGGGTCCTACCAACCTGATTTTCAATGTGGCACAATCTAATTGTAGAAAACTTTAAAGTTTCAAACAAGTCCACGGAGTCACAAAACTCAAACGATTCTTCACTGCTGCGTGGAGGCGGACTCTCTTCGTGAGTTAGCAGAGATCATGGTGCAAATCATTTTCCTGCTGTGATACCTAAAGTCATGAACAAGTTTCCTCCAAAGCCAGTGTGGTCTCTGGCGTGTTGTCCAGCAGGACTTTCCGTGGTGATGGAGATGAAGCTATGCTGTTCACCTGGTCAGGGTCCCCCGGGGCACCTGAAATGTGGCGAGGGTGACTGAGGAACTGGATTTTACATTTTATTTAATTTGGATTAATTTAAACAGTCCATGTTACTAGGGGGTCACCAGATTGGACCAAGAGGGTCTGGGCTTTTCCACAACAAAGGTGACAAGATGGGATGCTAGTTTCATGGCAGTTTTTATTATCATCACAGATAATGTTGCCGTCCGTATTCCTGTATTCCTGGCTATCTTGTCAAAATCTGTATTTTGTTGGTCGTGGGTCCTGGGGATGCCCGTTTCAAAACACACGATGACTTGCAGGTCAGGCGGGCGGGTATTTCAGTGGGACTGAAACTCAGAGCCAGGCCAGAGCCTAGTAGCCTGTCCGTTTCTCAAGTGTCCCACAGCTCACATGTGTCCCTGGGCAGAGCTGGGCCTAGGGGGCGGAGCCATAGTCCATGTTGGGGTGTCCTTGCCCATAGATGGGGTGGCTTATCAGCCGCAGAATGTGGTGCTCACAGTCCTGGAGGCTGGAAAGGCCAAGGTCAAGGCACAGCTGACGCTGTGTCTGGTGACCACTTCCTGGTTTGTAGCTGTGCCTTCTCTTGCTGTGTGCTTGTGTGGCAGAAGGGGACAGGAGCTCTCTGGGGTCACTTGGTGGAAGTCAATGGTCCTGTTCATGGAGACTGCACTCTCCTGGCCTGATCACCACCAAAGGCCCCCTCCCACCATTGCATTTGAGGTTAGGTTTTAGCATAGGAAACTGGGGGGCTTGTGGGTACATAAATAGTCTATGGAACCAGGACACTGGGGGGGTCTCACCAGGGCTGCTTTACCCAGAGTGTGATGAGCCCCGTCCCTGCCACCCACAGCCCTGCATAGGGCTGGCGCTTGGTGATGGGAACTAGAAGGGAGCCCCCAGCCCCGGAGGGTGGACATCCCAGGAGATGGCCAGGTAGGACGTGTGTCTGTAGTTGGCACCGTGGACTCCAGGCCCCGCCAGCCCTGCCAGTCCCGCAGCTGCTCCCTTGGGGTGAATGAGGACGAGGGCTAGAGGGGGGGCCCCCCACCCTTCCTGCAGAGCCTGCTCTTTCCCACGGTGCGAGGAGCCGTGTGGGCACATCCTGAGTCCAGGTGATGACACAGGCCTGTCCCCACAGGTGGCCCGGCAGTCTCTGACCATGTTCGTCCTCATCATGAACGGCTGCCACATCGAGATCGACGCCCACCGGCTGAACGACGGMGGGCTGCTGCTGTCCTACAATGGCAACAGCTACACCACGTACCTGAAGGAGGAAGTGGACAGGTGCGCGGGGGCCCGGGCCCACAGGGGACACCAAGGCCCACGGCGGGCAGGGTGTGCACAGGGCGTCCAAACTGCAGAGCTGGCCTGTGCACAGGTCTGTGGACGAGGCCTTCCCTGGGGAGTCCCGGGGGTGCCTGGGGAGGGTCCCCTCCTGCCTGGGATTCGTGCCACTGTCAGGCTTTCAGGGAGGGCTCCCAGGCGGGGAGCACCTTCCTAGGGACCCAGAGGGGTGCAGAGCTGAACGGGGCAGGGCGTCCAGCTCTGTGGCCCGGGRAGTGCATGATGGCGCGCCTGCTGCCCCCGTGGACGTGGGGCACCCTCCAGCTCATCTGATCATTCTGAGATCACACGGTGACATGTTGGTGACCCGTGCAGAGCAGGCAGCGCATACTGCAGCCACAGAGAACGGAGGGTGGAGCACGGGCCAGCGACCCCCTGCTCCTGCTCCCAAGGGGCCGAATTCGCGGGCCTCGGTGTTTCGGGAGAGGGCAGATTAAGTGCCTGCCTGAGGGACGTCGTCATCTCTTTTCTAAGCTGAGTTCTTTCCACCAAGAACATGCAAGATTATGTAGGTTCTACCCAAACGCACGCGCTCCCCAGTTCAGAGGCAAGGAGAGGAGTTKGGATCTAAGATGGATCAAGTAACGTTTATCGACGGCTTTCTCAATGCCAGGACCCGTTGGGATTTATCAGTAAAAGGCTCTAGTTTTCAGCCAGGGTGAAAAGAAACACCTGTTTTTCTTCCCCAACTCACTTTCAGTGTCTCCATGGTAATGGTCAAATGTCCCCATTTGAAACCGTGGAGTCCCCACTGCTGCTCAGAGGGTGTCACGCGTGGCCACCTTCAGGGGAAGCTGCCTCGGGCTTGCGGGGCCGAGGGTCCTCATCCGTCCCCCTACCTGCTCCTCTCTCCCAGTTACCGAATCACCATCGGCAACAAGACGTGCGTGTTTGAGAAGGAGAACGATCCCACCGTCCTGAGGTCCCCCTCGGCCGGGAAGCTGACGCAGTACACGGTGGAGGACGGCGGCCACGTGGAGGCGGGGAGCAGCTACGCCGAGATGGAGGTGACTGATGCCCTGCAGCATTCAAAGGGGAAATCTGGGCCCAGGGACGAGTGAGAACTGAGGCCCCCTCAGGATGCAGCGAGTGTAGGGTTTGGAAAGTCCTTACCGTGGGCAGGTGCTGGCCTGAGCACTTGACCTCTCTACTTCTTCAATCTTCCCAGCAACCATGGGAAGGGGCACACATGTGATCCCCGTTTTACATGTGAAAAAGATCAGGCTCAAGAAGGCCAAGGAAGTCTGGCGCGGAGGCCCACGCCTGTCATCCCAACAGCTCGGGAGGCTGAGGCAGGAGGATGGTGAGCTCAAAGCCAGCTTCAGCAAGCAGCAAGGTCCTAAGCAACTCAGTGAGACCCTGTCTCTGAATAAAATACAAAATAGGGCTGGGATAGGGCTCCGTGGTGAGTGCCCTGAGTTCAATCCACAGTACCAAAAAAAAGAAAGGTAAGGAATGTGCTCAAGGTCACCCAAAGTCAGGACTTGAACTTGGCCTCCTCGCCATGCCCAGGAAAAAGGACAACAGCAACGCGAACCCAGCAGGGAGGTGAGCGGTGTCTCAGACTCCCGCCACAGGATGGGTGCCTCATTGCACGCAGGCCTCTCCAGAGCCCTGGGGTGTGACTCACGAGTCCCGTTTTACAGCTGGAGAAACTGAGGCTCAGAGAGGGGAAGGCACTTTCTGGAAATCACAGAGGTGGCGATTGGGGATCTTGGGTTTCAGCCCTGGCCTGGCTGACTTGGGTGCCCAAGCTGTGACCTGCCAAGCCAGGGGCAGCACTGCCCTGACTGTCCGAAGCTGGGACCATGCGGACAAATCCTCCGCCAGTCACGTCTGCAGACCCCGGGGAGGTGGGGAGGCGAGCTGTAGGCTGCTGGYCCTTCCGTGAGCCGGTCCCCCATCCCACAGAGCACCCCCAAGGCCTCTCAGGAGCTTGTGCCCCAGGGACTGGTGACAGAGTGTTTGATTCACATGGCACATAGGAGGAGCAGGTTCTGAGAATCACATCGTCAGACGGTTTCTTCCTCACGTAGATGTCACACAGTGACCTTGCATGGCCTGGATGGCGTGGGCCAGTCGCCCCACGTGGCCTCGAGATGTGAGATACAGGAGGYGGCTGCTGGTGGGCACGGCAGACTRTTGTGACCTTTTTTTTGTTGTCAAACACCCACAGAGAGCGTAGTGAATACATCAACCAGTCAGCAGCCCTGTGATRTCGTCACAATGTGACACGCTGCGCGTGCTTGTGCTCTGCTTTTGCGGTCCTCGCAGGGCAGCACGTAGGTTTTTCACACCAGCAATCACCTCAGATGATTAGTGTCTTGCACTGTGACCTTAGGACGGCCACCATGTCACTGGGAGAGGGGAAGTTTTTACCTCTTTGGGCCCTGCTGTCATGATTGGCATGTCGATGACTGAAACCCTGTTGTGGGGCACGTCCCCGAACACCGATCACTCGATGCAGTATGCCTGCTCTGTATTTCTGGGGGAGAGGCCCGCCTTTGAGAATAAATGTCAAGACAAGCGAGGGGGCAGGTGGCCCAGTGTGGGCGAGGCCCTGGGTTCTGTGAGAAGCAGCATAAAAGCTAAGCCAACCTACAAGCCCAGGGAGAATCAAGGTTCCTAGGGTCGGAGGAGTAGCTCATTGTCAGACACTCGCCTGGCATGCACAGCCCAGGGCTCTGCAACCAAAAACAAGAACTAGAGAAAGCAGCAAAGACATGCCAGCGTCCCTGTCAGGGTAGGCTTTGCGGGTTGAGAGTCCGGGCCCGGAGCAGCCTGGTACGCGGCGGGCTCGCCCTAATGTGGGGTCTCCCCCTTTCTGCTGAGTGCTGCTGGGAGTCTCTCCGTCCTAGGTCACAGCCCCTGCTTTGCAGTCCCTGGTTCTGGGTGGCTCAGGGTGCCACCCACCAGCGGTCCCCRTGGTCTCTGTCCTACTTCTCTTTGCCCAACAGGTGATGAAGATGATCATGACCCTGAACGTGCAGGAAAGCGGCCGGGTAAAGTACATCAAGCGGCCGGGAGCCGTGCTGGAAGCCGGCTGCGTGGTGGCCAGGCTGGAGCTCGATGACCCCTCTAAAGTGCACCCGGTATGTGTAACAGGACCCCTGTCAGCCAGCGTTTCCTGTGCTGGGTCGGTGAGGCAGGACCTGGCCACCCCCAAGTCCCTGCAGGGTCACAGAAATCTGAGGCTCATGTGAACTCCCGGGAGACGGATGGGCACAGGATGCCGTTTGGCCTCATAATCGCAGTGAGAGCGGTTGCCTTTGGCCTCGGCTGTGGGGACCCAGTGTAGAAGCCAGCAGCTGACTGCAGAGGGGATCCCCTCAAGTCGGCTCACAGGGGAGAAGGARCCTGCAGGGTGGCGAGGGTTGGCAGGAGACCGGGTGTTCCAGACTTGGAGGACRGCCTGTCCCAACCGTGTGGGTGCCAGCGGACCTTCGTAGAATGAACTAGCACATACATGGCTGTACTGAATCCTGTGGCCGCTCTGGGGAGCTGGTGAYTTTTCCTCCTGGTTACCTGAGGCTGAACGTTTATGATTTCCAAAACTCGGTTCTGTTTCCTTGAGGTTTTCATCCTGCCGGGCCTTTGTCACTCACTAGACAGTGGAAATGAACAGAGAAAATAGGGAAATGGTCTTCATTACAAAGCAAAGCAAAATAAGAAAAAAAAATATAACGACTTCTAAAACAGTTTGGAGTCTGAATCAGTAACGCTAGGACATTTGCGGAGGGGCTGAGTTGGGACACGTGGTCAGGGCACAAATTCAGCAATTCCAAATCCTGGTGCATTCTTTTCTCCTGTTGGTTCTTGGGGTTCACCCTCCTAGATCAGGTCTGTGGGAGCCCATCCATCTGCCTCATGCCCCGGCTTGTCGAGTCTCGTCGGGTTCAGGGCCTCTGTGACCCGTCCCTCTTGTCCCTCACCAGGCGCAGCCCTTCACAGGAGAGCTGCCCACCCAGCCCACACTGCCCATCCTGGGGGAGAAGCTGCACCAGGTGTTCCACAGCGTCCTGGGGAACCTGACCAACATCATGAGCGGCTACTGCCTGCCAGAGCCCATCTTTAGCATAAAGGTAGGTCCCCTGTGAAGAGCAGGTGCGGTCCGAAGGGCTCACTCCGTGACATCAGAGGGCTTTTTTGGAACATGGAATGAGAAAACAGTCCTCTCTCGTTTCTGTAAAGGACAATTTCCTCAGGGAATTCCTCAGTTTGTAAGTTTTGGGGTGCATTTCCTTCTCCATGATCAGCTGATGTTAGTTACCTGAGTTCACGAAGTTTGGGAGGAGTCTGTGGGTGTGGCCAGCCCTGCCCCACCTTTTGGTGCTGGGCGTTGAACCCAGGGGGGCTCATTTCCCAGCCCTCACTAAGTTGCTGAGGCTGACCTTGATCCTCCTGCCTGAGCCTCTCGGGTTGCTGGGTGGGACAGCCCTCTTAATGACACCAGCAGGAAGACAGTTAGTTCAGAGACACTGTCCTCACCAGCCACCGTCCTAGGGTCCCAAGAGGAACACGGAGGTCCCCAATCATAGACCTTCCTGAAAGACCCCTGATGCTAAACCGACCAAGATCCCCCTGAGGGCTGCCCCGCAGGAGAGCAAGGCTCAGTGATGTGGCGAGGACAGGTGGCGAGGACAATGGTGACAGCCCTTGTCTGGACATACTATGTGCCTGATGCCGTTCTCGGTATGTAAAGTTGATGAAGTCATCAGATCTTCCCAGCAACCTAGGAAGCAGGAACCTTTATGATTTCCATTTGCAGATGGGGCAGCTGAGGCACAGAGAGGGTAAGAAATGTGCCCTGCTTCTCCCACRAAGAGGTCAAGAAGGGGTTTGAACCCCGACCATCTGGCCTCAGGGTCTGAGCTCTTCACCACTGTGCCATGCTGCCTAATGATGATTGCTGTAGGGATAGAGTCTTTCTATAGATAGAATATTGCTGCAGAGAGAGTCTTTGCACTTGCCAGTTACATTTTGAACCTCCTTTGTTGTTGGAGTTGGCACCGTTATCATCCCCATCCAAAGACCATCTCTGGTGGTCAGAGACACACTGGAAACAGAGTAGGGCAACTGTTGGAGGCATGTGAGCTCAATGGCTTTGGTTTGCATTCTGGTTTTGCTTCTTGGTATAGCTGGGTGATCTGGGGTAACTTAATCAACCCCTCTGTGTTTTAGTTTCAATTGTGAAAGGGAAGCGGTTATCATTCCTACTTGGTAGGATGATTTCTCAGGATCAAAGGACAGCTTCTAAAGAAAGGTTTTTGAGGGTGTCTGTCACTAAGCAAGTGTCTCACAAATGCTAGCTGGTCACATGACCTTGCGTTTCCTCCTCACCCTGTGCTGGGTGCAGAGAAGGGAGCAGGGGGCCTTTGCCCTCTGGACTGTTCTAGAGGCTGCGGGGTCAAGTTCTTTGGCCACAGCAGTGCTCAGGCCTGGGCGGGCTGAGTCGGGTTGGGCTGTGGTGGGTGGCAGGGTCCTCGGCCACGCGGGGCTGTGCTGACTGGGGTGGTCTCCGCTGCAGCTGAAGGAGTGGGTGCAGAAGCTCATGACRACCCTCCGGCACCCGTCACTGCCGCTGCTGGAGCTGCAGGAGATCATGACCAGCGTGTCGGGTCGCATCCCCGTCCCCGTGGAGAAGTCGGTCCGCAGGGTGATGGCCCAGTACGCCAGCAACATCACCTCCGTGCTGTGCCAGTTCCCCAGCCAGCAGGTACGTGGCCCAGCCAGCCCCACGGGGATGCCCGCTCTCCACGTCTGGCCTCTGATCAAGTTGGGCTTCCTTCTTTCTTTCATTCTTTCTTCCTTCTTTTTTAGTACTAGGGATTGAACCCAGGGGTGCTAAACCACSGAGCCACATCCCCAGCCTTTTTTTCCTGTTTAAATTTTATTTAGAGATGTGGTCTTACTAAGTTGCTTAGGGCCTTGCTAATGACCCTCCTGCCTCAGCCTCCCAAGCCCTTGGGATGTCAGGCATGTGCCACCAGATCCAGCAAGTTGGGCTTCTTGACACCTACTTACAGGTCATCCCCAGAGGTTGAGAATGCTAGAGATTAGATTTTTTTTCCATCACTGGGAATGGAACCCAGGGCTGTCCATCAAGGTTAGAACATGGTTCAGCCATAAAAATAAATGAAGAGCTGATTCATGCTAAGGAAAAAAGCCAGTCACAAAAGACTCACTTGATTTATGCTTCTGTTTAGAAGAAATGTCCGTAATAGGAGAATCCGTGGAGAAGGAAGCAGGCCRGTTTACCAGGGTGTAAGGCAGAGGGGACTTGAGGAGTGATGGCTGATTAGTGTGCAGTTCTGGGGTGATGAGGGTCCCTTAACATTACCAGGTGCAGTGGTGCACGCCTGTCATCCCAGCAGCTTGGGAGGCTGAGGCAGGAGGATCTCAGGTTCAAAGCCAGCCTCAGCACAARGGAAGCCCCTAAGCAACTTAATGAGCCCCTGTCTCTAAATAAAATACAAAATAGGGCTGGGGATGGGGCTCAGTGGTCAAGTGACCCTGAGTTCAATCCCTGGTACCCCCTCCCCCCAAAAAAAACGTAAAAGAAAGTGCCCTAAAATTAGTTGGTGTACACCTTTGTGAATATCCTGCAGACCAAGGAACGGGCACCTTAAAGGAGGTGGGAGGAGAGTATGGCACGTAAGTTGTATCTCAATTCAAGATAACAAAAGCCAGGCTCCAGAGGACCCCAACTGAAAAAAGCACATGGTGGGAACTTTCAGAAATTTATTCCTGATGCAGGTTTAATTTTCTTTGAAAATCCCTTTGTCAGCCGGACACGGTGGCACACATTGTCATCCTAGCAACTCAGGAGGCTGAGGCAGGAGGATCATCAATTCAAGGCTAGTCTCGGCCACATTGTAAGGCCCTGCCTGAAAATAAAAAAAAAAAAAAATTAAAAGGGCTGAGGTGTGGTTCCATGGTTCGGCACTTGCCTGGCATACACGAGGCCCTGGGTTCAGTCCCAGGACTGGAAACAGCAACAATAGCTTCTTTTGTTGCCGAAAGCAATAGACCAGTGACATTAAGTCTAAATATAAATATAGGACCCTTCCCGGGGCTGGGGCTGGGGCTGGGGCTCAGTGGTAGAGCTCTTGCCTGGCATGTGTGAGGCACTGGGTTCGATTCTGAGCACCACATATAAATATATAAGTAAAATAAAGGTCTATCCACAAATAAAAGAAACTATTTGCAAAAAAAAAAAAGGCTAAATGTCTTAAAAACAAAAAAAGGACCTTTCTCCCCTGCACCTTTGCTGGGCTTGGGTCCTTCCTCCCCCTCTGTCCCAGTGCCGTGCACCTGTTTGGTGACTGTTGTCATTCTGAGCTCTTGAAGTCTCCCTGCAGTACCCCGAGGGGGGGACCAGGGCTGTTTCAGGGTGACCATTTGGGGCTRGGATTCTTTGAACCCTGGGTGGGGCCCCGTGATGGCTACTTCGGGGCTTCGTCATCTGCTGTCAGTGGTCAGACCTGTCTTGTCCTGTCCAGATTGCCACCATCCTGGACTGCCACGCGGCCACCCTGCAGCGCAAGGCCGACCGAGAGGTCTTCTTCATGAACACCCAGAGCATCGTGCAGCTGGTGCAGAGGTGAAGGGCCCCTGGGCCCTCCAGGGGGTGCCGTTTTCACGCTGAGGGGCCGCCTGTCTCCAGAGCTGGCCTGGGGCTGTCTGAGGGGCAGGTCCTCACTGACATGAGTCCTGGCTCTGCCGTTACTGAGAGCGGAGACCTGGCCTTACCCTCCGTGGGTCTCAGTTCACCAGCAGGCGAAAGGGGGGTAAAAACACTTCACAAGATACGTCCCTTGGAGTCGTATGGGGGCTAACCTTGGGAAAGCTGTGACATTGGGCCAGTGTTCACCAGGTGGTAGCTTGGATCAGGACACAGTAGGATGAGATGGTTTCATGTACAAGAAAGGACCGTGCAATTACCATTKCGGTTTTGGGGACCACTGCCGAGGAAGGTTGGTGAATAACTTGAATCGTATCTTGGGTAGGTAGGGGCAGGGGCAGTCTGCTGCAGGACTGTGCTGATGATAAGAGAGATCTTTGCCATTTTTCATGAAGAACCTACGTAGCAAGATGGCTTGGCTCATAGAGAGAATGGAAGCAGATTTGAACCAATCAGATCAGTACCTAGTTACCAAGTGCCAGGAACTCAGATAGAGAGAATGGGGGGACCTTAGGAGGTGACCCTCCTTTCAAGGAGTTCCGCAACTCCTGGGCTCCGACTGGCCCTGTAGTCTGCAGCAGAGGGAGGGGATTTTGAAGCGCATCCCCACAAAATGGAAGCCTCACAGCCAAGGAGTACCAGGGAGTCCCCCCAAAAATGCATCCGCTGCTCACCTTAAGCCCACCCTTTAAGCTTCAGTGAAACACCCAGAAGGAATGACACACGGTATTAATCGTCTCTAGCAAACTTTTCTGTGTTGAACATAATTATCAGAGTTCTACCCCATGCTGTGACTGAAAAGACAATTGCATTTGGAATGATTTTTTATTTACTCTTTTAATTCTTGTTCTTTTGTTGTCATTGAGTCCTGCTGGGGTAAGCTGGTTTCTGATTCCCTAGAACTTAGTATCGCACCCCCTGARAAACCCAATTCCCTGTGTTCAGAAATATTCTAGAAGAGAAAATGTTTCGGGAAATGCGGTTTAACCCAGGAAAAAGTTTTGTCTCAAAGGGGAAATGAAATTTACACAGGATCTATCTTTTGGTGAATGTCTTTCGAGTTTGTCTTTTGGGAAAATCTCTTTATAGACTGGATGCTTAATCGGACATTTTTACTTTTGCGGTTAAAATTGGCTTCCCCCCTTCAGCATCCAGCTCTCTTAGGTTTGTTCCCTTCTCTGAGGGGCTGCGCCAGGGCTGCCCCAGGGCTCCATCCCGGGTACTCACCCAGCAGGGCCGCTGGTTTGAGGGGCAGGTCTGCCTGCAGGCCCAGGCCACKGTGCCTGAGAATCAGAGGGCACAGCCTCCTCGGGCTGGGTGACTGTCACCTCCTTTCTAAAGCCATAAAAGCCCTGGGGGATGTCCCAGRAGGGAGGTGGGCGGTAACCTGGCTGCCTTCCTCTCCCCAGGTACCGCAGTGGGGCCCGCGGCTACATGAAGGCGGTGGTGCTGGATCTCCTGCGGAGATATTTGCAGGTTGAGCATCATTTCCAACAAGGCAAGAGACAGGGCCCGCTCATGGCACGGGTGGCAGACCTGGGCTGGGCAGTGGGGAGAAGCCGCCGTCTTAACCCCAGGCCGCCTCCTCTCCTCTCTAGCTCACTACGACAAGTGTGTGATAAACCTCAGGGAGCAGTTCAAGCCGGACATGTCCCAGGTGCTGGACTGCATCTTCTCCCACGCACAGGTGGCCAAGAAGAACCAGCTGGTGATCATGCTGATAGTAAGCAGGAGGTGTCCTCCACCCCAAGCCGGGCTGGGTCGGGGGCCAGAAGGCAAGCATTCTGGACTTGGCGGGGTGGGCGCTGTCTGGACCACTTGACTCTGCCATTGTTCAGTGTTCCAGTAAAACTTGGTTTGCAACCATAGGCAGGGTCACTCCCGAAGCCTCTGCTCTGTGCCAGGCCCTCTTGGAGTACTTTACAAATAAATATTAACTCATTTAGTTCTCACAGAAACCCTAATAACGGTTCTCACCTCCCATTGGAAGAGCTCAGAGAGGTAAAGCCACTTGCCCAAGGGTACTCAGCTCTGTGAGTGCAGAGCCAGGATTTGAACCCACAGCCTGGATCCAGCATCATGAGCTATTAGGAGTATTGTGTTCTTGGTCTGGTGGTAGGTCCTTATTGTGCCTTCTTGGAGACGTAAGGCATTTCCTGCAAGATAGTCATAAGCAGTCTTTATAGTTAAAGACTTTCCCCCTGGATACCTGTCCTGATGACTCCTTAGAAAATGTAGGATCAGCAGAGAAGGAGAGACTTGGACTTGGCTTAGAACAAGAAGGGCTTGGCAATTTTTTTCTGTAAAGGGCCCTAGAGGGTAAATATTTCAGATTTGTGGTCACAGGGCTTCTGTTATAGCTCCTTAGCCCCATGAGCTTGTAATCTCAAGCAGCTAGAATGAGTGAGGCTGGGTTCCTATAGCACTATTTTTTTGGGAGGGGTTACCAGGGATTGAACCCAGGGGCACTTAACCATGGAGCCCCACTCTCAGCCCTTTTTATTTTTCATTTTGAGACAGGGTCTTGCTGAGTTGCTCAGGGCCTCAGTAAGTTGCCAAGGCTAGCCTTGAACTTGTGATCCTCCTGCCTCAGCCTCCGGAGCTACTGGGTTTGCAAGCATGTGCCACCATGCTCAGCTCCTATAACACTATTTACAAAAATAGTCAGTAGGCAGAGTTTGGGCCCGGGGCTTGTAGGAGAGCAAACACCTAACAAGTTGTATTCATCAATGTTGGTATTTTGGAAAGGGTCATTTTAACATCTCTTTGTGCAGCACATTTCAATCCTGGTGGCACATGAGAAGCACCTGGTGGGCAGCAGGGTTTTTTAAAAAAAACAAAAAACAGATGCTCAAACCCTACCTTTTGTTCAATTAAATCAGAGGTTTTGGAAATGGAGCCCAGAGGTTAGTACCTTTGAAAGCTTCGGCAATGGGAAATTGAAACATGGACTGTGTGTCGGGTAATATCGTTAGTGTCATGTTTAGTTTCTTTTGTTTTTTAGAGGTTCTGTAGGCAACTGGGAGAATATCTTTTCTCTCAGCCAGATATGTACTTAAATAGTGTAAAAGATCACAGTGTCTGCATCCCACTTTCAAGAAGAGGGAGAGTGTGAGCATGCACATGTGCTTACAGCGAAATCCAGTGTGCTGCTGTGATAAAAAGTTAACAATTAGTCACTCYGGGTGTTTAGGGGCTATCAACACATGGATCTTCGTTACCTCTGAAGTTTTTAAAAATTAATTTCAGGGGGAGGACTCCCCAAAGTAGTTACAGGGTGAGGCCAGGATCGGGCACCTGTGCCCAGGGAGGTATCTGCTCTTCGGGGAATTCCACAGCTATAGTAATAGAACGCTTTTCAAAACACTTCCTTTGGTGGAGTGTTTGTGAAGTGTGTAGAGCAAGGTTTCCTGTCGTGGTCAGAGTCGGCTCAGCATTCGAAGACCTGACTCTCAGGTCTTGAAGTTTCTAAAATCATGTGCACCAGATGTCAGCCTGGGGGAGATGGTGGAAGGGCCCAGCTCAGAGAATTGGGATGCTTACTTGGGGCTGCTGCTCCTTCTTTTTTTTTTTTTTTTTTTGGTACCAGGGATCAAACTCAGGGGCACTCGGCCACTGAACTGCATCCCCAGCCCTATTTTGTATTTTATTTAGAGACAGCATCTCACTGAGTTGCTTAGTGTCTTGTTTTTGCTGAGGATGGCTTTGAACTCGMGATCCTCCTGCCTCAGCCTCCCAAGCTGCTGGGATGACAGGCATGTGCCACTGCCCCCAGAATGTTGTCCCAGGCGTGGTTTGGGGGTCAGAGGTGAGATTCACTCTGTGGCTCTTTTGCTTTCATTTGTTAGGAATCAGTGGAGTTTGGTCCTGCAGAAGCTTTCGGCAAAGGCTTCCCACTTTGATTCCTGTGAGATGAGATTGTTTGGAGTCTATTAAGGGGACATAGTTTCTGCATGTCATTTAGGGGTCCTAGAACTTGGCGACAAGACAAAGAAAACAAAACGTGGTAGTGTAGAATAAAGTACACAAGGACAAAGAAAGAAGGGATTCGGGGCTCTTGTGTGTGCAGGGTGGTGTCCTGGCTTTTAAAATGCTCACACACACACACTCACACACTCACACACACTGTCACACACACACACACTCTCTCACACACTCGTACACACTGTCACACACACATTCGCACATTCACAAACATACACTCTCACACACACACTCACACCATGATCACACTCTGCCATCCTGGTGGCTGAACAGCGCCTGCCCTCTATGCTCTCCTTGGAGCCACAAGCTGGGTGGCATGGTGAGGGCAATGTCACCACCCCTTGACCATACGGAGTGAATCAGAACTGGGGGAGGAGAGAGGATTTAGATAATTTCCCATGAAATTTCTTGAGCCTCGACGTGCCTGTGTGCTTATGTATGAAATATTAATACATAAAAAATTACGACTCTAGGGCTGGGATGTGGCTCAGTGGTAGAGTGCTCGCTTAGCATGCATGAGGCACGGGGGTTCGATCCTCAGCACCACATAAATGTAAAATAAAGATATCGTGTCCACCTAAAACTAAAATATATATATATATAAATTTCCGACTCTAAAAGCCGCGTGGGTTTAACATAATTAGGGAAACCCGTGCATGAGAAACAGTCACAGCCCGCCCTCTGGTGAGACTCCTTGGGGAACAGTGGTGGCGGATGGCGGGGGGCTGTCTCCTGTGGTCTTGGACGAGGCTCCTGCTCTGGCCGTTCCCGAGGCCCTCTTGTGCTCAGGGCATAAAGGAAGATGCAGAGACCACGGTCCTGGTCTCCAGCAGGAAGGTCCGCCACACAGAAGGACTCAGCACCCCTTTCTCTTCTGCAAGATTCCACTCCCAGCTCCTCCCCTCTGAAACTGAACCCTTGAAGTCAGGTAGCAGCGTGTAGGGGGGGACGCTGGTGGTTTCAGGGACCCAATAGAGCTGTGCTCCGATCTGCTCCACCCTGCACAGGCTCCGAGCCTCAGTTTCCTCATCTATAAAATGGGGATCCTGATAGTAACTCCTCAGAGGGTTGGGAGAATGGGGAGAAAAGCGTGTAAAGGATCTAGCTATTTTCCTGGCACACAGTCAGTGCCTGCTGAATGCTCACTAGAATAGTATAAGATTGAGCATCCCCAAGCCAAACTCTGAAATGCTCCAAATTCTGAAAGTTTTCRAACACCAGCAGGATGCCACAAGTAGAAAACTCTGCCTCTGCCCTCCTGTGTTGGGTTGCAGTTGAAATGTAGATGAACTAAAAATATCACACAAAATATTTCAGGCTGCGTGTGTGTAAGGTGTATGTGCGACTATTTATCTGTCTGTTTTTTATTTTTGCAGAGCTGGGGCTCCAGCCCATGGTCTTCCACATACTAGGCAAACTCTCTCCCACTGTGCTCTGTCCCTAGTCCCAATGTACTTGAAACATACACAAGTTTCATGTTTAGATTTGGGTTTTGTCCCCAAGATAACTCATTATGTATATGCAAATATTCCAAAATCTCCCTCCTCCCAGAAAAGATCTGAAATCCCAAACACTGCTATTCCCAGCATTTCAAAGAAGCATCACTCAACCTGTGCTCTAGGCAAAGACTTAGTTATATTTTTCTTTTCCTTCTTTCTTTTTTTTCTTTTTCTTTCTTTCTTTTTTTTTTTTTTTTTTTTTTTTTGGTACCAGGGATTGAACCCAGGGACACTCGACCACTGAGCCCCATCCCCAGCCCTATTTTGTATTTTATTTAGAGACAGGGTCTCACTGAGTTGCTCAGGGCCTCACTGTTGCTGAGGCTGGCTGTGAACTGGCGATCCTCCTGCCTCATCCTCCTGAGCAGCTGGGATTCCAGGCATGCGCCACCGCGCCCAGCTTAGTTGTATTTTTCTTCTTGCTAGGTATTGAGGGTGTGTTTTGGAGTATGAGTGGGCAACTGGGTGAATGAAGGGGTAGGGGTGCCCATGGTAGAGAGGAGCAAAGGAGTGTCTCAGGCTGTGCCTGTTGCCCTGATAGCGGACACTGGTTTGTTCGGGCAACTTTACGCCTGACCTGTTCCCCTCTGGCAGAGAAAATTCATTTGGATTCTGTTTCTGTCCCCTAAAGGATGAGCTCTGTGGCCCAGACCCTTCCCTGTCGGACGAGCTGACCGCCATCCTCCACCAGCTCACTCAGCTGAGCAAGACAGAGCACTGCAAAGTGGCCCTCAGAGCCAGACAGGTGAGGGCTCCAGGCACCCGGACCAGGCGCGGGGCTGCCCCGAGCCCACCCGGCTTCTCTTATGCCAGCCTCGCCCCCTCCCTGACAGGTGCTGATCGCCTCCCACCTCCCCTCCTACGAGCTGAGGCACAACCAGGTGGAGTCCATCTTCCTGTCTGCCATCGACATGTATGGCCACCAGTTCTGCCCAGAAAACCTCAAGGTGGGACATCTTCTTCCTTCCAGCTTCCACAGAGCACGCCCTGGCCCAGGTGGGGGTCTTGGGGCCTACAGGCTCCCCCTGCTTCAGGGTGCTCACTTCCAGGCTTCCAGGATGCCCGGCATCTGAAGCTGGGAACCCTGGGCAGGATCCAGGGCTTGATTGGCAGGTCTTCTGAGGCTGCATGTGGGAGGAGCCCGGAGTGGGAGGAGCCCGGAGTGGGAGGAGCCCGGAGTTCGAGGAGCCCGGAGTTCGAGGAGCCCGGAGTTTGGGGTCCTTGGCCAGCGCCAGGGACAGCACCGCGGCCATATTCTCCTACTCCCACTCCTCCTGCGCCTCTGGTTGGTGGTTAAAACCTGTTCACATTTTTTTTTCCTTTTCCCTTTTTCCATTTCCCATAGAAATTAATCCTCTCAGAAACGACCATATTTGACGTCCTGCCCTCCTTCTTCTATCACACTAACAAAGTCGTTTGCATGGCTTCCCTGGAGGTAAGTAGGGGAGGCCTGGGGGACAGTGGCAGGCCTGAGCTTGCCAGTTGTAACATTCAGTGCCGGCTGGCCTGCGCCTGACCCCCCTGGGCCATGGCCTTGCAAACATGACTTTATGCTCTCCAAGTTAGTATTCATCTTGCAGAGGAATGAACTGAGACAGAGAGGTGAAGTGACTTGCTCAAGGTCATAAACTAGGAGGGGCAGGACCAGGATTTCCACTAGATCTGTTTTGTTGCAAAGTCTGTACAGGTAACCACTGCTGTGTCCTGTGTCACCGCAGTTCTTCCAGGCAGGACACAGCTAACTGCTAACCCTCAGATCCAAGTCCAAGGCACCTTGTCCAGACTTGCTGACTGTGCGCATTAATTAATACTTCAGATAGACTTTTCTACCTGGAGCTCTGAGAGCCAGAAGGAGCCTGGATGACTATTTAAAGTGACTGCCCTTTGTGACAGGACAGAGAAGGGTATGTATGACCAGCAGCAAAACCCAGATGAGGGCCAGGTGGTCTTGCTCCTATCTCTCTGCATTTAGGAGCCAAGAGGTGATCRCTTATTTTCAGGAATTCAGACTTTTACTCTGCTTTTTGTGGGACACAGGAGGTGACCCTTGGGCACTTAGGTGGCTCTCTTAACCTGGACTACATGACTGGTCGTGGTTTTTCCTAATCTCCCGGCTCTCTGAGTCCAGTGGCTTGACCCCCACAGCCCCCCACTCTCCTGGATCTTTTAGACCCCGTGAGTCACCCACCAGAACGCCAGGTTTGGCTGGGTCTTCCTGGAGACCTTTGAGGCTGTGAGCATGTGGCAGCCACTGGGCCTCCTGGACCTGCAGGTTATACCCCTTTTCTGGTTCAGCTCTGGAAGAGTCCTTCCGAGGCCTCACTCCTGTTTTCCAACAGTGAGACCCAGTGCGTCTCGTCAGTACTTTTAATTTTATTTCATTAAACATTTATTAATTATTCATCTTGTAGTACTGAGGATTGAACCCAGAGATGTGCTACCACTGAGCCACATCCCCGGCCATTTTTATTTTTTATTTTGAGACAAGGTCTCTCTAAGTAGCTGAGGCTGACCTTGAACTTGCAAACCTGCCTCAGCCTCCTGAGCTGCTGGGATTACAGGCCTGTGCCACTGCGTCCGACTTATGAGTATTTTTTAAAGCACTAAGTCCTATTTATGTGTATTAGAGATTTTTCTAGGATGTACTTTCTATACATTCTATCACTTTCTACAATGGCACTTTTTTTTTTTTTTTTTTGGGTACTGGGGATTGAACTCCAGGGCCCTTGTCCACTGAACCGCATCCCCAACCCAAATTTGTATTTTATTTAGAGACAGGGTCTTACTGATTTGGGCCTCGCTGTTGCTGAGGCTGGCTTTGAACTCAAGATCCTTCTGTCTCAGCCTCCTGAGCCACTGGGATGACAGGCCATCGAGCATAGCTGGAAGCAGGTCATTTAGAGGGCAGCAGTGACACTGTTATTTTATTTATTTTATTAATATTCATTTTTTAGTTGTAGTTGTGCACAATACCTTTATTTCATTTATTTTTATGTGRTGCTGAGGATTGAACCCAGGGCCTCGCACACGGTAGGCAAGAGCTCTGCTGCTGAGCCCCAGCCCCAGCCGGACACTGTTATTTTAGTTCTTGTGGCAGAGACCATCTATTCTCCAGGCAGTTAAAAACCTCCCAGCATCTGAACCCTAGACTGTGTCCCCCACTATGGCAGCCTCTGGGCCCAAGTGGTTAGTGAGCACTTAAAATTCCATTTGTCTGAGTCAAGCTGTGCCCCATTCCAAAGACTTAGTAGGGGGGAAAGAATGTGAAATATGCAAATATTTTCCTTTATTACATGTTGAATTGATAATATTCAGGGAGAAATAAGAGTATTATTAAATTATTTTTAGCTGTTCTTTTTCTTTTTCTCCATGGCTATAAAAAATTAGAATTCTAGGTGTCGCTTGTGTTGTATTTCTTTCTTTTTTTTTTTAAGACAGAAAGAGAGGGAGAGAGAGAGAATTTTTAATATTTATTTTTTAGTTTTCGGCGGACACAACATCTCTATTTGTATGTGGTGCTGAGGATTGAACCCTGGCCGCACGCATGCCAGGCGAGCGCGCGACRGCTTGAGCCACATCCCCAGCCCCTTGTGTTGTATTTCTATTGGCCAGAACTGCTCTAGAGCAGGGTTTGGCAAGCTGTGGCCCACAGGACATATTTCATAAATAAAATTTTCATATAAAATTTCTTGGAACAGCCTCACCTGTACATATTTTTAAGGCTGGTTCCGTAAAGCAGTAGCATCAGGTGTTCGTGGTAGCGATGATGTGTCCCACAGAGCCCAACGTACTTGATGCCCAGCCCTGTACACAAACAAACTAACAAGCAAAAAAACCCCATCAGCTCTCACCGGGATGTTCTCAGCGGCTGCTTAGAGATTCGGCGGATACCTTTCCTGGTGTCCCTCAGCCTGGGCTTTTCAGGTTTGGAGGACACGGGCGCCGTCTGATGTCCACAGCGTCTCTTCTCCCCCAGGTCTACGTGCGGAGAGGCTACATCGCCTACGAGCTGAACAGCCTGCAGCACCGGCAGCTCCCGGATGGCACCTGTGTGGTGGAGTTCCAGTTCATGCTGCCCTCTTCCCATCCAAACAGGTAGGCGCTGGGCTCCCTTTCTCCTCTCTGACCTGTGTCCTCTGCGGGGACCCAGCCAGTGCCTCTGGAGTGCTGCTGGGTGGACGTCGGGAAGACCCTTCCTCGCTGTGGCTCTCCCACAGCTCCGTGCTCTCCTCTGTGGAGGTACAGCCACGGCCCACCTCCTACCCACCTCTACCTCCTTAAATTAAATCAAGTGGAAATAACGTGAAGAACGTCAGCCTCTCGGTCATAACAACTGCATTTAAAGTACCCAGTGGCCACGTGGGGCTCACAGGTGTCCTACTGGACTGTGCCAGAATGTTCTAGAAAGTTCCAGTAGAGAGTGCTGTCCTCCACCGTTGGGAAGAGTAAATGAGATAAGGCACATGTGCCATTTAGGTTAGCACATGGAACAGAGAAGTTTGTGGGTATTAGCAATCCCCGTGACGATTGTGACCAGTGCTGTTGTTGTAACCGCCCGATGGCGTGCTGTTGGCCGGACACTATGCTCAGGGTTATAGATTCTTATTTCATTGAGCCTTTGCCCTTTGTTGGCCAAACAGGATGTCATCTGCATTTTACAGATGGGAGCCTGGGGCGTCTCTGGACCTGGGCCGAGCTGCTCAGTCACCTGGGGTGGGAAGCTGAGCTTACTTTGTCAGGGGCTCATCTCAGTGCGCTTTCCCCAGCCCTTGAGTGTGCTCGGGAGCCAGGTGCAGGGCACATGGCCTGTGCCCACTGGAGTCTGGCCATCCGGCACCGTGGCTCAGTGACCCCACGATGTTCTCACCCCGGGACAGCTGGCGTGTGTCCTGCAGGCTCACGGTCTGTGTTTTAACCCATCTTATTTCAGGACACGAAATCCCATTCTGGTCAGGTGGCGTGCCATATCGTCCATAAAGTAATTATGTCCCCCTGATGTCYGGAGCAGTCCCTTCTACTCTTCCTGGTTCTTCTGTTACGGGTTCCTGGGGGGGTTCCCACATTGCTTGTGGCTTCGTGGTGTCGTGGTGATTTGGGGTTCCCCTGATCAGGTCTTATGTCTCTTCAGACAGCAGGCTTCATGTTTTCTGCAAGCAGGGATTTTCCTGGTCTCTTGGGATTTTGAAAAATATATTTTAGGCTGGGTGCAGTGGCTCACGCCTGTCCTCCCAGCAGCTCGGGAGGCTGAAGCAGGAGGTTCTTGAGTTCAAAGCCAGCCTCAGCCACTTAGCGAGGCCATAAGCAACGTATTGTTTATTTTGACCCTTCATATTTCCAAAAAAGAGAATCATGATATTTTACCCCATTGTGAGAAAAGTCTTGTGCTGCTTCTGGCCTGGGGTCATTTTGGGGGTGGCGGGAGGTGTGGTGTGGACTTTTCCCTGCCCCTGGGGGGCAGTGCTTTTCTCTCCTGACCTCACTGTCTGGGCACTTCAGCCCTCTAGGAAAGGAAGGGCACTCACACAAGGACCTGGGCCCTGCCTCGCGTCTCAGGGAGGACCTATGTGGATACCAGGGCATTGCCCAGGATGGGCTCCAGGTCCTGTTTTGACCAGAGAGACACTGAGGACTGAGGGGGTGGGTTCCTGGTCTAGGTCTTAGATTCTGGCCTGGCTAAGAGCTGCGACTGCTGGCTGATGACTCTGGGCCTTGGCTGACCCTGGAGTCCAGCCCTTGGAGGCCTCTGGGGAGGGCTGTTTGGACGGAGTTCTCCCCACCAGGAGGGCCTGGCCTGGCCCTCAATTCCACTGTCTCCAGGTCTGTGGCAAGTTGGGTCGCTGGGACCAAGGGCAGGTCAGTCCTGCTTGAAGTCACTTGCTCCAGGTCCAGGGATCTGTGAGAGGGCTGGATGGGACCTGGGTCACACCAGGCCTCTGGCCCTGCCCAGTGCTGCCCTGCAGGASTCTGGTCAGGTAGGCCGGGGAAGAAAGGGCAGGTCTTCATGTTTGTTAGAAGTGCYGTGTTCCCCAAAGTCACTTGAACCCTGCCCCACAGAATGCCAGCGTGTGACCTCTGGGATTAGTTGTCCAGGAGCAGGGGCCCGGGATCCTGGTTACCAGGGGACCCAACAGGAACTCAGATATCTGTGTGGGGGATGCCCAAGAGCACCCCCAGGTTGGAGGACTTGCTTGAAGGACTCAGAGGATAGAGTCCACCCCCCCTCAGGACCCTGAACAGTGGAGGGGCGCACGGCAGTGTCCACGGAGGCAGAGGGCACCGGGGCGGGGCCGAGGGGGCAGGAGCAGGCCTCAGAGCCCCTCCCCGCCCGTGCTGATGGCAGATGGCAGTGTTGCTGTTGGGTTGCGGGAGCACTCACCAGAGCTTGGTGCTGGGTACTGGTCACTGAGGCACCCTCTGCCTCACAGGCAGGGTCCGGGCTCCCAGAAGAAGGCAGGTGTACACAGCGCGGCCAGCCGTGTCATTTAGGGAGGAGTGGGCGCCTTCCCCCAACCCAGTTCCCAAATGCCACCGCAGGCCGCCCTGCAGGCAGGTCTCCTTTCTGTGGGGTGCCACTCGGCCTTCTGGGTGGACTCTCTTCTGCACCGTTTGATGGCTCCTCCTACACTGGAGTCCAGGGCTTAGTCCCACCTCCTGAGATGACCCCTTGGTATTTGCTCCTGGTGAGCGGCCTGTTCTGGGGCCATGGCTGTCTGGATTCTCTAGAGGCTGTTGGTCTTGCCCCAGGAGGGGTTTGGTGGAGGCAGATGGGGCCAGGAGTGGAGGCCTGGCGGGCTCCCAGCCCCGAAGCTGCCCCCTTGCCAGCCGCCTGGCCTGGCCTGGGCCTCTGCGGGAGAGATCGATGCTGGAAGTGTTAGTTCTCTGTCTGGTGGCTGCAGTTCCCACCTCTGGATGTACCTTGGACTGTTGGGGACTGGCCTCTCTTGCATGCATTCCTCCACTCGTTGGRCTCTGACCACACCAGGTCCTGAGGAATCAGATGAGACCCCCACCCACTGGCCCCAGCCTCGGTCCCTCCCCATCTGCAGTTTCAGAGCCCAGCGTGGGGCGGGGGGTCTARTCGGAGTCTGGCTCTCCGAGGCACCAGGCACCAGAGCAGCTTCCTCACCCTCCACTTGTCACCCTGCAGGATGGCCGTGCCCATAAGTGTCACCAACCCCGACCTGCTGAGACACAGCACAGAGCTCTTCATGGACAGTGGCTTCTCTCCACTGTGCCAGCGGATGGGGGCGATGGTTGCCTTCCAGAGGTTCGAGGATTTCACCAGGTACTGTGTGGCCTGGTCCCCCAGACCCAAGCAGGGTGTGTGGGGGGCTTCCCCGACCCTGCCATTCATGAGGCACATGGCTGGGGGGACCAGACACGTAGCACAGCGAGTTGAAAATTACACAGTCACGGGGGAGGGTTCATGGCGGGCACCAGGCTCCTGTGAGAGAGGAGCCACAGGCCCTGGCTGCAGCAGAGCAGGGTGACCTGAGGTCACGAGGCTGCCCACTTCACAAACTGGAAGAAAGTATTTGGGAAAGCTTTCACCATAAAGATAAATGTTCTGGGAGATAAATATGTTTAACTCGATGGAAACATTACACCATGTATATGTATATGGAAACATTACCTGGCTCTCCTTTACTATGTGTAATTTTTTACATTTTATGTAGCAGTTAAAAATAAATTTAAAAAACAACAAACTGTGGGGGAGGGGGAGGACAGTGCCCAACTGTCATCCCAGCTACTGGAGAGGCTGAGACAAGAGGATCCCAAGTTCGAGGCCAGCCTGGGCAAATTAGGGAGACTGTCTCAAAATAAAAATGTATGATAGCGCGCTTATCTTGCATGTGTGAGGCAAGACCCTGGGTTTAATCCTCAGTAATGCACACACACACACACACACACACACACACAATCATAATAGCATTATCATCAGGAGCGTGAGGCCACATGACAGCTTACCCGTGTTGAAATCCCAGCTCTGCACTTCCTGTGAGACTGAACAAATGAATCAACCTGTCTTGGTTTTCTCATCTGTAATATGGGTATAATGGAAGGACCTACGTCACTGGGGCATCGTGAAAATTAAATGAGATGGTGTGTGTGAAATAAGTACTCGAAATAGAGCTCACCTGTCAATCACATGCCCTCGGCACATCGTCACTCCCCCCACTTGCTCCTGGGGTCTGTGCTGTGCTTGGCTTGTCCTGCTGAATCATCCTGTTGAGCTTCTGGGCTGTGGGGATTTCTGTTACCACCCTCAGGTGACTTAGGCGAGGCAGTCTCTGGGGCCTCTGAGCCAGTCGGAGGGGGTCAAGAGTTCTCCTCAGGCCGAGCTGCAGGCCTCAACGGTTAGAATCCTGTCCTCAGTTCCTGATTCTAGGCTGCGGAGGGTCATTCTTACCTTTTGGGGACGACCCTGTTGGGGTGCTTTGGACTGAGTCAAGGAATGACTTGAACCTGTGTTGACTCAGAAAGAGGGAGGCCCAGGGTTCCCATGGGCCTGGCTTGGAAGCTTGACCTGGTCTTGATGGGAGTGGCCCCTTAGCTTTCCTTCTCTGCCCCGCACCCCCAGGAACTTTGATGAAGTCATCTCCTGCTTTGCCAATGTGCCCAAAGACATCCCCCTCTTCAGCAAGGCCCGCACCTCCCTGTATTCGGAGGACGACTACAAGGTCAGCGGCTCAGCCCAGGGAGCAGCCTACAGAGAGGCCAAGCCTGCGCCTCCCGGTCCTTCTACTCTCAGCCCTGTTTTCTCACTTAGAACCTCCGAGAAGAGCCCATCCACATCCTGAACGTGGCCATCCAGTACGCAGACCATTTGGAGGATGAGGAGCTGGTGCCGATTTTCAGGACATTTGTACAGTCCAAGGTACTCTGGGTGTGCCCCTGCCATGGGGGGAGCAGGTCGTCTGTTTTGTGTTGCTATAATAAAGCACCTGAGGCTGGGTGACTTTTATAAAGTAAAGAGGTTTTAGCTCCCAGGTTGGAGGCTGCATTGGGCACTGCATCTAGTGAGGGCCTCTGCTGTGTCACAGCATGGCAGGTGACATCACAGAGCAGGAGCATGTGCAAGTGAGCACGTGGTAAGACCGGAAGCTGGGGGGGAAGGGCCAGGCTCACTCTTCTGTAACAACCTGCCTTCACAGGAGCTAGTCTGATCCTGCAAGAACTACCGTTAGTCCCTTACAAGATGACACCCCTTGACCTAATTACTAATTACCTCTCTTAAAGGCCATGCCCCCTCAATACTGTTACATTGGGGCATTAAGTTTCAATGTGAGTTTGGTGGTGGAGAGGCCCCTGGACAGGGAGGAGGGGCTGCTCTTGGTCTTGGTCTGAGCTGTGTGGGGGCACCCTCAGGCACTTTACCACTGAGCCACATCCCCAGCCCTTTTAATGTTATATCTTGAGACAGGGTCTTGCTAAGTTGCTTAGAGCCTTGCTAAATTGCTGAGGCTGGCCTCAAATTTGTGTTCCTCCTGCCTCAGCCTCCCAAGCTGCTGGGATTACAGGCAGGTGCCACCATGTCTGGCATTCTAGATGTCTTCACCCGTACCACAGGGCCAGCATTTCTCTCTCCCAGGAAGCCACAGTGGTTAAAATTCCCAGGATGTACACTGCTTAGCCCATCAGGAGCCTGGACAGGCTGAATAAATAGTTTGGGGCTCCGGGAGCGAGAGCTGTTTTATTGGAATCATCAAGAAACCTGCAATTTAAAAATGCCCCTTATGTGGATGACTGAGTAGGACAATAGCTGTGGTGGCTTTTGCAAGCCTGTGGCCACCCCTAGCATCTATTCTCACGCTGGCCTTGGGTGTCTTCAAGGGCCCCAGCTGCAGACAGCTACGGAGTCRCATGAGGAGTAGGGATGGGGTTGCTCCAAGACGTCAGAGATTGAGTACAGACAGGCACACGCTAAACATGTGTCTCACCAAAGAGAGGGGGACTGGGAGGAMCGCAGCCATTGGAAAGGAGAAGCTTTGTTCTGCTGGCTGTGTGATCAAGGAATCAGACATTTTTACATTCAGCCTGTGTGTGTGTGTGCGTGTTTGCACACCGACTCCCACGTGCACCTCAGTAAGCACACGTGCACCTGGCTGTGGTTGAGGACCAGTGAACAGGCTGAGTCTTCCTGTGCAGTCTGTCTGTTCTCTCTCCAGCCTGCTTTCCTCCGTGTCCATTTGTATGTGAGTTTATCTCTTTCTGAAACAGGCCAGGGCCGTCCATTTCCCCTGATAATTTTCTTTACCAGGTTGATAAATTAAGTAATAGCCTTGTTTTCTTGTCTCTCCCCACAAAACTTTAATTTTTTAAATTTTTTTAATTTTTGGGGTACCAGGGATTGAACTCGGGCACTCGACTCCTGAACTCTATCCCCAGCCCTATTCTGTATTTTATTTAGAGACAGGATCTCACTGAGTTGCTTAGGGCCTCACCGTTGCTGAGGCTGGCTTTGAACTCGCCATCCTCCTGCCTCAGCCTTCTGAGCCCCTGGGATGACAGGTGTGCGCCTTCGCACCTGGCTTCCCCACAGAACTTTACATCACAGTACTGATTTTATTGAAGGAGCAATAGGGAACGCCTTCACACTTTCTTGTGTAATTATTTTTGTTGTTGGAGTCTAATAAGAAAGCAAAAAGTCACAGACGCCCATGGCTTGATGTGCTTTCACAGTGGGATCGGTATCAGATCATGAATGGGCCGTCTCGGCTCCCAGAATCTGTCCCGTGTCTGCTCCCCCTTACTACCATCCCTGGAGACCCTGGCTGTGTCCTGACCTCTGACACCGTCCGTCAGTGCCTCTGTTCCTGCGTTTTTGACTAGAGCAGGCTGAGCTCTCCTGTGTTGGGCATTCTCGCCCGGCTTGTCCTTCCCCAGCTTGGTGGAGGTGTCATTGACCAATGCAAATCCTACGTATCCACAGGAGGCATGACGTTGGCCTGTCTCTTCCTGTAACACCTTTATTGAGATATAATTCCACAGTTCACAGTTCACCCATCAAAAGTGTACAGTTCAGTGCTTTGTAATGAGTTCCCAGAGTTGCACAACCACGACCAGGGTTTATTGAAGAATAGTTTCATTCCCGCCACCTCCTAAAACAAACAAACAAACAAACAAAAAAACCGAATACCAGCCAGGTGTGGTAGCGCACACCTGTCATCCCAGCAGCTCGGAGGCTGAGGCAGGAGGATCTCGAATTCAAAACCAGCCTCAGTAATGGTGAGGTGCTAAGCAACTCAGTGAGTCCCTGTCTCTAAATAAAATTCAAAATAGGGCTGGGGATGTGGCTCACTGGTTAAGTGCCCGTGGGTTCAGTCCCTGGTACCAAAAAAATCACAACCCCTATATTAAGTCACTCCCATTACYTCCCAACCCAAGCCCTCTTGCACACCCCAGCCTCAGGTAACTGCTGATCTACTTTCTGTGCCTGCAGATGTTTTCACCCTGGATTTTCCATTCATATGGAACTAGGGGGTCTTTCGTGCCTGACTTCTTCCACTGCGCACACTCACAGGGTTCAGCCACATGGTAACACGTATTAGCCTGCCAGTCCTTTTTATGGCCACGTAATATTCCATCATGTCTCTGGTTTTTAATGCAGAAAAATATCCTTGTGGATTACGGACTCCGAAGAATCACATTCCTGATCGCCCAAGAGGTCAGTCCAGCTGTCAGGTCCTCTGTGCTAGTCTTTTCCATTCTCTGAACCTCAGAGTTTATTTTGGTCCATATTTTGTAGGTGGGGGTAGAATTGACCCGTTATTAGAAAACACTTTTCAAAGGATTCATTCTGAAAGCAAAATGGTTCATTGTTAATGATCACAAAATAAATAGAGAGGATAGTTCATGGAGTCTTGTTTGATCTAATCGTCTTTTCTGTGGGTTTCTTTTTGCAGAAAGAATTTCCCAAGTTTTTCACATTCAGAGCAAGAGATGAGGTATGAACCAAAGCAGCRAAGTGTGTGCTCCCACCACTGGCTTCTTTGATATTGAAGAGGACTGTCCCCAGTCCTTGAGGCCTGCTCGTTTTCTAGAACATGGCAACTGCTGTGTAGACTCCAGTTTTTTGGGGGAGTTATATTTCCCATGAGAACCCCATGTTTCCTGCAGGGAGTTCAGACCCTCGGGCTCCTCCTCTTTCTACATCCTCTGAGTTGTCATGTTTGTTGGGGTCCTCAGTAAGACGGTTCTCCAGCCTTCTTTCCTCATCTTCTTCCTGATCAGTGGTCGGCAAGGTATGACTTGCAGACCCGCTGCCTATTATATAAATAAAGTTTTATTGGAACGCAGCAGCCACATAGGCATTTGATCACCTAGTGTCTCCGTGGCCTTCAGGCAGAGGCAGCAGAGTTGAGGGGTGAGCCGGCGGCTGTGTGGTTCATCATCCCCAACAGGCCGCATCTGGCTGGYCCTTGGGTGTTTCCTGCTCCCTGGTCGAGCAGGTGGGCTCGTCCCCAGCCCAGGTTCAGGACCCTGCCAAGCTTAGTGTTTTGCATTGCGATTTATCCAAAGCCCAACTTTTTTTAAGGTTCTTCATTTTTCCTCTTGTTCCATCTCCAGCCCTGTTGCTTCCTTTTGGGAATCAATTCCCACCCAGAAACCTGGGTTAGTGACATCTTGAGGAGTACTGTGTGCCATGAGAGCGGCCTCTTCATGCTGGCAGGTGCTGGGGACCAGTCGGCTCCCCCAGGAGCCAAGAGGCGCTCCCAGCACCCCAGAATTGCAACACTTTGTGCAAAACCCCAAATCTCAGGAGCCTTGGGGACCGTTCACAATGAGGGGACACAATGAATGTCACATCCCTGAGCACCGTGGTCTGCAGGAGAGGGCCTGAACCACAGGGCAGGGAGTTTCAATGTCAGACTCCGTGTTGTGTGTGCGGGTGTGTCTGTCTGTCTGTCTCATCCGCCCTCTCTCTGGCGGCTACAGTTTGCAGAAGATCGCATTTACCGCCACCTGGAGCCCGCGCTGGCCTTCCAGCTGGAGCTCAGCCGCATGCGAAACTTTGACCTGACGGCGGTGCCCTGTGCCAACCACAAGATGCACCTGTACCTGGGCGCTGCCAAGGTCAAGGAGGGGGCGGAAGTAACGGACCACAGGTTCTTCATCCGCGCCATCATCAGGCACTCRGACCTGATCACCAAGGTAAGGGCGCAGCGTTTCTGCCTCCTCTGGTCCCTCAGGCCCTGGCCTTCCCTTCCCRAGTTCCTGCTCTGAGCTGCACGCGGCGGACTTGAGGACATGCTGGGTGCACGCGGCTCTGCCCGTGTGACACAGCTGTGGCAGGAGGCGGACAGCAGGTGGCCTATTTTGTCCAGCGGGGGCTCTTGGATCACTGTGTTGATGGTGGGGTTCTCTCTGTGTGAGATGAAAGCTGAGGAGACAGAACGAGACTGGTTCATTCAGGGAACTTCTTATATTTGCTGTTGAGTGATCATTTTTGAATTATTTCTTGCTTTTCGAAAAATAACCCACGATCATACTGTAAAAATCTCAACCAGTCCTGAACACTATTTCTTAAAGATCAAGTGACAGGACCCAGAATTCTGCCATGAGGGGCTGGCCCTGTGGGTGACTCTTCCCAAACCTGGTTCCACCCCAAGTCAGGGCTCCAGTGTTGCAGGTAGAGCTCAGGGTACAAGGTCATCTGGGAACTGTCACCTTTTCTATGGACAGTTACTTACAGACCTTCTCCCGTGATAATGAAGATTGATCCATGGTGTGTGCGACAGCCTTACATGGACGAGAGTGAGTGTGTGTGTTTGTGGTACCAGGGATTGAACTCAGGGTCACTTGACCACTGAGCCCCATCCCCAGCCCTATTTTGTATTTTATTTAGAGACAGGGTCTCACTGAGTTGCTTAGCGCCTGGCCGTTGCTGAGGCTGGCTTTGAACTTGCCATCCTCCTGCCTCAGCCTCCCAGGCCACTGGGATGACAGGCGTGTGCCACCGCACCTGGCTATGGTATCTGTTTTAAAACCGGTTCCTTCTTGACAGATATTGAGTCAATCTCAGGTTTTAGCCCCTTCAGTCGAAGAGATGTCTGGGCTTTATCATTGTTCAGGAATGGTGAGGCCAAGAGGTCAGGACGTGACTGTCATTGGAGAGCTGGTGTCTCACCATCCTAAGAAGGGCCTTGGCCCACCATGAGGGGTTCGAGGGCAAGCCCTGGCCTTGGTCAGGTGGTTGAAGGAGTGAAGAGAAAAAGTGGGCAGAAAACTTTCTGTGTGTGGGGGGGTTCTGAAGGAAGGAAGGAACAGGGAGGCGCAGGTTGGCTGGTCCCAGCGGGCGGGGCACAGGGCTGCCCCTAGTTGTCCTGGCCCCAGTGGTGAGGGGGCGGTGGACGGGGCCTGGGCTGTGAGCCAGTGAAGGCCGTGTTTGGTTTGGGCTCTGGGTCAGTTTACATGTAATGATCCTGCTCCCTGGACAGTCGTGGCCATCTCTAGGAGTGGCAGCCCTGGGAGGGCCAGTCACCCTGCCCTGATGTCCCCGCATCAGATACAGCAAGCTGAAGCCTGGCGGATGTGCCCTGCAGCCCGGGCGAGGGCACAGGGCTCCGCGGGGCTCTTGGAGGAGGGTGAATTTCCGGCCCGAGGCTGTGTCCTGAGCCGCTGTCCCTGGCCCTCTCCAGGAAGCCTCTTTCGAGTACCTGCAGAACGAGGGCGAGCGGCTGCTCCTCGAGGCCATGGACGAGCTGGAGGTGGCCTTCAACAACACCAGCGTGCGCACCGACTGCAACCACATCTTCCTCAACTTCGTGCCCACCGTCATCATGGACCCCTCCAAGGTCACGCCCTGGGGCTCTCACCGCGGGTCCCTCTCACTGGGCTCCTCCCACCGTGTGGCTCTGGGGCTCTGTCTCCTGGCCCTTGAGACCTGAGGCCCTGGATGATGTCCCTGCCCGAGCCTCTGTCACCCCAGGAGAGCCAGCCTTCTGCGGTCCCTGCTGGGCCTGCGGCTTAGCCACACCCTGGTGCCCTTGGCCGTGAGGGTGACGTGCACGCCAGGGACACCTTGCACAGTAGAATTTGCAAGAATTTCCCGGGTTTCAGGATCTGCAGGGGATGGGGTGGGATCTGGGGACCATGACCACCCAAAGTCTGGCTGAGCTGTTCGGCTGACTGTCACGGTGGGGACCCTGGGATGAGAAGGATCCCAGCCACCTGTGGGGTGCAGAGGGGCCACCAGACCCCTGGCCCCACTGGTCCTCGTATTTCCAGGAGAAAACTGAAGCCTTGAGAGGCACAGGAAGATGGGACCATGTGGGAGCGCTAGTGCTGTCACCTGTCAGCCTCCGTCTCCTCCACCTGTCAGTGGGGGATAAAGATTCCTGCCTGTAGTGGGGGTGGTTGGTGTTGGAGCACTTGCTTAGCGTGCGCGAGGCCCTGGGCTCCATCCCCAGCATCGTGCGCGCGCGCGCGCGCACACACACACACACACACACACACACAGGCTCCTTGCTGTGCACAGAGGAGGACGTGAGAGCCTGGGTTCTCCACACTCAGCAGGGTTGCTAATGGCTCATATTTTGCCGGGTGGTTCCGGGTCCCAGGTGGTCAGTGTCTCCCTGCCCACTGCCACTGGTGCCATTGCAAGCGTGTGCGTGGGATGGCCTCTGAGAGGGCTTGCTCTGCTTCGAGGCAGATCGAGGAGTCGGTGCGCTCCATGGTCATGCGCTACGGCAGCCGGCTGTGGAAGCTCCGTGTGCTGCAGGCCGAGGTCAAGATCAACATCCGCCAGACCTCCACTGGCAGCGCCGTTCCCATCCGCCTGTTCATCACCAACGAGTCGGGCTACTACCTGGACATCAGCCTCTACAAGGAAGTGACTGACCTCAGATCCGGAAACGTAAGGCCCAGGGGGTGGACCATGAGGGTCCAAGTCGAAGCCCAGGCAGGCTGCTGGGGACCAAGGCAGGTTAAAATGACCCCTGGGGGCCCTCTGCCTGGCCTTGCAGACTGTGGCAGGTCTGTGATGTTCCATGAGTGAAAAGCTCCAGGTTGGGATGACGGGCGGTTCCCAGTGAGGCCTCCTGGGCAGGAGCCCAGATCTCCAAAGCCCAGTCCCCCCGCAGCCCTCCTCTGGATGAGATGCAGAGGCTCTTTTTGGTTATGATGCGGCCCGGACATCAGGTCACCTAGGCAGACAGACATTTCCCCCACCATTCTATCAGGCTCCAGGAAAGTGAATCAGACATCCCTGACTGCCATTCTATGTATATCTGAATATTTTTATTTTGAAATCATCAGACTCAAGAGGTTGCAAAAAAAAAAAAAAAAAGAATCTGCACACCTGTAATCCCAGCCTGTAATCAGAAGCCTGAGGCAGGGAGACTCAAGTTCAAGGCCAAGGCCAGCCTTGGCAGTCTCAAAATGAAAAAAAAGAACTGTCTCAAAATAAAGAACAGAAAGGCTGGGATATACCCAGTGGTAGAGCATCCCTGGTTGAACCCCCAGGGCTGGACAGAATAAAAGTTGCTAAAATGGTACAGAACAATAACCACAAAACCTTTCCCAGTGATGTCCTTTGCCAACCCTGAGTGTGTCAGCCACCCAGGAGATTGACATGGGCGCAGTACCATCCCCTCAAATGCAGCTCTGAGGGCTGGGCTGGGCTCCGTGGTAGCGCGCTCGCCTGGCACCCATGAGGCCCTGGGCTCCACCCTCAGCACCACATAAAAAGGAAGTAAAGACATTGTGTCCACCTACAACTAAAAAATATTTTTTAAAAAATGCACATCTGCACATCTGGTTCAAATCGGCAGTTTTTGTGAGCACTTTGGGCTGTGTTTGGGCGTGTCAGACCTGCGTGTTTGGGACCAGGAGTCTCATGTTCGGAGCTGTCCCAGTGTCCTCCTGTTCTGGTTGCTCCCCTGGTGAAGAAGAGAACACAGACCCTCCCAAGCAGGAGGTCCCTCCGGCGACACCTGCTGTGCCCCCTGCCCTGAGCTGTCCCTGAAGGCTGGGTGGAAGTACCCGGGAGGAGGTGGCTCCTGGGGACCCGTCTCCCTCACTGTTGTCCTTTCTTCCTGATGCAGATCATGTTCCACTCCTTTGGGGACAAACAAGGGAACCTCCACGGGATGCTCATCAACACCCCCTACGTCACCAAGGATCTGCTTCAGGCCAAGCGCTTCCAGGCACAGTCCCTGGGGACCACCTACGTGTACGACTTCCCGGAGCTGTTCAGGCAGGCAAGTCCCACCCAGGGCCTCTCCCCGACCCCACGGGACCCGTCCCCAACTCGGCTGTACTTGTGAGATCCCATCTGAACAGGGTCTTCATGACTGCATAGTGTTTCTTTTTTCCCAAAAAATAAAGCTGATTTTTATCCCCGTGATAAAATGATATAGTAAAAAAAAAAAAAAAATGTTTCCTCCTCTTTTTTTTTTTTTTTTTTTGTGCTCATTTATGAAGCAACTGCTACTTTCCAGGCCCTAAAGCCAAATAGAGGAAGAAGAGATTGGGGTCACTGATCTTGAGGTTTTTTTAAAAAAATATATTTTTTATAACTTTATTTTATTTATTTATATTTTACATGGTGCTGAGGATCGAACTCAGTGCCTCACCTGTGCTAGGTGAGTGCTCAGCCACTGAGCCCCAGCTCTGAGGATTGTTTAGTCTACTCTTACAACATGCTCTGGGCCCCCCGGCTAGGTGGTGTGCACCTGGAGTCTCAGCAGGAGGGAGGCTGAATCAGGAGAATCCCTGGCGCCCAGGAGTTCAAGGCCAGCCTGGGGGACACAGCAAGACCTTGACTCAAAAAAAAAAAAAAAAAAGAGAGAGAGAGAGAGAGAGAAAAAAAATTATGTATGATGCTCAAAATAACAATTTAGTGTGTTTCCTTCAAATGCTTTTTCCTGTGCCTTTCTGTATGAAGAAAACCCTGTAAAACAGACTGAGCATGCTGACGTGGGTGACGTCAGTGTCTTCCTATCCCTCTGTGGCCTTGTGAGGGACATACTTGGATCTGAGGTCAGGGACCTTCCGCTGTAGCAGCAAGGGTCACTTCCTGCTGAGGCCTGTGAGTCAGGCTGGGGATCAAAATAGAAGGCAGAGCTTCTCTTCAGAACCACTGAGGCCTGGTGGATCCCAGATGGGTCCTTGGTTTCCTGTTTTTCCTGGGCAAGTTTCTTGACCTCTCTGGACCTCAGTTCCTCCTCCTCTGTAAAATGAGGATAAGAAAAGTAYCTACCTTACAAGGTTGTGGGAGGAATGCAAGTATCCAGTAGGTGCTTAATAAATGGGAAATTTCCTGTTGAAGGATGCTATTGTATCTTTTTGCCTGTGACCTCAGAGGCCACAGGGAAGGAGCTTGACTACATCATGAGGAAATCTATGCTCATGCATTTGAACTTAGATGTAAGGAAAACACATCTTACCAAAACTAACTAGGGAGGAAACAGAAAATCGGATCTAAATAGATTATGAGCATCAAATCAGTCAGATTAATAGTTTATGAAATCTACTCACTAAAATTTGGCTCAGAGAGTTTTAAAACAATTTCTATCAAAAGTCTAAGAAAGGCTGGGTGTGGTGGTGCACACCTGTCATCCCAGCAGCTCTGGAGGCTGAGGCAGGAGGATCGTGAGTTCAAACCCAACCTCCGCAAAAGTGAGGCCCTAAGCCGCTCAGTGAGACCCTATCTCTAAGTAAAATACAAAATAGGCCTGGGGATGGGGCTCAGTGGCAGAGCACTTGCCTAGCATTAGGTTTGATCCTCAGCACTACATATAAATAAGTGAATAAATAGAAGTATTCTGTCCATCTACAACTAAAAAAATTTAAAAAGAAATTTAGGTCAGTTAGCTTTGTCTTGTGATTTCGTATGTGATTTGATATCAGGAACTCTCTTCATGCAATGTATCTTATTACTAGGTTAAGAAAAAAACTTAAAATTTCTCAATAGGTACAAAAATAAGGATTTGAAAAACACCTATTATGATGAAAAGTTTTAATAAACTAGAAGAAAATTTGTTTATCTTGATAAAAGCTATCAATCCAAAAGTAATAGCACATAATGGTGAAATGTCAGCATTCTCTCTAAAGAAAGATCGAGGACAAAAAATAGCCGTTGTCACCCCTTCCTGTTCCACTTTTTTTTTTTTTAACCTAAGTTCCTGGCCAGTGAAATAATCAGAAAAAAGAAATAAAAGGTATTAAGACTGGAAAKAGAAAAGCAAGATGGTGGGTTTTGCAGAAGATATAAATGTCTATATAGGAAATCCAAAAGAATTGATAGAACCAATTAGAGAATATATAGCAAGATTGCAAGACCACTATACAGGAAGTCAACTGCCTTCCTACAGACCAGCAGTGAGTATGCAGTGAACTTGGGAAACARATACCATTCACGATCAAGTGACTTAGCTGGGCCTGGTGGCTTACTCAGATAATCCATGTGGCTCCGGAGGCTGAGGCATGAGGATTGTGAGTTCAAACCCAGTCTCAGCAACTTAGTGAGACCCTGCCTATTAATTAAATATTAAAAAGGGCTGGGGATGTTGCTCAGTGGTTAAGCACGCCTGGGTTCAATCCCTCGTAAAATGAACTAACTCTAAGTTAACTCAGGAATAAATCAAGCAAAAGGCATAGAAGATAAATTTTTCTTTATGAAGTATATTTTAAAACTTCATTGAGATACTTTAAACCTAAATAAATGGAGAGATATACCAGGCTCAAAAATGCTAGGGAGCTTTATTTAATATTGTGAAGATGTTAGTTCCTTCCAAATGAACAAACTCRGTATACTTCCAGAGTTTTCTGGTGAAGTTTGAGAAGCTGAGCCTCAAGTATTCATAGAAAAACAAAAGCTCGTGAATAGCAAAAGCAGTTTTGAAAAAGAACAAAGTCAGGTGCACTTACCTTGGCAGATGTCGTGACTTATTTTGAAGCTGCAGTAATTAGAATGATGTGGTGCCCTGGGCTGGAGCTGAGCTGATGGACCAGTGGGACAGAACCCAGAGCCTGGACTCAGACCCACTCCTAATGCACGGGACCCAGAGGTGGGATTGCACATGGGCAGGGGGCGAGCTCTACTACCTGATGGGAAAAAGCAAATTTGATAAACAAACATAAATCTAAGAGGATTAAAGCCACATGAAATCAGTTTGTGTGTAGCATAAACTACACAGAAAAAGACCCATAAATTGAGTCACATTAAAACTTAAAATTAAAACTTGCCGGGTGAGGTGGCACACGCCTATGATCCCATTGGCTTGGGAGGCTGAGGCAGGAGGATGGAGGGTACAAAGCCAGCCTCGGCAACTTAGCGAGACCCCTGTCTTGTTATTTAGAGATGCTGTCTAAATAAATAAGACCTAAATAAATATGAAAAAGGGCTGGGGATGTGGCTCAGTGGTAGAGCGCTTGCCATGTATGTGTGAGGTGCTAGGTTCCATCCTCAGCACCACATAAAAAAATAAGTAAAAAAAATAAGGTGTTGTGTCCATCTATAACAAAAAAATTTTTTACAAATAGGAGCAAAGGTTATCCACAGGAATCTTGAGAAAAAGAAACTTGTGGTCAGCAGACAATCAAAGGCATGTCTCTCACTAGGAGTGGGTGAACCGCAGGTCAGACACCCGTAGGGTTTCATAGCCAGCAGGTGGGTAAACATTTAAACAGTCAACAAAACCAGGCGTTGGAGATGATGTGGCACAGAGGAGCTCTTACTCAGTCTTGCTGAGCTTCTAAGGGGTTCAAAAACTCAGGGAGCTGTACAGTAGGATCAAGTAAAGTGAAAGCTTCACATGCCTGAGGCCCAGAAGTTCCTAGGTGTGTGTGTGTGTGTGTGTGTGTGTGTGTGTTACCTGTGTGTGGACATATACACACACCTGGAGAAACTCTCACCTGTAAGAAGAGGCTCTGAGAATTCACCATAGCACTATTGATAACACAGAGCGCTGGATACCTGGGGACAACCTCAGCAGGGTTATATAAATAAATAGTGCTATATTCCCATTACAGAAAACTGTGACAGAGGGATTGTGAAATAAACCAGAGCTAAATGTACCACTATTATAAATCTCTCAAGTGTAATGGAGAGTAAAATAAGTCAGTTGCAGAAAGATGGGTTTTCGTGAGATACCATTTATGTCAAGTTTTTCACACGAAATAATATCATGTGTCTTCACATCATACATGTATGCATGTATGATAAAGTAAAATTAAAAGCGTACCCAGGGCTGGCGGGTAGACACTAAATTCAGGATAATGATTTGCAGGGATTTGGAAGAAGGGAGAGGGAAGATGGGGGAGGGTTGCACCAGGGACTCTATCTTCTTTCTTTRAAAAATTCTTAAGCAGAGCTGGGCACAAGCATGTGCACCTGTATTCCCAGCTTCTCAGGAGGCTGAGGCAGGAGGATCTTTCAAATCCAGAAGTTCAAGACCAACCTGGGCAACATAGCAAGGCCCTGCCCCCACCTCCCCAAAAAATCTTAAGCAAATATGAAAAGATTTAAGCCATTGGATAGGGACTAGGGGTTTATTATTCTGCATGCTTTTTATTTTCTCCTGGTGTGCTTTAAATGTTTTATGATTAAAAAGGAAAAAGAACTAGGAAATTCACCCTTCTTTTGTGACAACCAGGAAGGACAGTACCTCTCTACTGATGATGTTTTTCCTCTTTTCTCCCCTCTCCCAGGCTCTCTTTAAACTGTGGGGTTCCCCGGAGAAGTACCCCAAAGACATCCTGACCTACACGGAATTAGTGCTGGACTCTCAGGGCCAGCTGGTGGAGATGAACCGGCTGCCAGGTGGAAACGAGGTGGGCGTTGGCAGAGCCCACTACTGGCCCGTGTCAGCCTTTCCAAGACTTTTCCTAGGAAGAAAGAAAACRCTTTCTTTATGCACCGGTGTCCCTTGCAGGTGGGCATGGTGGCCTTCAAAATGAGGTTCAAGACCCAGGAGTATCCAGAAGGCCGGGATGTGATTGTCATCAGCAACGACATCACCTTCCGCATTGGGTCCTTTGGCCCCAGGGAGGATCTTCTCTACCTGAGGGCGTCCGAGATGGCCCGGGCCGAGGGCATCCCCAAGATCTACCTGGCCGCCAACAGCGGGGCCCGCATCGGCCTGGCCGAAGAGATCAAGCACATGTTCCAGGTGGCTTGGGTGGACCCCGAAGACCCCCACAAGGTACGTCTGGGAGCTGGGGTGGGGAGTGGGGCAGGCTAGCTGGTACCCAGCCAGCGTCCTCAGCTCAAACCTGAAATCGAAAACACTTCAACATTCAAAACTTTTTGAGGTGCCCACCTGAAACCCCAAGTGTAGCATTCCACACCTGACTCAGGACAGGTGACGGTCAACAGGCAGGTGCACTAGAAATATGGAATGAAATCACCTTCCACCTCTGAGTCCCCGTGTAAACGAAACAGAAATGAATTCTGAGTGGAGACCTGGATCCGAGCCCAGGATACCCCGTTTACCTATGGAAATCTTCCATCTGAACAAGATCCTCACCCCAGACGAGCTGTCCGGCCTCTCCTCTATGGTGTGTGGGGGCTGATGGCACCTGGAAGGTGACAGAAAAAGAGGCCCAGCCTTTTAAATGTCTGAAGTCCATATCCCACCGAGAGACGAAGTGCCCGTGTGAGTCTCATGGTCCACCAGTGTCGCTGGGATTAGGARGAAGTGTCCCAGGCCCCTGGGAGGGACGGTCATGAAAACAAGCTGATGAATGCTGAGCCGGTGCGTGCCGAGCTTCTCCTGAACGTGTGAGTGAGGGAAAGCACCGCCCTGGGCTCAGGAAGCTCTTAGAGGTCACCTGGGGACATAGAGACCCCACTGCAATAAAAGGCGGAATGAATGGGAGAAAAGTCCACCTGTCCTGATCCGAGACCACAGGGGACACCTGCCCTTCCCAACCGGAGGCTGGGGAAATGCTCCCTCGACCAAGGGGACAAGATTCATTTGGGGGACAGCAAAGAAAAAAAAACTCTGTTCTTGTAGAAGTTGACCACCCCTAATCCAAAAATCCCAGATCCAAAATGATCCCAAATCTGAAGCGTTTTGACCATGGATAGGATGCCACCAGGAAGCTCCCACACCTGACCTCTTGATGGAAAAGCACAAAGTTCCTCAAACGTGGAATCGTGCTCCCTCCGGCCTGTGTGTGCAGGGCCACATGAAACAGAAGAATTTCCCATTCCATCTCCGAGACCTTATGTGGCTGAGATTTCAGATATTCCAAGATTTGAAAATATCTGAATTGTGGCACTTCCGGTCCCAAGCATTTTGGATAAGGGATGGTCGACTTGTGGGTACAACACACATGGTGCACAAACAGGGCACAGCGGTTGATCTTTTATTTATTTATTTTTGGTGCCAGGGATTGAACTCAGGGGCACTCAACCCCTGAGCCACACACCCGGCCCTTCCTTTTTTTTGTGATTTTATTTAGAGACAGGGTCTCACTGAGCTGCTTAGGGCCTCCCTAAGTTGCTGAGGCTGGCTTTGAACTCATGATCCTCCTGCCTCGGCCTCCTAAGCTGCTAGGATGACAGGCGGGTGCCACCATACCCAGTGACAGTGATCATTAATGTTGCTTTTTCTTGGGGGAGGTTAGCAACAGGGAGAAAGAATACCTGGAAGGGTTTCTTGGAGGAGCGATACTGAAAAGTGGAGCAACCAGGGGGTGGTGAGACTGCTGTAGGACCGTGGGAAGTGCTGAGCCGGAGCCGACCCTCAGGCTGCAGCTGCCTGTTGACAGGAGGGTTCTGACAGGGTCTCCTGGATGTCCTGTTGTTAACGTCCTTGTGGTGCTGACCTTGAAAACACGGCAGGGGCTCGTGGAGGCGGGGGATGGGCTCACAGGCTCACTGAAGTGTCTTTTTAAGGGATTCAAATACCTGTACCTGACGCCCCAAGACTACACCAGAATCAGCGCCCTGAATTCCGTCCACTGCAAGCACATCGAGGAGGCCGGGGAGTCCAGGTGAGTGACTTACCAGGGCCCTGATTTCACTTGTGGTCACCTCCGCTCATAACGGGGACTCCATCTCTGCTCCAGTGGGTGCTGTTGGTCCCCTTTCTCAATTCCCATGATGTCCCAGGAGCTAGAGGCTCCCTTTATCCCCCAGGTATCCAAATTGGTGCCGTGGTAACCTGGGAAGGAGCGGGTGAGAGGCAAGGGTCAGGTCTTTGAGGGTGTCAGAGGCTCCTGCCTGTCTTTTCGGGGAAAATCCTGTTTATTTGTCTTAATGGTTGACCAGAGAATTTCCCAGGTGTGATTTTCTGAATGATATGTGGGGGAAAACTTTAAAAAAATATATTTTTTTTAAATTTCCATAGTCAATTAAGTTTAAGGAAGTCAAGAGTGTTTTGAGAAGCTCCAAGTGAAATGGGATCTAATAACTCCTTCCTGCGGGCCTTCTCAGAGCCTTTAACCCACCACAGTGCTCTGTGACGTCCTAACAGGGTTTGGCTAACCGGCACTTCTCGTTTTAAGGTGGCCATGAGATCTTGGTTGGTCGATCATGAACTGTGGACCCCCACCTCTCTGGAGACCAAAAGCTGGTCTAGACTACTCTGGAGCCATGAGGGGTGGGGACGATAGTCGCCGAGAGCCCCTGGACAGCAGACATCGTTGGTTGGGGGAGGGTGACATCTGTTGAACTTGACCTTTAGACGTTTAGTGCCAAACCTGAGGGTCCCTGCCCTTTGCTTTCCTGTCACCTGTTCCAGTCCCTTCCCTCACTCATCCCTCCTGCTCTGGGGCCTTGGGAGACACACACCCCCTTGAACTTTGGGGGGACTGAGTTCAGTCTTTCACCCGCGCTTGGCTCTAAGGTACGTCATCACGGACATCATCGGGAAGGACGACGGCCTGGGCGTGGAGAACCTGAGGGGCTCGGGCACGATTGCTGGGGAGTCCTCCCTGGCCTACGAAGAGATCGTCACCATCAGCATGGTGAGCACCCTGATTTCTTTTCTATTACAGAAACTATGCGCTTGTCACAGAAGTCGAGGGACTTGGCTGTGAGCCCTAGGTGACATCACACAGCTCCACCAGGGACCCACACGTAGCACTCCTAGTTTGCACCCATCTCACAGTGTTTTAAAGCCAACTCTCCTAGCAGGTCTCTTCTCCCAGTAGCCCGTTGAGACCCAAGTTTTCAGTTCTGTGACTATTTCTACAAAACGGACACAGTGCGTTAAAACAGGTGGAAATCACAATCTAATTGTGTGATTTACTGTCATTAGTAATATGTGTGAATACTATCACCTATTACTTTTCTCCAAAGAATAAAACTCTCAAAATAGATTTATTTCAGCGTTACCTAAGTGGAATGTTTGTCGCTCAGTTTCCATAAATGGGACGATGGGACATAATGGGCTTCAGGGTGGACCCTTAATGGAGAAGAATCTTTCTCCCATTTATATAACCTCAATCCTATTAATACGACCCAATAAAACCCTCAGTTCTTTAATATCAGAACTCAGTGTTTTTTTCTGGTACCAGGGATTGAACTCAGGGGCATTCCCAGCCCTATTTTGTATTTAATTTAGAGACAGGGTCTCACTGAGTTGCTTAGGGCCTCGCTTTTGCTGAGGCTGGCTTTGAACTCGCCATCCTCCTGCCTCAGCCTCCTGAGCCACTAGGATCACAGGCACTACTGGGTGCCCATCAGAACCCAGTTTGTTTGTTTGTTTTATTTTTATTTATTTATTTCTCAATGTGGTGCTGAGGATCGAACCCATGCTAGGCAAGTGCTGTACCACTGAGCTCCAACCCAACCCTGGCAGAACCCAGTTTTAACAGTTACCTTTTGTAGTTGGTTTGTTTGAGTCGGGGTCCAATCTTTTCTTTTTTTTTTAAATATTTATTTTTTTGGTTAGATGCAATACCTTTACATTGTTTATTTATTTTTATGTGGTGCTGAGGATCAAACCCAGGTCCCGCCCGTGTGAGGCGAGCGCTCCACCACTGAGCCACAGCTCCAGCCCTGTAATCTTTTCTTATTTTAAAGAGGTTAAGGGTTTAGAAAAACCTTTAACTTGACTTTAACTGGTATAAAATGAATATTTCCCCCTCCCACACACCCCCCATGACCTTTCCAAAAAACGTCCCCTGCTTCTTCTCGTAGCCATACTGACAGTCTCCTCAATGGTAAGCTGTCACTCAAGGCCTTACTGTTACACACGGTGTTGGAGCTCCATTTTCTACCTAGAAAATCAAGTTGGCCATGAGTCTTTTTCAGGCTTGTTTCCTAGGCACACATGAATAGCCCATCTCTTTGAATTTCGAACAGTTTGGGACTCATTCGAAGCCACAGGGTGGTAGAGAGAATTCCCGGGTGCCCCTTGTCCAGCTCCCCCTCGACAGTATCCTACCTGCCACAGTGATTATCAAAACCAGGAAGGTGACGTGGCACAGGGCTGTGGGCCTGCTCCAGACCCTACCTGGATTTCCTCAGTTTCTGCTCACACTCCTGGATGTCCTTGTGTCAGGGCAAGAGAACGAGATCCCTTGTGAACGGCTGAGCCCAGAGAAGCTGCCCAGAGCGGCTGAATCCCAGCCTCCCGTCTGCTGCTCTCCCTACAGCCCCTCCTCTTCTTGCTAGTCGGCTTTCTGTCAGGGTAGCAAATGCCCGAGAAAATCAACTTACCAGGACAAAAGGTTCATTTTGACTCACCGTTTAGGAGGGTCTAGTCCATGATCAGTTGGCTTTGGGGCCGCGGCCAGGCAGCACACCATGGTGAAGGCCTGTGGCAGAGGGACATCTCTCTGACCTCATGGCCGGAAAGCCAGAGGGAGAGAGGAAGGGGCTGGGGTCCCACAGTCCTCTTTCAGGGTGTGTCCCTAGGGACCCAAGGCCCCCCCACCAGGCTCGCTCCCTCTTCAAGTTTTGCTAACTCCCATATGGCCAGGCCGGGGACAGGGAAGACCCACGTGACAGCAGAAACCAAGCTGCACCCAACCAGCGGTTCCAAGAATGAGCCTTGGTTTTGCTGTTTGGCCCCAGATCAGGTTGCCCTTGACCAGGAGGTGACCTGCATCTGTGCCTTGCCGGCCGTTGAGTCCTTCCTCTCTGCGGGTAGGGCGATGCCACCCTGTGGGACTCAGAAGGGGCCCTGTCTCCACAGGTGACCTGCCGCGCCCTCGGGATCGGGGCCTACTTGGTGAGGCTGGGCCAGCGGGTGATCCAGGTGGAGAACTCCCACATCATCCTCACGGGGGCCAGCGCCCTCAACAAGGTGACCCGAGGGTCCCCGCTGGGGGTCGTGGGGCCAAGGGTCATTTAAAAATTCCATTGACCTCTGGTGGAGAATCTCTCCCAGGAGGTCTCATTCCTACCGTGTGAGAGCTGTTGTTCCAATTTGTAATTATCTGGGCACCTTCTGAGCCAAAATAAAATAAGTTTTAAGCTCCTCTGATGGAACTATTTTACATTAAAAAATATTGAAGTGGCAAGATGCTTTGTAGGAAACTGGACAAGGCACAATGACAAATGATTCCTGACATCAGGTTCTAGGGTCACTGGTCTGGGTACGAGCTGGGTGGCAAAGGGTTTGAAAGCTCCCGGTTGATTGTCATGTGCAGCCGGGATTGAGACCCACGCTGGGCAAGGTGATTCCCAACAGATGGAAGGGCTCTGGCCACGCAGGACTTTGCTAACCGCGTTGTGTCGAAGCAGGTGCTGGGAAGAGAGGTCTACACATCCAACAACCAGCTGGGCGGTGTTCAGATCATGCACTTCAATGGCGTCTCCCACATTACTGTGCCGGATGACTTTGAAGGGGTCTACACCATCCTGGAGTGGCTCTCCTATATGCCAAAGGTGCAGGATCGCCCCTGGGCTTAGAGCCTAGAGGACTCTATCATCAAGCCCATTTGGGTGGTGTGGAGGGTGAGGGGTGGGAAGCCCTTCAGATGTGGCTGGGTTCATTCCCTCCTCCCGCCTGCCTCTCTGATACCCAGCCCTGTGCGAGCTGCTGGTTGCTGTTTTGGTGGAATCATAATGATTTTTTAAAAAGGAATGACCTTCACTCCCCACCTTCATCAAATCCATTTGAATGGTGGAATGCACTCAGGACTCCTGAAACTGGATTTCAAAAGAATCCATAGAGCTAGACCTTGCCTGGCATTTCCCAACCAGAACATTGGCTTCCAAAGCCCGAGTGAGAGGCTATTGCTGCATAACCAGGCGTAATCGTAGTCGGAGGCAAAAAACTACAACTACAGGTGTTACTGAGAAGCCCTGGAAACTGAATTGGAGACGGCTTTCTTTTCTAGGATAACCTCAGCCCGGTCCCTATCATCACACCCACTGATCCTATTGACAGAGAAGTTGAATTTCTCCCGTCCAGAGCCCCCTATGACCCCCGGTGGATGCTTGCCGGAAGGCCTCACCCAAGTAAGTCCTTAAGTGTGTTGCCAGGGACCTGGAACTTTGGTTTCTTTTCTGGGCCTGAGATAAAAGAGCCTGAAGGTGGAAGCACTGATATTTTCCCCATATCCCAGAGGGATGTCCCTAAGCTGAGAGGCTAGTGGAGTTGGGGGATGGAGATTTTACTCTATGGTTTTCTGGAGTCATTGACCAATGAGTGTTGGAAACAGCTGTAGTTTCTGGGGCTCATAAATGGAAGGGGTCTCTGATGGATGGGCAGCTTGGCCTCTTTGACACACACACACACACACACACACACACACACACACCTCTCCCCTTCTGAAGGGGATGGCTCTGTCTCTTAGAGGTATGTCATTACATTCTGAGCAACCAGAATGGACCGGAAAGCTGAGCTCCCCTGACACCTGTCACCGTATCCCAGGGGTCGAATTCCACCTGCTGCTCCCTGCAGATGTGCTCTGCTCACTGAGCTGTGTGCTGATGCGGGGACGTGACCCTCTGGCCAACAGAAGCATCTCTGTGGTTGCGTCCCTCTCTGCTCTCCTCTGGGGCCCTTGCACCTGTGAGCACGGAGGGCCCGTGTCTGACTCAGTTCAGAAATGAGCCACTTTGTGCTGGAACCTTGCTCCGTGGAGTCCGGCCAGCCCTGCCACAGAGCCCAAGTGGGCTGCTTGGTGCCCGGCACCAGCCTCCGTCGCTCACGCCTGCAGCTTGAGACACTCCCCGCAGGCTTGCATCCTCTTGTCACTACTGAAGCCACCTACGCCACGCTGTGGATGGAAGTTGCTGTTTCCTTCCCAGAAGTGGCCTGGATGTCACATTGTTTCTATCCTACTCTGGGACGTGGGGGGCTCTTCCCAGCCCAGTGGTTCCCAGGCTGCAGTTCAGGGGTGTCTTCCAGGGCTGTGTCTCTTCCGGAAAGAGGTACCCGGAAGGCATGCTCTTGGGCAGGAGGGCTGGGCCTGAGGCATCACTCAGCTGGAGGCGGCTGGCCCTCCACGTGGGCTGACAGGCTCCATGTTGTCTTTGCCGCGTGGCTTTTGTTGCTGCTGTTTTGTTTTGGGAGGCGAGTGGTGGGGAGCTGTGCGTTTTTAGGGAGAAAAGGGCATTTGGGCTGTGAGGTCAAGGTCAGGCCGTCCTCAGATGAGGACGCCAGCCTGGGGCGTCACCAGCCCCTCCACCTGGGCTCCTGTCTCCTGCCCACAGCTCTGAAGGGGACCTGGCAGAGTGGCTTCTTCGACCAGGGCAGTTTCAAGGAAATCATGGCACCCTGGGCCCAGACGGTGGTGACGGGACGAGCCAGGTAACCCTGATGACAGGACGGGAGCAGTCTGCGAACCCCCGGCCTCGCCAGGCGCTGGGACTCCCAGCATCCCAGGGTCCCAGGGGTGTCTCCTCCTTGGCCCCAGGATTTTCTGGAAGAAAAAACCCCGTTTGGCCAAAGGTTTCCTGGATGATGAAGCCGTCCGTATATTCTGTTCTCATCTGTGGCCTTAGAGGCACCTCACCAGCTGCTCCTGGGGCCGGGACCTTGTCCCTAGCGTCAGTCCCCTAGCCGTGGGGTCCCTTGGGCCTCAGAAGGTGGCCCTGGTACCCTTCTGGAAAACCTCAGACCCTCAACACTCTGACTCCGTGTAAGGAGCCCCGGAGGGCACCGCGGCCGACATCAACACTTGAATGCTCAAGTGAGCGCCCCTCTAGCCCCATGGTCCTCATCTTTGGGGACCTTCCCCCATGGAGCCCTCATGACTCACCACTCACATCCCTGGCAGCACGTGGAGCTACGTCCACAGGCCTCTGGGCCTCCAAACCCTCCTCTGTAGAATGGGGTGGTCGTCCTACCCAGAGGGCCTCCGTGGCCGTAAGCGCAGCAGTGCGTTACAGACCGGAAGTGCCACGCAGGGTGCCCACGTGGCGGTGTCCCTGTCATAGTTATTATCTACCTTCCTGGACAAGAAATATTAAAATCCTAAGCACGGTTGGGCGCAAAGTTGCGTTCTCTGTGTCTATTTTAAACGCATTTTTCATGAAAACTGGAGACGACATCCACGCCTCCTTCCACACGGAGGCCCTTGGTCCAGAGATGGCCGTCCCCACCTGCCCATAGGGTCATTGCATGAGTGATCGAGAATGTCCCCATGAAGTGCGTGACCCGGGGTGGCCACCAGTACGAGGTGATGGTCCTGATGTCACGGTGACCCCTGAGCTCAGTTTCCATCAGGCTCAGTGTCCCTTGGCCCTCTCCACAGGTGGTTTTTTCTCTGTGCTGTGGTCATCACCAGCTGCAGGTGACGGGTGGAGGGGCAATTTAAGGCTGGGGTGTGGCTCAGGGCTAGAGCACTCGCCTTGCACGTGCAAGGCCCTGGGCTCGATCCCCAGCCAAAAAAAAAATGTCTAAAGTTAGGATTTAAATGACAGAGGTCACCTGGGCGTCTCCTTGCCCACGAGAGCTGCCCTATGGGACAGTCCAGGTGAGGAGTGCAGCTGTTGTCACAGGAAGTCCTCTCAGGCCAGCTGCTGCAGCCCCAGTGGCCCCTCACCCGACAGGGCATGGGCACCTGCTGGACCCCCGGCCTGCCAGGTTCTTGGAGCTTTTTTTTGCCATCTATTAATCCACCAGAGTGAAACCAGCATTCTACTCCACATGGCCTTGTCCCCACTCCCAGAACCCTGCAGCCAGGGCTGGGTACACCCTGGTTCCCACCCCGAGGTCTGCCCAGGGGCTGCCCGGTGCCCGGCTCACGTGTGCTCACCTTCCAGGCTGGGGGGGATCCCCGTCGGAGTCATCGCCGTGGAGACRCGGACCATGGAGCTGGCGGTCCCCGCGGACCCTGCCAACCTTGATTCCGAGGCCAAGGTGAGGGGCTGTGGCTGCTGGGCGTCATTCTGCTGGTAGGAGGGGGTCCCACTATCCCAGCCCGGAGGCTCGGAAGCAAGGGCCATGGCCCTGGGTGGCTGGGAGTGTCCCTGGGGCCCTCTCCATTGAAGTATGTCTGCTACCTCTGGGGGGATGGTAGGTCCTGGGGAGCCCCCTCCCCCAGCCCTGCCCCCACTGCTGTTTCCGCCATCAGCTGCAGCCCACAGTGGGGACTGCCCGGGGGTGGGGGACTGCTTTGCGGGGTCTCAGTGTGGCCTTGACGAGCTTGGCACCTCTCTGAGCTTAGATGTGGGGACAGTGGGACCCTCTGCTGCTTGGTGAGTGTCACATGAGGCAGATGAGCTTTGAGCCTCCTGGCTCCAGTGTTGGTGCCAGGGTCAGGCTGGGGCTGGAGTCCCAGCAACCCACGGCCGCTCGGGGCGTGTGACACGGGCCGTCCGTGTTCCAGATCACCCAGCAGGCGGGCCAGGTGTGGTTCCCAGACTCGGCCTACAAAACCGCCCAGGTCATCAAGGACTTCAACCGCGAGAAGCTGCCTCTGCTGATCTTTGCCAACTGGAGGGGCTTCTCCGGGGGCATGAAAGGTAGGGCCGCCTGGTCCGTCCATGTGGTCACTGCAGCCTTGGTCCCCGGGCAGCACCTTCTGCACGTCCTGCCCCCACTGTCCCCTTAGCTGTTCCTCCTGGAAACCAGAGGTGGTTCAGGTAACGCCGCCCTTTTTTTATAGATGAAGAGCCACATGTCAGAGGCTGTGTGGCTTCCTAGAGGTCACATCTGAGTGGCAGGGTGGGGAGGTTGGGTGGCCTGGCTCTCACCTCCCCACTTGGTAAGATGAGAAGGACATGCACCCACCCGCCTTCCCTGGGGCTGCTCCAAGCCTCAGGTGACCTTAGGGCTGTGCAGGCTCCCTCAGCACCATGCATCTCCAGACACAGTGGCTGTCAGTGGGATGCAGAGGAAAGGGCTGGCATGGGAGGGAGGCAGATCTGCTGTGCATCCTTGCTGGCTGGGCAACCTCTATGAGCCTCAGTTTCCCTCCTTTGTGCAAGGAGTTAAAATAGAACCAACCTTGGGGGGCCAGAGCAAGGTTCCCGTGTACAAGGTGCGCGTATTGGTGGTGACATTACCGTCACCCTGTAGGGTGCCCAAGTACCTGGAGGGTGTGTCTTGGTGGGAGGTAAGGGCAGGGGAGTAGGGGCTGTTAGGATTGGGGGCTCTCTGTGTGGGCCACACAGGGTGGCAGGGGTCTCAGAGGTGAGTTGCTTCCGATGCCTCTGTTTACAGGTGAGGACACGGGCCACACTGGGTGACTGGCCTGTCCAGGGCCACACTGCCACTCAGGGGACCGTCTATGCTGGTCGGCCACCCCTCCCAGCCCAGTGCTCGCCAAGCCTCCCAGCTGACCCTGCTTCCCTGGGGACCCAGGGACCGTCTGGGCTGTGGGCTTCCCGTGTGGGTGAGCCGGGCCCTCCGGTCACCTAAGCGGGCGGGTGGCCTTGCCTTCCAGACATGTACGACCAGGTGCTGAAGTTCGGGGCCTACATCGTGGACGGCCTCAGGCAGTACACACAGCCCATCCTCATCTACATCCCGCCCCACGCGGAGCTGCGCGGGGGCTCCTGGGTGGTGCTCGACTCCACCATCAACCCCCTGTGCATAGAGATGTACGCGGACAGAGAGAGCAGGTGGGTGGTCCCCCATCAGCCCGTGTTTCCTGACAGAGGTCCCTCACTGAACTGGGGCAAAAGCAGCACGGGAGTGGGTTTTCTCAACAGCTGGAACGCACAGGTGGTAGAGATATTGTCTCTTTTTATGTAACTTATCCTCAAGGAAGTTTGCCATGGAAAAATAATAAAGGAAATACCAAAATAATAACATAATTAAAAATGAAATATTAAAGGAAAGACCCAAAGCCCACGAGCCTCCTGGCAGCCAGGAGGAAAAGGGAAATATGAGTTCTGCCTCTCCCCCTAGGCTCTGAGGCTAGTTTCTGGGCCCAGGGTCTGTCACCACGCCTGACTCCTCTCTGGGATGGGGGAATCCTGACGGAACATGTGACCAGATAAAGACCTGAATGATGGGCTCCTGTTCCTTGTGGGGGAGAAACCTTGGCATTTTCTTCAGGAGGAATAAATCCCAGGGGCTCTCAGACGGGATGTGGTAGGAGTGCCTGTCATGGTGGTCGGGGCCTTCAGAGGGAGCACCTTACGCTACCTGCTGTGTCGGACATAAAGTCCTCAAAAGTGGTTCTTCCCCAAATGTGGGCACCCCGTTCTAGGTTCACTCCTGCCTCCTTCCTTAGTTCACTGAGCAGTCACTGAGTTCCTGCCACAAGCCAGGCATTTTGTTGGGTATTGTGTCACGATGTCCAGTGAGCCAGCCTATCCTGTCTTCACGGTGCCCAGACCCTCATGGCAGGCTCCTGAGGCCAGTCCTTGAGGAAGACTCGGAACCCTGCACCTCAGGGTTGAAATTCAATCAACTTCTCCCTCTGGCCACTAGGAATCTCAGAGCTGCCTGTCGGTTTCCTAAGGGCTTCTAACCTCCCCAAAGCAGAAGGGGGCGAGGTAGGCTGAGGGGTGAGTGGGAAGGCTGGAGATGAGGGGGTTGTCGGCACAGGACAGGCTGGGCTCTGTCACTCCTTCTAAGCTTTAAAGGGCTCAGAAACGGTGCCCCGACTCTAGAAGAGCAGGAATCGGGAAAGTCACAAAGGGCCGTGCTGGGAGTTACGCTGTTATGGAGAGAGTTATGAAATGCAGTTCAGCGGCTCTCCAGAGTTGAGAAAGCATCATTTTAAGATGTTGGTTCAGCCCTTCCTTCCCTGGGTATAGAAACAGAAACCCAGAGAGGGAAAGTGACTTGCCCGAGAGCACACAGCAGATCTGTGTTAGAGCCGACACCCAGGTCTCCCAGCTCCCTTACCCTGAGCTTCCTCCACCTCCAGGAGCTGGGGCTTGCTGGCCATGCCTGCACCCACCCACTCCTGCCTCTTCTTTTTACAGGGGGGGCGTTCTGGAGCCCGAGGGAACGGTAGAGATTAAGTTCAGAAGAAAAGACCTGGTAAAGGCCATGAGGCGCATTGACCCGGGTTACAAGAAGCTCGTGGAGCAGCTAGGTGAGGGGGCCGGGGGCCGGGGGGGGGGCAGCCAGTCCCATCATGGTGGTTTCTAATGTATTAAAAAATGAGCAAGAAAGAGGGCTGGGGCTGCGGCTCAGGGGGAGAGCGGTTGCCTCGTATGTGGGAGGCACTGGGTTCAAATCTCAGCACCGCAGAGAAATGAGTGAATAAAGTAAAGGTCCAAGCCAGGCACCGTGCTGCACGCCTGTCCTCCCAGCAGCTGGGGAGGCTGAGGCAGGAGGATGGCGAGTTCAAAGCCAGCCTCAGCACAAGTGAGGCCCTGAGCAACTCAGGGAGACCCTGACTCTAAATAAAATACCAATAGGACTGGGGGTGTGGCCCAGGGCCCGAGTGGCCCTGAGTTCAATCTCTGGTACCAATACCAATCAGTAAATAAATAAATAAATAAAAATCCATCAACTAAAATAATATATTTTTTAAAAATGCAGTAAAGAGCTGGGGTTGTGGCTCAGTGGTAGAGCGCTCGCCCAGTTGGGGCCTGGGTTCGATTCTCAGCACCACTTAAAAATAAAGGCATTGTGTTGTGTCCATCTACAAAAAATATCTATTCTCTCTCTCTCTCTCTTTTAAAAAAAAAATATGCAGTAAAGACACACCAAACACAGCTATGGTAATTGTGAGATTTTTCCAAATATTTGTATTTCCAAGTCAATTATTTTAACATTAACACACACACACACACAGGTTTACTATCCTTTGGGAACAGGTATGTTCCAGATGTCAATTTTTTTGGACTTGGGAATATTTGCATCTGTACAATGAGGTCTCTTGGGGACAGGACCCACATCTAAACCCAAAACTCATTTACATTTCCTCGACACCTTATGTATAAAAACCTGAAGGTGATTTATGCACGTCATTATGCACCTGCAATTTGATGGCGACCTGTGCCACGCGGTCCGGGATTTTCCACTGTGACACCATGTCGGCACTTTAGAAGCTCTAGCTTCTGCAGCATTTGGATTTTGGATTTTGGGGTCAGGGATGCTGAACCTATAACACCACTGTGAATTTATTTCTTAGCACAAAGATTAACAATTAAAGTATTGGGCTTAGAATTGTGGTGACAGAATCCTATTTATTTAACGTTTTTATTAGTGCATCATAGTGGGGCCCAAGAGTGGGTCCGTTTCAACATGAGCACACCTGCACGGAGCCCAGCTGGCTCCTCAGGCCCCAGCGCGTCCTCTTTCCCTCTCTGCCCCCCCTCCCCTTCCCTTTACTCTGCTGGGCTTCCTCCTGTTGATTCTTGGTTTTGGAATCAGTGCTCTATAGAGAGGCTCTATAGAGAGGACGTTCATGGTGGTTCTTCATGGATGTACAGAGCAGTGGGTCAATTGCTCTCCACCGCTCTTCCCTCTTCCCGTCCCTTCCACCTCCCCCTCAGTCCCCTTCCTCTCCCTTCTGTCCCCCCTCCCTTATTTTTCAGCAGTTTCTGCATCTGAGAGGAAACATCTGACCCTTGACTTTCTGAGTCTGGCTGATTTCACTGAGCACCATGTTCTCTAGTTCCATCCATCTGCCAGCAAATGCCGTCATTTCATTCTTTTTAGTGGGGAGGGCATACCAGAGATTGAACTCAGGGGCCCCCGACCCCTGAGCCCCATTTCAGCCCTAGTTTGTACTTTATTTAGAGACAGGGTCTCACTGAGTTGCTTAGGGACTCACTGTTGCTGAGGCTGGCTTTGAACTCGCCATCCTCCTGCCTCAGCCTCCTGAGCTGCTGTGAGGACAGGCCTGAGCCCCTGCCCGTGGCCATCATTCCATCCTGTATGGCTGAGTAGAACTCCGTACACATTTTCTTTACCCATTCATCCATTTGTTGACAGGCACCGGTTGGTTCCATAACTTGGCTATTGTGAACTGTGCTGCTGTACACACTGACAGGCCTGTGTCCCTAGAGGGACACGTAGAGGGTGGTGATTCTAGGTCTTTGGATAATACTGAGGAGTGGGAGCTGGGTCGTATGGTGGTCCCCTGCCTAGTCCTTTGAGGACTGTCCATACTGCTTTCCAGGGTGGTTGTGCTGGTTCCCAGTCCTACGAACAACGTGGGAGTGTCCCTTTCCCCGGGTCCTCACCAGCGTTTATTATCATTTGTATTCGTAATGACTGCCATCCTAGTGAGGTGAAATCTCAGTGTAGTTTAGATTTGCATTTCCCTGGTGGCTAGGGAGGTAGAACATTTTTTTAAATGTATTTGTTGGCCATTTGTGTTGCCTCTTTTGAGGAAATCCATTGAGTACTTCTGCCTGTTTATTAATTGGATTGGTTTTTCGTGGTAAGGGTTGAGTTCTTTGTCTATTATGGATGTTAATCCTGCTGGAGGAGCAGCTGGGAAAGATTTTTCTCCCCCGTTCTTGGGTAGACAGAATCAGTACAGTCAAAACAGGCCTGAGTGTTACACAGGTTCAATGCAGTCCCCACCGCCATGCCCATGACATCCTTCACTGAGGGCCACACACAGTCCTAAAATTCATCTGGAAGAATAAAAGACCCAGAATAACCAGGCAGTCCTGAGCCAGAAGAGCAGGTGTGAGGTATCCCAGCATTGGGCTTCCAGGTGCCCCACGGAGCTGCGGTACCAGAACGCATGGCAGCGGCATCCAGACAGACACGAAGAGCAATGGAGAGCAGACAGACAGACGGATGCCATCATCTGATAGTCAACACAGGTGCCAAAAACATGCCTTGGAGAAAAGGCAGCCTTTAAATAAATAGGAAAACTGGGTATCCATGTGTCCAAGAGTGAAACTAGACCCTCACCTGCCGCCCTGCACAAGTCAACTCAAAACGGACCCAAGACCGCAGGTCCAGACCCGGAACTGCAGCCGCCAGAAGAAACAGCTCCACACCCCTCACGTCGGCTCAGGCCCCGAGTTCAAAACCCTGGAGCCCAGGAAGTGACACCAAGAATCAATAAGTGGGGTGACAGCAAATCAGAAAGCTTCTGCACGAGCTTGGAGAGAGAGCCACAAATTGTCCCTTTGGAATTGCCAGCTGGACATCAAAGTTGTACCATTTTGTTTGACGGCTTTGCTTCATCGAGGTCTGTAGGGGTGGTCTGCTTCAGGTGTCCGTTTGTTCTCCACGTTACAGCAGCGGCTTTATCACTGGTTTCCCCAGACGTGTGGCCCAGTACGTGTGAGTTCTTTGTTTTGGCATCAGGGTAGTGCGGACCTTGGGGATTTGGGAAGTCTGTTCTATTTTCTGGATTTGTGTACAATTGGCATTATTTCTTTAAATCTTTGATAGGAAGATTCTAACTACAAAGTCTCCTTCTTATAGGAATATTTTCTTTCTTTCTTTCTTCTTCTTCTTTTTTTTTGGTCCTGGGGATTGAACCCAGGGGCACTTGACCCCTGAGCCCCATCCCCAGCCCTATTCTATATTGAATTTAGACACAGGGTCTCACTCTGTTGCTGAGGCTGGCTTTGAACTCCCATCCTCCTGCCTCAGCCTCCCAAGCATGTGCCACTGGACGGGGCTTCTTATTGCATTTTATAATTTGTATTAACATAGTAATTGATAGTATGCTGTGGAGCAGAGGGCCTGACAGAAGGGTCAGAGTTAAAGCTGCATGTAGAACACCGTCCTGCCCTCTGAGTCTATTCCTGAGCCCACAGAAGGTGCTTGATTTAGGGGGAACATCAGCCTTAACGCCCCAGTATCTCATGGGGCCCGCCTGTCCTGCAGACGTTTATGCACTGTCAAAAAAACCCCTCCAGCCCTGCCCTGTGTGGCCGTGTTCGGAGGTGCGCCCGGGTCCTGAGCGGCTCCTCTGCCCCCGCAGGGACGGCCCAGCTCCCGGAGAAGGAGCGCAGGGAGCTGGAGGGCCGGCTGAGGGCGCGCGAGGAGCTGCTGCTCCCCATCTACCACCAGGTGGCGGTGCAGTTCGCCGACCTCCACGACACGCCGGGCCGCATGCTGGAGAAGGGCGTCATCTCCGTAAGGCCCCGGGAGGACCCCCTGAGGCCACCAGGGCCCCACCGGGGAGGAGAGTGGGGCTGAGGGGGGGGGGCCGACCTGGGAGTCACCTGAGGAGCTTAAAACAAAAGTCTCCATGCTGGTGGCACCGGCACAATGACACCCTAGGCTGGGAGCCGGGAGCCCTGCACAGCCCCAGGTGGTGGCAGGAGGCTCGAGGTTAGTGTTGACCAAGGCGAGGACCCAAGGGAGCCCTCGTGCCACCCGGGTTCTCCCAAGCCCTGGCCTAATGCCCCCAAGAGGACATCCCATAATCATCTCCACTGCCTGCCAGCTTCTCCTGCTGGAATGTCGCGTGTCCCCAGAGGGGGAGGTGGCCGGTGCTGGTTTAGACGGGCTCCGCCCCCTGCGGGGCAGCGTCCCTCCCCCACGCACAGCGACCTCGCTGTCGCCTGTCGCCTGTCTGGAGGGGGGACAGCTCGGGAGGGACAGGAGCTCAGCCTGGCCGCCCGCAGGACGTGCTGGAGTGGAGGACGGCCCGCACCTTCCTGTACTGGCGCCTGCGCCGCCTCCTCCTGGAAGGCCAGGTGAAGCAGGAGGTGCTGCGCGCCAGCGGCGACCTGGGCCAGGAGCACGTGCAGTCCATGCTGCGCCGCTGGTTCGTGGAGACCGAAGGGGCCGTCAAGGTGGGCCTGGGGCAGGGGCGAGCGGGGGTCCCAGGGGCCTGCCCCGCGCAGGGTCCCGTCTGAGCAGCCTGTCCCCGCCCAGGCCTACCTGTGGGACAACAACCAGGCAGTGGTCCAGTGGCTGGAGCAGCACTGGCAGGCGGGGGAGGGGCTGCGCTCCGCCATCCACGAGAACATCAGGTACCTGCGGCGCGACTCCGCCCTCAAGACCATCCGCGGGTGAGTGTCCTGTCCCCTGCGCCGCCTGTTCTCCAGCTGCCCAGCTCCAGGGCGGCTGAACCCGCACTATCTTTGGTAGCGAGGTGCCAGGCCCGACTGCCCCGCTCCACCAGGGGACCACACTGCCCAGCGTCCCCTCTCCCAGCACCAGGCCAGGGGGAGGCCCAGAGACCTGGGAGGCCACAAAGATACCACGATGCCTTCTGTTGTGATTCCTGCTGGAATCTGGAGGGTGACTTGTCCCATGTCACACCCAGAACCTGGTGGGTATCCCTCTAGACCTGGAGTTTGGGCTCCTGTCCCACTGCCAGCCTTTCCAGAGGACTCTCATCAGTAGGGCAGCAGGACCCCATTTAGGGTATGAAGCTGGGTACTCACCTCAGGTGCATCACACCTGTAATCCCAGAGATCAGGGAGGCTGAGGTGGGAGGATCACAAGTTGGAGGCCAGCCCCAACAACTCAGCAAGGCCCAAGTGACAGTGTCTCAAAAGCCAGAAAGAGCCGGGGATGTGACTCACTAGAGCACCCCTGGGTACAACCCCCAGCACCAAAAGGAAAGATAAACAGAGAGTCCATCACCCGGCCAGTGACCAGAGAGGATGGTGCTACCCTTGAGGTGTCCTGACCCCCACGAATGTGTCACCCCCTGGGTGACCACACAAGGAAGGGAATCAGGTTCCTGCCCAGTAAGAGGACACRGCCAAGGTCTTTGTCATCGAGGGCCCTGGACTAAGCGGCAGGAGTGACCCGGCCCTTTGCTCCCTGCAGGCTGGTCCAGGGGAACCCCGACGTGGCCATGGACAGCATCGTGTACTTGAGCCAGCACATCAGCCCGGCCGAGCGGGCCCAGGTGGCCCAGCTGCTGTCGTCCACCGAAAGCCCGGCGTCCACCTGAGCACTCCAGGACCAGGGGCGGGAGAACCCAGGCGACCGGCCACAGGCCCGGCCAGGACCTTGGCGCCTGCTGCGTTAGAGAAACGCAGCGTCCAGGGGACGTGTGCCCTGCCAGGGCGGCTGGCCTCAGCCCACTCCTGCCGGGTGGAGGCTCGGGGCCGGGCTCTTCGCCTCCTTTCCTATCAGATCATGGGATCCTTTTTTTTTTTCTTTTTTTTTTTACTCTGAGACCAGCACTTGACATAAACGTGACCTATTTCAGCAGAATCAACAGCCAGGTAGGGGACCCCTAGGGACAAGACCAGAGAAGCCCATTTTTGTACTGAGGGGTGTGCAGATGCTGCCCGGGTGAGGTTTGTCTGTCTTTTTTAAATTATTCAGATAATGAAATGGCATTTAATTCCCAAATGGCCCTAGTGAGCCGCTAGGATTGTTGGCCCTCGTCAGCGGACGGTCGCTTCTTCAAAGAGACGAAGCAAAATGAGCAGAAATGTCCCAGGCTGCAGGCCTTCGGAGGGTCACAGGCTCTGCCCGGCCCTCTCTCAGAGGAGAAGAGGGACCTGCGGGACCTGCCCCCGGGCACACCTCAGGCCTGACCTGGGGACACAGACGCAGGGGAGCCCTCCCCAGGCTCAGGCCCAGCTTGCTCACCAGCGAGCGCCATGGCCAAGGTCACCGCCACCTCCCCCTTGAGGCCCCTGGGGACACTGTCCCCTCTTCACCTGTTACTTCTGTGTCCTCGGTGGCTTCTGGCACTGAGGGCAGAGCCGCGGGCAGCTGAGGACGAGATGATGAAACCCTGCCAGTCTGCTCAGGAAGGACTCGGTGACAGTGTCCCCAGCCCCTGGCCCTGCAGACTGCACCCGCCAGCCCCTCCCGTTCGGGCCTGTGAGGGGGAGAGATCCGGTCCCGCCAGCCCCTGTGCTGGGCGGTGGTTCCTCCAGGACACTGGACATTGCACCTGGCCGGTGGCAGCCCATGGGGCGCGGTGGAGGCCTCGGGCCGAGATGCGGGAACCTGAGTTAAAAAAAAAAAAAGTCTAGCCATCAGCAAATGACAACCAGGGCACATGAAGGTGGTGTGGCATGAGAGAGGGAGAAAGCTGCTGGGTCACCTGCCGTCGCACACAGAGGCTGGGCCCGGGCTTTGATGCTGCTCTGGGAGCTGCAGGCCTCTGGGTTGTGGAGGACAGACAGGCCGTGCTGCCCCCGGCTCCGTGGAAACGCGCACAATAAACTATTTTTTGGAGGAAGCGCTTTGGCCTTGACTGACTGTGTAGCCCAGAAAAGGCAGGCTGCCCGCTGGCTGTGCCCACCGGAGACCTGGAGGGAGCTCCCGGCTCAGGAGCAGCTGGGGACGCAGGGCGGAAAGCCGAGGGCCAGACTGTGGTCCTCGACGTCTTCCCCTTCTTTAAGCCCCGAAAGGCTTTATTTAACCAAATCATAGGGAGCCTCTTCCATCCACGAGGCCCAAGGGAGGCTTCTCTGGAGGAACCATGGCCGGGTCCCTGTTCACCTCCGTCGCCCAGCACTGCCGCCCAGCCCTCCTTTGCAGATGAGGAAAGCCAGGCTCAGAGAGGTGGAGGCACCTGTCCATGGGCACACAGGACAGTCCGTTTGACTTCAGAGCCCAGCCCCCTCCTTTCTGACAGAGGCTCCTGGTGGTCTGGTGTGGCTCGAGGCACCCTTGGGAATTGGCACGGGTCCAAATGGCAGAAGCCTTCCCCCTCCCCCACTGCACTTTATCAATATACAGGGACTATTCAATTTTGTCTCTAAAACACAGGACAATGGTCACTTTTATTCTGTCCGGCATATTTTTTTTCTTGGCATTTCCACCTCACTGGGGTGGGTCATAGCCCAGGTGTGTATCCCCGCAGAGCCAATTAGAATGCTTTGGGGGTGACTGACAGCACTGACAGGTGGAGAGAACCTGCCAGTGTAGAAGGAGGTGGTACCAGAAATGGAGAGGCCCAGTCCTGTGGATGCCTGGATCAAGCCATACCTGAAGTCCCAGGAACTATGCTTTTTTTTTTTCTTTTTATGCTCACATTAGTTTGAGTGGGAGCTACATTCTTATCCCTAGATGTGGCTCACTTGACCCAGAAGCAGCAGTTAAAGCCCACCCCCACCAGCAGCATAGAGGTGCTGCATCAGTAAACCCCACAGGTAGGGAGCTGAGAGCAAGCTACCTGCAGCCCCCGCTGAGGCGGGCAGGGGAGGCTCTGGTTGTACTTTGTGTCCTGGAGGCTACACATGGCTACTTAGCTCAGCTTGAGTCAGACAGACACCAGGGGCTGCCTGCGGGCTGATGCTGCCGGAGGCTAGACCATTGGAGGTGGCTCACTTCCTTGACAAGGCTGGCTCTCCTCCCACAGGGGCAGGGGACAGGACCAGATCCCTCCGCATGGACAGAGGCCCCTAAGGTCCAAACGAGGCTCACATCCTTATGCTCTGGCTCCCCTCCAGAGTTAGGGTCACTTTCTCCCTGACTTGTATTTTGAAGTTTTCCAAACACCAGAGGTGGAGGTATTGGAAGCAAACACCAGCCCCCGGCCACCTGCCCAAGCCACCTCTCCACCCCATGGCAGGACTTGCCATCCTGCCTCCCTGTCCATCTTCCGTCTCTCCTTTTACCTGTGCCTCCATCTTATAATCTTGCCGCATTTCAGAGTGAATTGCAGGAGGAGCACACTTCTCCAGAGTTATTTTATGTTTCAAAACAGTTTTGTTGGTTGTTTGTTTCCAGAGTTTTCCTGTAGCCAGGACCACAGTTGTCCCAGGTCCCCAGTCCCTTAAAGTGCACGGCAGAGTAGTTGCACAGAACCTCGGCCTGTTTTTGTTTTTTTTTCTGGCTCTGATATTTTTTTCTGAGTTTTTAATCTTGTCACTTCCCCCCACACGACGTAACAATTCACATAGCATTCACACTGTGTGAGTGATGGGGAATGACCTGGAGCGGTCTTACAGGGTACAAGAGGAAGTGCCAAGGTTCTGTGCAAACACTCTGCCATGTATCTTAAGGGACTGGCTATGGAGAGCTGGCTGTCCCCAAGAAAATCAGAACAGTGTCCAGGGGAGGCAGCTGGCTGTGCCTCAGGAGGGAATCGGGGCCTCGGGAGGCTTTGTTTTCATCTGCTATTTTATTGAGCACATGCTATGTGCCACGCGCTGTCAGGGGCAGAGAGGCACCAGCCGAGCCCTCCTCGTCAGCCCTTGGGGACGGACATCCAGGGCTCCCAACAGGTAGGCATTGCAAGTGGCTAACTATTAGGAGACCCTCGGGGTCACAGCTAGTGGACAGTGTTACATCCAGAGATGCCCAGGGCGATCTTCCAAGGCCACTGAGGCAGGAAGGGAACCAGGCACAGGCCTCAGAACGCCTCCCTAGGGACCACTGTGCCCAGGAAGGCCGTCACTAACCCACCCTGGTGGGCACTGTCCATGCAGCTATGCCCCAAGCCAGGCTGCCCTGGGCCAGAAGGCCATGCTACTCCAAACACCATGGGGCATGAGGCTTGGGGTCGGCCAGCCTGGGCAGTCTGGCTACGGTAGCCTGAGCTGGTGGCTGGGGGTCAGAGTTGCTTCTGAGGTTTCAACTTCTTGGCGTTTGGAACTGTCAGATCACCTCCAGGGAAGCAGGACTCTCCTGCGGGAAACGCCTTCCCTCTTGACTTTGCCTCGAGGATCCCTAGGCATCCCTCAAAACCCCACTCCACCGATACAGCCTTCTCTGAGCTCTCCAGTGAGTCGGGACCCCCCCTCTGGGGTCCCGCAGCCCTGTTCTCCACTCCTGGGCAGTGTTTGTGGAGCGTGGATCTGTGGGTGCATGTGTTCCTAGGCATCTCCACGTCCCTCTGGTCACCCAACCCAGGACAGCAGTCCACCACGGACTGAGGGGGCCTCCGCTGGAACATGAGGTCCAAGTCGGCTTCTGGTGACATCTACATCCTGTGACATCTGACCCGTGGCGGGTAGCTTCCAGCAGAATAGTGTATAGGAGATGCAGGCAAAGAGTCCACAAGGTTCTTTTCTAATCGATTTTTTCTTGTGCTAAGATAGACATAACAGAATTTACCCTCTTAACCTTTGGGTTTGGGTGTGTGGCAGGGGTGTCTGGCTGTGTGGCCCAGGATGGCTTCAAACTCCTGGGCTCAGGCGGTCCTCCTGCCTCGGCCTCCGGAGTAGCTGGGACTGTCACCCAAACTCAGGCTCCCGGGGCAGAGCTGTAGGGATGAGCCCAGATCTGGGAGGAGCTTAGGCACAATGGCTTCCTGGGGACTTCTGCTCAAGCCAGAGGGGACACGGCACAAGGGCCCAGAGAGCCCCGGCTGACAGCAACCAGCGACAAAGCGGGGCGGCTTTAAGGGCATCTCTGGTCTTGGCAGGAACTCAGTCCCTTGATGTCACCCCCTGCAGAGGCAGGACCTGGGTTGTGCCTGTGCTCTTTGTCACCTGTCTTCATGCCCCGAGTGGTGGGCTGTGCATTGGTTATGCTAATAAGGTGAACGTCACTGTGGCTTGCTTAGTGACCTCTACATAAGCATTTGCCACCTGCCTCCTGGCATCGGCCCTTATCATCCGGGAAAGTCTCTGGCCTTGTTTTTAGCAGAACAGTGGCGACCCCACGGGGGTCCCAGGTGGCATCCCGCTGACCACACAGAATGGGAAGCTGCGCTGGGCTCCCGGCTGCCCCCTCCTGGGCTCCCTCCCTCCCACCACCTTGCAGACTGCTCTCTTAGCTCCGGATTCTCTGGAGTGGCTGCTAACCCCATAAGACTGAGTGCTGGCTGTCTGCTCTCTGTCCCCTGAGGGGGTTTGTCCCTTAGTCCTCAGAGGCCCTGCTTTCCGTGGGGGTCCCTGATTACCAGGCAGGCGCCCCTCTTCACCATTTTCAATTGTGCAGTTCAGGAGCAGCAAGTGCCTTCATCTCCCCCTGAGACCCACGCAAAGCTGAAAGTCCAGATCCATTAAAAGACAACTCCTCCCTCGCCCCTCCCGGCCCCAGCACCTGCCGCTCTGCTTCCCGTCTCTATGAATTCGACAGCTCTAGCTACTCGCTATAACTGGAACCCTACAGCATCTGTCTTTTTGTGACTGTGTCCTTAAGGTTCATTCATGTTGTAGCATGTGTCCGGATTTCCTTCCTCTTCAGGGCTGAGTAATATTCCACAGAGTGTAGGTACCGCTGTGTTCATCCTGTCATCTGCTGATGGACACGGGTTGCGTCTGCACGTTGGCTGTTGTGAGGAAGGCTGCGGTGTCCCCCGCTTCCAGTTCTTCTGGGTTCACGCCTGGAAGTGGAACGGCGGGGTCACCTGGCTGTGGGGCGTGTCCTTCTCTGCGGCAGCACCACCCCGACTTCCACCTTTCACATTCCCCGGGCAACGCACGAGGCTCCGACTCCTCCGTCCTCCCAGCTGCCTGTTTTCCGAGGTGCTTTGTGGGGGTTCCTTTGTTTGATCGCAGCCCCTGCGAGGCGTGGAGCTGCCAAGTCCTTTTAATTCGGATGTCGCAGGACCTTTTCCCTGACCCGACCACACGGCGGCAGGACAGTGGGGCCGAGGCCCTGGATCCCTCCGCCTCCCTCCTCCCGCCCCAGGTTCTGCCTGTCGCCTTCCAAGTGCAGCAGAGGCCGCCTGGCAGGGGTGGACCCCCGAAGTAGAGAAAGGGCGGCCAGGCCCATCACCCCAAGGAGGGACCCGCGGGCTGTCCACCGCCTTCCCCGTCAGCCCTCGGTGTCACCTCATAGCTCACCGCGCAGCTGTGCAAGGGCCCGGGGCCCTCAGCCCCAGGAGAGGAACGTTCTGGACTCTCCTGGCCTTGTCCTGCCTGTCTCTTACCCAGCCCGCCTCGGGCCCTCTGCTGTGGCATCTTGTCACCCTTTCCTCGGTCCCACACTTAGAAGGGGTTCTTGTTAAAAACCCAAATCAGATGTCGCAGTGGCCTATGCCTGTCATCCCAGCAGCTCAGGAGGCTGAGGCAGGAGGATCGCCAGTTCAAAGCCAGCCTCAGCAAAAGCGAGGTGCTCAGCAACTCAGGGAGACCTGTCTCTAAATAAAATACAAAATAGGGCTGGGATGTGGCTCAGGGGTCGAGTGCCCCTGAGTTCAGTCCCTGGTACCCCCGACACCCAAAAATGAACCCTCAAATCACCTGGCACAGGGTGGCACCTGTAATCCCAGCTACTGGGGAGGCTGGGGAGAGAGGCTGGCCCTACCTCAGCCCAGGCAGGAACCCAGACGCAAGATTTTCTTACCCCACAAGGAGAAGGGCCCCAGGAGCGGCTGCTGACCAGCGTCTGGGACCCGGGTTCCTTCCTTAGCCAAAGGTGCTGTCCATGTGGCTGGCCTCGTGCCGGCAGAGAGTCCAGAGGCTCCTCAGGCTGAGCATCCGCAGGGAGGAAGCGGGTCCCAAGGTGAGCTGTCCCCCTTCTGCAGCTAGAGTTGTCCCATCCCACGGCAGCTGGGGAGCTGTACTGAGGTGGCAGTTCTTCTGGGCTGAGCATAGCTCTGGGACAAGGTGGCCCGGGGACGAGGTGGCCCTGGGCAAAGGGCACAAGGCCTGGCCCCCGCGCCTTAGGCTGCAGCTGAAGCTGCCCACGAGTCGGCACTTGCTGGTCTTGTCCTGCTGCCCCTGACCTTGGAGGGCTGAGACTCCAGAGGCAGGAAGTGGTCACCTCCGTCCTCACCACAGGAAGTCCCATCAACACGTCCAGCCTGGTGTCACCTCCCATCTCCGACAAGCTCCCCCTGCTGCCGTCTGAGGCCCACACTGGACAGCCAGTGTGGTCCCAGGAAGGGGCTGGTGGGGTGCCGGGAGGCCTGCGTCTGGGCTCCAGGGCACAGTGGCCTTCCTGCCCTCTTCCGGTCGCAGAGGCCACAGGGCAGCGCATCACGTCCGGCCTTGACTCTTGCCTCCCTCTGGAGCCCAGCTGGAGGATCCAGGGCCATCTCCCTGTGTGACGCCAGCCGAGGAGGACAGGGGTCCTGTCTGTACCCTTGGTGCCCCTGGCCACGTCATGTGACGTGCAGGTCCCAGGGCTTAGGATGTGGTCGGTGCTGGTGGAGGGGACAGTACCTGCTTGTCACGGGACAGCAGCACTTTACCCTGTGGCAGGAGGAGGGCCAGATGGGACCCACTGTGCCTGAGCCCGTCCCGTGGCTGCTACTGTCCGGCTGCTGGAGTGGACCTGGTTATGGACGGGGCGGTGGAGCCTGGGACCCCGCGTGACGTCTAGTTCCCCGCCAGCTCCCCAGAACCTTGCTCAGCTGAGCCCCATCCTCTCCCCCGTGCCTCCTCCTGGTGCCGGTGTCACCCTGGCCCACACAGAGCCTGCGCCCTGCGACCTGGACGTTCTGGCCCGGACTCAAGCCAGCTCCGGCCCCGACCCCCACCCCCACCCGCAGAGGGAAACTGAGGCCAGGCTCCAGCCGGGCTCCTCCTGGCTCCCACGGGGGCCCCGGGGCTCAGGCGCTGTCCCCCCGGCCTAGCACCCAGGAGTGGGGGCACACGCCTGCCCTGAGCCCCTGCAGAGCCCCTGGGGTGACACTAGCTGTGACCAAAATGGCCCGGTCACTCGGTCCCCATCTCAGCCAGCTGCTGGGACTGGGATGTCCTGTTGGGTTGGAGTCCAGGTGTTGGACTTCAGACAGCCCAGGGCCACGGCAGGTGCCCGCTCCCTGCCACCTGCCCGGTGTCCACTGCAGCGGTGCCCTGTCCAGTACTTCTCAACTCTGCCCATGGCCTGTGGCCCCCTGGGCTTCCCTACTTGAGAATCGTCGCCTGCCTGGGGGAGGACTCCTGCCCTCCGCTGGCCGCAGCCACCTCCTGGGCGTCTGAATCAGGGCAGCCCTGGCCGTCACCTCGGGTGGAAAGTCATGGGGTGGGCTCCTCTGAGCCTCGGTCGTCATCTCCAAAGTGGGTGCCGTAGCCGATCAGCCCCCCCAGGGGCACCAAGAGTGGACGAGCTCGCTGTGCCGGCCCAGCACAGGGCCACCTACCCAGCCGGGCTGCCGTCTGCCTCCCCCCGCGCATCTGCCCCAACCCAGGCGCACGCTCAGGGGGCAGCTGGGAGAGCGCGGCTGAGCTGTGTCCCCTGCTCTCCACCGACAGGACCACGCTGGTTCCCACCCACCACGCCCCGACCTCTGCTTTGGGGATTGGCGCCCAAACGTGTTGAGGGCAGGGAGGGGGCGGGGGAAGCAGGCTGCCCCGAGGGGGTGACCACACCTCCCGGGGGCCCAGGATCTAGGGAACCTGGTGCCTTTGGTGCCGTGGGTATGTCATGTCCCCGTCCTCCTCCCCCAGAGCCACAGAGCTGCGGTTCAGCCTTTATTGACAGAAGACAGGTCCTCGACACCATCGCTACAGAGTCCCCGCGCTGCCCCCACCCGGGTCTTCACCAGTGACCGTTGAAACAGCTCAACGTAGGGACGCACGCGGCAGCTGAGTGGGCCGGTCAGGGGGGGCGGCGCTGGGCTGCCTCAAGCTGGCAAGGCTTGGCAGAAAGTTCCAGAACTAGAGAGGACTTACAGCGGCCCTTAAGACAGGAGTGACTGGAAAAGCCCGGGCGGCTATCGAGTCAGAACCTTCTGGCCCTAGGGCTTGGGAGCTCGGGGATGTGGCCTCTAAACACCAAGTGGGGGGGGTCCCTGCCCCTGCCCCCGTTTCCGCCGCAGTTGGCAGAGCTGTCGCCAAACCCCTGCTAACCCTGCTGCCCACAGAGCCTGCCGCGTGGAGAATCAGTCGTTGACAATGAGGAAAAGAAGTGCCCCGGGGACAAAGAACTGGGCAAGCGGGTGACGATTCGCGCTCTGGGTGGCCCTGGCTGCCCGGGCCACACTTCCCCCCGGGGACAGCTGTCTGTCTCTCCAATGGGGGTCTTAGCCCCATGCACAGAGCTCCCTGCTCCATCCGCCCATTCGCAGCTCCATGGGTCCCTAAAAGTCCCCAGGCCCCCAAACCATGGCACGTCTCCTCTCAGGTGCCCACAGGAAGAGGTTCATGACAGGGAGAACATCAGTGTCCCTACGGTTCAAACCAGGATGCCTCACACCATCAAAGTGCTTGTTTGTCCTAAAAAGAAGCCCGCGGCTGCCGTGGGAGGACAAGCCAGTGAGATGTGACTCGCTGGTCATTTAGGGGCTGGGGTGGCCCAGGACCCGGGAGGGATGGAGGAGTCTCATCCCGGAGGCCTGGGGCTGGGTCTGCCGAGGTGGAGGAGGCCACAATAAATATAAATAAACCTCCTCGGGTCCAGGCTCTCTGTGGAGCAGTGGCCTGCTCAGGGGAAGTGGGCTGCGGCCCCCCAGAGTCCAGGCTGCTTCATCCCAGAGACGTTCTGAGCTCCCAGGCCCCTCCTGGCCTCCGGCCTCCCCAGGCTGAGGCTGGGGCCGAGGCTCTGAGCTGCTCGGCCTTCTTGTGACCACAGCAGGTGGAGGGCCTGAGTGTGGCCCTGGTGCACTGGTGTGTCCCAAAGCAGGCTGCCGGTCACCAATGGGCCTTCCCCAGGAGGGTGTCCAACGAGGCCAGGCCTGGGGTCCAGGCCCCGGAGGAGCAGGGGAGGCCAGGCCGCGTGTCCACTCCCCTCGGCCGCAGGGACTTCCGGTGGCAGGAACGGGTTCCCCACCCGGCCAGCCGCCTGGTGGGAGGCTCTGGAGGGCCGGTGGGAGGCGAGGGGCCGGTCTCTGGGACACCCCGGTCCACGCGGTCCCCTGCCCGAGCCAGCTACTGGGGGCTGGGGGGCCACTGAGGCCGTCGGCTGGCTCAGGGCAGAGCTATGGGCTTGTGCCCAGGGCCACCCAGGTACTGGGAGGCGGCCGTCGACGAGGCCACACTGTCCGGGGTGGCGTATGCGGTGTAGAGACCCGTCACCTGCACGTCAGGGAAGGACTGGTCGTTGCCACCAGAGACAGGGGTCAGGCTGGAGGCCCCCAGGTCACAGCCGAGCGGGGAGTCGGCGAAAGCCCCCAGCGCGTCCAGGCTGAAGCCCTCGTCCTTCATCTCGTCCCACAGGTTCCCTTTCAGAGACAAAAGCGCAGGGCTGAGCTGGCTTCCGCCCCACAGGCCCGAGCTGCAGTCCCTGACTTAGGGAAGGGCCAGGCTGTGCGCGTGTGCAGGGTCACGTGCTGGGGAAACCCTCTTCCTGCTGTGTGTCTTTGGGAAAGTCACTTCTGTCTCTGAGCCTCAGAGTCAAATGGAGGTGACCAGAAAACCGACTTCTGAGGCTGTGGCCAGGGGCCAAGGGGCTCGTGGTCAAAGCCAGGAAGACAAAACCAGGTGTCCCCTTCTCTTCAGCAGCAGAACCCTGCAGCTGTCCAGGGCAAGGGCACAGGTGTCTGAGCCCAGGGCCACACAGGCGGGTGCCCACCTCCGGGTATCTGGATGGACGGGAGCCTCGCAGCCTGCCGGTCCCCAGTCTGCTCTTTCTTTATCCGTAGCCCATTTATTGAGGGGGACCCCGTGGCTGGCAGGGCTCGGTGTGACCTGCCCTGGGGTGGACACAGCCAGGTGGGCAGTTACTGACTGCTCGTCTGGGGCCCGACGGACCTGGGGTGGCACCCCCTGGCCGCGGGACGAGCTTGGGCCGGTGAGTTGACTTCTCCTGGCTCCCGCACGGGGCAGAATGGGGTCAGGAAATGGCGGTGACCTGGGAGGGCCACTGGAGGGGGCGCAGGGTGAAGCCCGTGAAGTGCGTGGTCCAGGACCCAGCACACAGCAGGTGCCCACTGACTGCTTCATGTGCGGGTAGTGGGTGGTCGCCATGGCCACACAGAGCACAGCTCGGCTCGCCTGGTCCTGCTGTCCCCAGCCCCGCCCCCCTGTCCCCCACTCCCCGGGCCTCACCCTGCAGGGCAAAGTCCATGATGCTGGGGTCCAGGGCGTCCACCTCGGGGTTCATGTCGGTGCTGATGTTGACGAAGTCCACGGGGGTCCTGCCCATGGCGGGCTGCGGGAGGGGGCCGGGGCTGGGGTCGGGCAGGGCGTGCAAGGGCGGGGTCTGGGCCGGAGCCGGGGAGTCGGGGGCCAGGTGGGCCTGGGGCTGGACCTGGTGGTGCAGGGGGACGGCCTGCAGGGACAGGGTCATCAGGGGCTGTGGGGGGAGCTGGGAGATGGCCAGGCAGCTGTGGGCCACGGCCACCGAGGTAGCGTGAGTCAGCACGGGGGTCTCGGGCTCCCCTGCTCTGCCGGGTCGCCGGCAGCTCTCAGGCCGGTCTGAGATCAGCTTGTCCAGCTCCTCTGCAAACAGGAGGGAGCCATGACTCTGAGCCCACCCTGCAGGGACCAGCCCCCAGCCCAGGCCTGGAGCCAGGTCCCCGTGCTACCCCCTGAGGGAGCTTAGCCAGTCTCTGGGACTCTCTGAACCTCTGTCTCCTCATCTGTGCGATGGCATCCCAGGCTACACACAGGGTGGCTGTGGAGCTGTAATGACACTCACAACCATGCCACCGAGGAGTGAGAGGTGCCATCAGTAATGACACCTCCTGTCAGCACAGGCCTGTTGCCCTAGGACTGCACTCAAAGCTCATCCCCGCCCTGCACTGGCCCAGGAGGCTGAAACAGGTCGGGGCCGTCGGGGCTCACCGGGGTTGGCCATGCTCCGGTGGATGGCGGCCAGGTCTTTCCTCTTCCACTTGTGCATCTCCTCCTCCATCTTGTCGATGCGGGCCAGGTTCAGCGCCCACAGGCAGCCCTTGCGGGAGGAGCCGCTCATCTTGTTCTCCACCTTCTCGAAGCACTTGTTCAGGGACAGGTTGTGCCGCACTGAGTTCTTCCAGCCGTCCGGAGCCGTCTGCAGGGAGATGTGGGCGCTCGGGGGACCTGCCTGTGGACCCCTGCCTCCCCCGGTGGTCACAGACTCAGGTCCCCGGGGCGGGATGCTGCGGGAGCCCAGGCAACGGGACAGCACCCGATGCTCGGCCTCCAGGTGGGGAGGCGAGAGGGAGTGGTGGGGACTGCGGCGAGAGGAGAGCTCCTGCCCCGGGGAAGGGGGAGCCACAGCGGAGCCCGGCTGACAGAGAGGACGTGAGCCGCGGCCCAGGGCTGCCGTGGCTTCCTGTCTTTCTCTCCATCATGAATATGGTAGCCAATGGCTCGTCAGTAGATGAAGATACTGAGGTTCACAGAGGTGAAGGCTCTTGCCTGGTCTGTGTTCTGCACGTGATGTTTTCGGGAGTCTGTGCCGAAGATGGAGGCTGGGACCTCCACCTCTACCCTCTCCTTCCTGAGAGGTAGGTAAACTCCTCTTCATCCATCAGAGCCCAGTTCAAACGCCCCCTTCTCTTTTAAAATGCTTCTGGGTGGGTCTGTGTGCATGTGTCCCCACGGCCGGGTACACAGACCAGGGGGCCCGAGACCAGGGCCCGGTTTAATCTAGAGCCGGCCCTGGGTTTGGTGGTGACAGGGGAGGCTGGGTGGCTCCTGTCCCCCCCCCCCCCCCCCCCCCCCCCCCCCCCCCCCCCCCCCGCTTGGACCCTCACCTTGAAGTAGGGGAAGTGCTCCTTCATGAAGCTGTAGATCTCGCTCACCGGCAGGCTGCCCGTCTTGCTGTTCTTGAGGGCCATGGCGATCAGACAGCTGGGCCGAGAGACGGGACAGGGTGGCCGTGAGGGCCCCCGGACCAACAGCCCCAGGTCCCCTCTGCCAGGAAGCCTCCCCTGCTTGACCAGCCCCTGCACACTCACTGTTAGCCCTTTTCATGGCCCAGTATCTTTCCTACCCCGTGTCCTTCTGCTTGACCCTGGGCTTAGCCATTGGTATTGATCTAAGGACAACCTTTACCCTCCCTGTCTCCATAACTGGTGTCTGTGGGCCTCCACCCTTTATCTAGGTGCTTCCCCCACCCTCACCATCACCTAGTATTCTGGTAACTTTCTGCATTTGAGGACACCTAGGTTCAGAGAGCCAATGCTACTTTCCCAAGGTCACACAGCCTAGGAGTGATGGAGTGTCCGTGGGTTCTCAACCCCGGGGCTTGACTGACAATCTGTGGTCATTCCTGAGAGCAGATTCCACAGGGGAGGGTCCCTGATCCTCCAAACCTCCCCCTTGGAAGTCTGGGCCACCGTGTCCGGCTGTCTGAGCCATCCCGGGCCTCACCTGTAGGAGTAGATGGGCTTGGGGTAGTGCTTGGGGTGCAGCTGCTCCTGCGGTGCATGCACTGCCATGTGGGCCTGGGGGTACGAGGGCCGTGCCCCCAACGGGGGGCCGTAGAGGCCCACAGGAAGGCACTTCCCGCAGCAGAGAGAGGGGGGGGATGAGAAGGTGCAGCGCCACACGAGACCCGCCCACCCGTCCTGGGCCCCTGGGCTCGTGACCGCAGAAACCACGGGTCCCCCCATGGGAGTTCCCAGGGCCACCCGGTCGTGGGGGGACAGTTATCCCCACGTGCCTGGTGAATCAACTGAGGCTCAGGGAGGTCCCTGGCTGGCCGGAGGCAGGGTCCTCTGCCTCTGGGTCCAGGGCTACCTGCTGGGCTCCCGGAGGGAGCGGGAACTGTGGCTGGGTCCCCGGTGAGTACAGCTGCGAGGGGTCCTGCAGGCCAGAGGGTGGCTGGCCCCCCACGGGGAACTGGCTCATCTGCTGGGGCTAAGAGAGGAGAAGACAGAGGGTCAAGGTGGACCGGGCAGCCCTGGGGCAGCCCTCTCACTCGCCGACCCACACTCGCCACTTACACTGGCTCCGTGGCTGGACAGGGGGCCCAGGCCCAGCATGCCTCGGGGCGCCATGCCCGGTGGGCCGTGGAGCAGGGGGCCTGGGGTGGCTCCCACGTGCAGGTCGGCTGCCCCAGCCAAGGCTCCTGTGGGAGGCAAGCCGAGAGAAAGCCCCGTGCTGGAGGGATGGTGGACAGAGCCATCCCCCGCCCTCAGGACGGGGCACAGGGTAGACGCTTGGTTAATCACTTTGCTGGGGCGTCGTGGTGAAAAGTGGGGTTCCCGCCAGCTGTGTAACCTGGGGCCAGCCGCAGTTTCCCTATTTGTACTTGAGCCCCTGGTGTTACCTGTTACTACCTATGAAGTTGCTGTGGGGGTTAAATGAGATCATATTTACCAGTGAGTGTAAGTCAACAGTAAGTAACAACGAGGAGGAGGCTCTGAGACCCTCCTTAAACTCGAACACCGATTTCTTGTTCATCCCATGGCACCCGGGACCTCTAGGTTGAGATCCAGATCGTCTTGCCTTTCCTCCCTTTGCCAAGCCCTGCTCTTCGGCCAAGGGTTAGCTCAGGAATGGCACTGGTAGAGCCTCCCCCGGGGCTGGGCCCGGGCAGACATTGCTAATCCATCTCCGATCCTCACTGCACCAGCTTGACTTGGGGCAGCCACCTCTAATCAAGCACAGCTGACTTCCAAGGTGGAGCTAGCCCTGGGGGCCGTTCTAGAACATTGTCACTGTAGGTGAAGAAACAGATCCGAGAGGAGAGCACTTGCCCAAGAGCACACCACTGTCCCCTGGGGTCCTACGTCAGGATTAGGAAACGGACCCTAATCAGCAGGCCACAGGCGGCCCACAGGCTGGTGTGTAAATAAAGTTTTATTAACACACGGCCCCACCTTTCCGTTCAGATACCATCCATGGCTGGTCTGGGGTACATGGCAGAGTCCAGGGGTTTTGACAGAGACTGTGTGACCAACAAGGCCTAAATTACGGATTTCTGGACCCTTTACAGAGAAAGCTTGCAGACCCGGATGTACATGTTTTAATCGAGAATAATTTCTTCCATGAAAGACAGGATCCCGATGCTGACTCTGCCTCTCGGGGTGTCTTCARTGTTCCGTGGCAGCTGCTTTTGGCCATTGTGTCCTTAAAGCACTGGATTCATTTGCTATAATTGCCATTAGCTGTCACTTATGGAGTACCTAATTGTGTGTCAGGATTCCCTTGGAATCTTCTAGACCACTGGGGYGGTAAAGTTCTTGTAAAGGACTGGACAGCAAATATTTCCGGCTCTGCCAGCCATCTGGTCTCTGTCTTCTTTGTTTTTGGGCAGAGAAACATAAAGCCATTTTTAGTGTTTGCAAAAATAGGTTGTCGGCTGCATTAGTTTGGGAAGATGGACCTGCCATTCAAGGGAGCGAGCGACAGGTGTGATGGACCGGTCATTCAAGGGAGCGAGTGACAGGGAACCTCAGCTCACCCCGGGCCTGGCACACGGCAGGTAAACGGTGAATCTTCCCTCGGAGGAAGATGGACTCAGCCCAGAGAGGTGGACTGACTTGTCCGTGGCCACACAGCGGGGCAGGGAGCCCCCTCCCCTCTGCCACCTTGCCTTGTCCCCTGGAGCCTACCTGGGTGTGGATGTGGCACACTGGGGCCACCCAGGTCCATGCGGCCACTCGCCATCTGCTGCAGCCGAGGCACGTCCACAGCCGTGAGCCACGAGAGTGACTGCAGGTCCCCRGGGAGGTCCTCGTCATTGGCGGAAGGCAGGAGCCTGTGGGAGGAGGGGAGCTCGGGCGGGAGGGGAGCTGTGGCCAGTGCCTGGGGCTTCTCCACCCGGGAGGCCCCTCAGCCCCCGTCCCCAAGCCWCTCCCGTGCAGCCTGTGCGTCCTTGGGGCTGGCATGGGACCCTGGCCCGGACCCTGTCTGGAAGCCACATTGCTGTCCCCACTCCCTCCACCCGCCGGACCCCTGCCAGCACCTAGTCCCCGAGGAGTGACATCGGTGGGCCAATTTGGTCCCTCCCTGGATGTGAAACCCTGTGACGCCAGGGCGGGTCATTATTAAGACCAGCTGGGTGTCCCCAAGACACCAACTGGAATTCGGAGAGTCCAGAGTCCCGCGGGGCACCTTTGGGACACGCGGATGCAAAACTCCAGCCCTCAGTTCACTGGTGGGGTCAAAGGCAGGTGCGCTGATGGCATCGAGGAAGGTCACCGTGACCCGTGTGTGATTGGGGTCCCCCCCCAAGAACCTCATCGTGTGGAGGCTCACATTCCAAAAATAAAAAAAATCCAGAATCTGAAACACTCTGGTCCCAAATGTTTTGGACAAGGGACACTCAGGCTGTGGTCCCACGTGACATGGGGACACCGAGTGGGAGCACGGAGTCACTCGCTCCAGGCTCCACAGGACCTGGTGGGGCTGGGACCTGCCCGCCACCCCTCAACCTGGCTTTCCCGGGAGGGAGAGCCCCCCAGTGCCAGGCGGCCCCCCAGCTGGGGATGTGGCTCCCTGGTGACCCCGCAACCCTGTCCACGAGGCTCACTGAGCACCAGGCGTCAGGATGGCATTTTTCTGTACTGTGACACGGTGGCACTCAGCCCTGACCAGACGCCACCGTGTGTGCCACCCACACGCCAGGGGCGGTCTCCTTTGTGCCCAAGGAGCTCACAGTCCCAACTCTCGGCTCCAAGTTTCCAAGGCCCCGTGTCGGGGCCCAGGGTGCGGAGGGCAGGGCCAGGTGGCAGCACAGCCCCGGTTTCCTGGGGCACCCGGTGGCCCGTCCCTCATCTGCGGGGCCTCCGGCTCGCTCCCCTCCTTCCCTTGTGTTTTGGGGCCATGATCAGAGTTGCCATGGACACCGCTTCTCAGTTGTCACAGGACCTGGGCCCTGGGCCCACGGAGCTGGCATCAGGTGACCGCCCGCTGCCCCGGCGATTGGCTGCCTCGTAGGAAAACACAGCCCGGAAGCGGTTTGAAAACTCAGCTGGCCCGTGTCAGGACAGCAGTTGGCCCGGCTGCTGTCCCCCGGTGGCCCATTGTGTGACAAACGACTGTTGCCCTGTGGCACGTGGCCCCCATTGTCCTGGGGTCTCCATGCTATTGTCTCTGAGGCCCCCCGGCTGCCGACCCTTCAGCCTGCTGGTAACTCATCGGACTGAGTGACAGCCACGGCCCCGTMCTGGGCAATGCCATCTGTCCCCCAGGTCCTCAGAGACCACGGGGAGAGGTGGAGGGGCTGGGCCCGCTGCGCCGTGGCAGGAGGCGACCGGCCACACCCACCCTCCCTCCTGGCCCCCGGCCAGCCAGCCTCCCGGTGTGGCCGAGCCCACCCCCTACAACCTGCTGTAGCTCCCCATTGCCCTCGCTGCTCTTGGTCCCGGAGAGGAGAAGAGGGGATCTCTGATGGCAAGAGGGGGACCTCACAAAGCTCTCTGAGTGGTTGGCAGGGGGTTCCTAGACAGGGAGCACACCCTCTGGCAGTGGGTGAAGCCAACAGGCCATATGAGTAGTAGTTAGTAACTCAGGCTCTGGATTCTACTCTGGGCTTCTTTGAGCCACTGGCTTCACCTCTCTGAGCCCATTTGTCATCTGTGAAATGTGGAGAATCCTTGTTCCTGTCTCATAGGATACCAAGAGAATTGAGTGTGTGGCCCACAGCAGGGGTGCATGAGCATTTCTGGGCTGCTGTTCATATTAATACCAAGGTTAATTGGATGATGAATATCAGTCAGGTTCCCAAGGGAACCGGGGGTCATATAGACACCCGCCCCCGCCGCCATCACTATTTATTGAGCACGTTCTGGACACCAGGGCTTATAAGCCCCTCTATTCTACATGAGGACAAACTGAGACCGCTAGAGTCACTTAGTGCTCAGCCTGGAGGAGGCAGCAGGTGAGGCTGAGCATGGGGGAGGCTGAGCATGGGGGAGGCTGAGGGAGCGATGCTCTCTGAATGTCCTCATTTTCTTCCCTGCCCTCTGCGACCCCGCGGCAGGAGCAGCAGGCAGCCTGCCTCGCCCACCTGAGGTCTCACCTCCAGCCCTTTGCATTCCCAGACTTCAGCTGCCTGCCACCCTCTTAATGTCAGACATCACCTGATGGCACCTCGTCTACCTGGGGAGGACGGCTCCAGAGCCCCACGTCACCTGTGTCTCACCCACTGTGGTGCCACTTAGGTGCCTGCTCGGCCAGTTGAGTCGGGCTGACCCTGTGTAGCCTGCCCTGGGGGCGTGGCCAGGACCTTCACGTCTATTTGCAGCCTGGGGCCTTGCAGAAGCTCGGGCTATTTTACAGATGGGGAAACTGAGGCCAGACGGAGCAAAATCCATTGGCTGGTAAGAAAGGCAGCCGGGGCTCGAACCCGGGTCCTTCTGTGCCGACCCTGGGCTGTTCCAGTGGCGCTGCAGGCAGAGGGTCTGACATCTACTTGGGGAGGCGCCACCCTGACCCGGGGTCCCAGGGCAGAGCTGTGCCAAACAGCAGCATCTCCTGCGGTTGGTGGAAATGGGGGGTCCGGCCCAGCTCAGGCCCCGGGGTCTCAACCTTGGGGTTCCCAGCTATGTTCTGGGGGGAGGACAGCCTCGAAGGGGTATGGCCAGGGCTGGGGCCAAGTGCCAGCTTTGGCTGGTCAGGTCTGGGATGGAGTCCTTGCCACCCCGGGAGCGTGACCTTGGGCATGGGCTGGGGTCCTCACGCCTCCTTCCCGGGGTGGCTGGGAGGGTGGCTTGGCCAGTGCCTCGGGCCTCCCAGAGGGTCTGTTCCTCTAGCTGTCCCATGAGGAGCCAGACACCGTCTCCACATGCCCAGGCTCCTGCAGACCTCACTGTGGGGGTCCCCATCAGGTCCCCTCGAAGCCAGGCCTCTGCCCTGAGCATCGTGGGGACCGGGGTGAGCAGGGCTAAATGCACCAGGGCCTAAATGGGCATCTTGTCCCCATACCCTGCCCCCACTGTCCCTGCACATTGGTGCCCACTGCTCCAAGCGCCCCTCACCAAGGCCCGCGGTTCCCTCCCTCAGGACGGCCACAGGGCCCAGCCCCACTCCTTCCCAGTGTCTTGCTTTAGAGAGTGACCTGCAGGCTCAGGAACCACTCTGGCCTCCCGGCTGTCGTCCCCCAGAGAGGCACTCAGTCCCCACCTCCGTTCTCCTGTGTGAAGTGGGTGTGGGTGACGATCCTAGTCATGGGACGGGTGCTTCTCACCCAGGACTGGCACGTGGGAGGGGGCAGTGTCTCGGGGACTCGGTCTGTCATTGTGCAGAGCTCGGGGATATTTCCTGATAGGTGTGTGTGAGAGAGAGACAGACGGACGGACAGAGACGGACACCCTACACCAGCCTCCAGAGTGGGGGTCCCCTCTGGAGACAGTGACAGGGCTTTTGCAATCCAAAGAAAAGGACAAGCCTGGGACTCCCCAGTCTCCTGTGCCCTCCCTGGGTCTGTCTCTCCGGCTTCTGGCTGAGTGGAAAAACGGGCCCTGCTCCCCTTGGGTCACCGATGCCCGCTGCCTGCCAGAGGCCACCTGGGGGGAGCTGAGCAGGACAAACTTCAAAGGACAAACCTCCCCTCTGCTTCCTCCCCCATCTCTGGCCCTCAGGTGCCCCCTCCGTCTGTCCTGACTCCCTCCCACGTGCTCTGTGTCCATCTCTCTCTCTCTGCAAGGGTCTCTGTCTTTGTCACTGTGATGGAGTCCTGGCCTCACCCTTCCTGATTAGTGACATCAGACGGGATCCTGAACCTTCCTGAGCCTCGGTTTTCTCGTCTGCAGAATGGGGTAACAGGGAGGGAGTAAAGCTCTTAGTAAGTGTGCCTCTCCTCTTCCCTCTTCTCTGACACGGCTTCCGGGACCCCCGTCTCTCACAGCTCCATCTCTGTCCCACACACCCCCAGTCGCCCACCCCGAGTCCCTCTGTCCACACAGGGGCTGCCCAGAGCCACTGCACCAGGCTTGCGGGGATGAGTCCGTGAGCCTGCAGTGGACGCCGCCCGACCCCCAGGCAATCCCCTACACCTTGAGCCAGGGAGCTGGGCCCCCGCGCCCCCAGCCAGCCCTGGTGACCCTGTGCTCCAACCCGGGGCAGTGTGTGACGCTGCCCTGGGTCTGCAGATGCACTGTGGCCCTGGGAAGGGACAGTGCCACTCTGCCTCCTGCAATGAGTGCAAGGGTACCTTCCTCTGTGGCTCCATGCCTTCTGTTCCCTCCCAGTGGACACCTTTCCTGTCCCCTCTGCACCTCTCAGCATTTTGCTCGGGAGTCCTTAACAAGGTCACCTTGTCAGGCGACCCTTTCCTCTGAGCCCCAGGGAGCCCTGCTTGGCCACAAGCCTGTACCTTCTGAGCCCGGCTGGCATCCAGGGGGAGAGAGGTGCTGTGCCCCCCCGGGAGCCCTGAGGCCAGGCACAGGGAGGAGGCAGGGACGGGGCCACCTCTCTGCCACTGCGGGTGGTCTCAGGAGCTCCCCAGGAGCTCACACAGAGCTGTGCACACAGTGGGCGCCCAATAATTCTACCCTGGGCCACTGGGCACACATACCAGCTCCCTGCGCACCCCATCTGAAGGGAGCAAACCCTTTCTGAGTGTCTTGTCCTGATGGAAGGCCACTTAGAGGCATAATCCCGACCTTGGCCCCTTGACCCCATCGAGAGCATGACTGGGCAGGGTGTGCGTGTTACCACCGTCCCATTAGCCAAATGAGGATGCTGCGGCCAGGGAGGAGGGATAGGCCTTGGGTCACTCAGCAGGGAGCTAAGGAGAAGGAACTCCACCTCTAG